CCTTTTCTTTGCCAAGGACCTAGCTGGCTTAGACGGCTTTTTCATAATTTCAAAAAGACGCTCATTAATCCCTGTTCAAATTCAGTCTTTTTACAAATTTTAACCCTGTTTGGCTATTTTTCGAGGAACCAAACCATCACCATATTATTCAACATGCTCGATTACATTGATTATGTCAAAATTTAGCTGGCTTAGACGGCATCTTCGTAATTTTTAAAAGGTCACTAATAAATCGATATTTTATCTGTTTTTTTGCAATTTTGACCCTGTTTGGCGATTTTTTCAGTGGCCAAACCTTCACTATATTATTCAGTACCCTTGATAACATAAACCACGAATAGAATCGACTGGCTTAGCGACCTCTTTTAACGAGCTAAAAAATGCAACCTTCGAATCATAATATGAACTTTCTTTTCGAATGCGTTGTCTTAGCAAAAAAAGAAACAGATATTCGGAATCAGCATAAAAAATTACATTGAAAAAAGTTCATTTCATCAAAATATCCTAAGAGGAGATTTTCCCTATCCATTTGCAGGTCCTCCTTAGATGCGGTTTTAAACCAATTATGGAAGCTAAAATTATTCAAATTTTTTTAATCGAAAGATTAATCAAGACAAAATCAAGTCTTGAGCCTCTTCCATATTTATTGCCCATTGAATCTTTTCTGTCAGGTAATCAATGTTTAATGAAACTTCGTTTTTCGTTCTGATCAATTTTCTAGACTAAACCGTCAAATATTTTCAACTCAAAAATTGTTATACTTGAAAACGCGAAACAAAGATTTAAATTGGATAAAAACATGTATTTAAGTCAGTCCATTTTTAAGCAAAATCACACAATTTTGGATTCTAACTCGACTTACTCAGCCTGACCGATTCGAACAAACCAAAAAATTCTTCGAATAGTTGATGGCTAAATTTTTCGTGCTTATGCAGCAAAAGCGAAAGATGTGTAAACGAAAAGGCTGTCAAGAAATACATGATGAAAACGGGCATAAACGCAAAAGTGACACCTGATCAAGCTAAACGTCATAAAATTCGGTTACGTTGACTAAGATACGATTAGAGAAAAAGTTTGATATTTGATGACGAAAGTGATTTCGATTTAGAAGGTCACAGTTTCAAATTCTGAGCAAGAGATTTGCATTTCAAAAATAATGACTCAGTTCCTGAGAAACCTTTCATTTCCATTTTCATTCCGGACTTGCTATTGATTAATATCATTTGCTTAAACAATTGGATAACATTGAGTTTATTTTTGGTCATTTCTCTGATTTTTTGGGTAAACTTTGGTTTCCATTGAACCGAAAAGAAGAGTAAAAAAGGTTGAAATTTTCTTTACCCTTTTCCATGTTCTGTTTATTCAGAGTTTCCTTGTTAGTTAAATCTTTCTTTTCCTTGTTCATCTTCTTCTTCTGCCTGATTTTGCTACTAATTCAAGTAACATTTGAACAACATTTTCAGGCGGAATGTTTATCCAGGGAAGAAAAAGAAAAAGAAAAGTTCTTTTTTTCAAATGAAGAATTTTCTCATTTTCTTTATCGCCTTAATTATCTCATCTTTACAGGTTCATCTTGCTGTTTGCTCAGTTTCAACATTTGTTTATGCCTCGTCAAGTGATCACAATGTTACAAAATGGTTTATGCGAGTTTTCAGTTTACAAAGATTATCTCAGGATAACTTCGACAAATTGCAAGGTTCAATATTTGGTTAAACATTTATTTTCATGGTTTAACCAATTTTAGCAACACTGAATGTTGGAGCTTTAGTCGCTTTATCTGTTGAGATGATTGGAATGATTTAGAGTTTGACTTGAAGGTAATCAATTATTGAAATGAATCAAATCTGATTGAACCGTTTCTTGCAATAATAAACTCTAAAGGTCACTCAAATTCACCAGGACTTGAGTCACTAATCACCCATTGTGATTGAAACAGCTGTTGACTTGCGATTTCTTATGAAAGTGAAGATGAAAAATTCTGTTACTTTTCATTGTCAGAGGTTTTCTGTCTGGTTATTTTCTGGTTATAAAGCTACAAGTGAATGGTTATGAAAAGCTATTGACACTCAACATGGATTCATCTGGAATAAGGTTTCTAATCAACTGGTTAAGGTTGAATGAAATAACATTCAATGAGTCTTTTCAATTGAAATGTTACCACAGACTTGATCCGATATGGATCAGCTTCAACACATTCAACTACTCATCCATTCCAAAGCAAGTGGATAGATTACAGAGAAATGTTTATCAATATCAAACTTTTGCCATCTTATTAACCATCAACAATCAACTGGAAAATGATTGGACAAAATTGGATAACCTTTTACACTCTTTGTGAGTTTGTTCATTTCATCAAATTTCAAGTATTTATTTCATTGACTCACCTTCCCTTTGTGGGTCCAATAAAGATGGTACAGTCAACACAGTCATCAACTGTTGCTGAATCAAGGTAATCAAAAATGCATAGGATTGACTTTTGACAATTTTGGACAATAAACTGTTTCCCATTTACTGAGCCAGGTTTTTTTAATGACAGTTGAACTGTTTACATTTTCAATTGTATATTCACAAGGATCAATATTTTCCCGGTTATTCCTGGTTTATACAAAGGCAAGTAAAGATGACGATTCCGCAAAATTAGTAAATTGTTGAAAGCAATTGATTAAAAAGAGAGAAGAAGAAAAAGATTTTGAAAAAAAGGTCAATTTAATTTGCATGGGAAATCAACAGATTGTTATTGTATTTTAAGCTATGAAAAGGGTGAAACAATGAGCAAATGTTGTTAGGTAAAAACAAGAGGATTAAACTGTTGGGATAAGGAAGACAAACGGCCAATTTGGATAGACTAAAGGTAAAGTCTATTTACCATGAGTAATTGGCTGGTTCAGGTTGTGCTTGTTGTTGTTCATTTTTTGATGTTAAACAACCCATTGGTGTAACTTTAGATGGACAGTGTTGAGGTGAGGTTTAATGTTTCAGGGTAAAGTTGAACACAAAAATGTGAAAATGGTTAACAATGAGATCGAGTGCAGTGTCGATGCAAGTTGATTAATCATGTAAATGGTTGGATTGAGGTGAGAAACAAAAACCTTAAGATTTAGACATAAAATGGCGTAAAAGGTGACTAGAGGGTTATCACAGGGATTGGTTATTAGATGGTAACAAGGATTTGCATTTTTGGTTAGATCGGTTCAAAAGTTGAATTGATCATTTTTGATATGATAACTGAGTTGTTGATCGGCTTGAGGTTGATATTCACAAGTCATGCCAAAGAGTAAATTTCAGAAGATGATGATGGCAATGAAGGAGAGTGAAAAATGAACAAATTTTGGGTCAAACTTACTCTCATTTCAGCAAGTTTCTTGTCAATATCGCCAATCGCTTGTTCTAATTGTTTGGCCTCAAAAGAGCCCATTCCAAATGGATCAGAACCATTGGTTTTATTGGCTTCCGGATCAAAAGGTTCAAATCCAAATATATCTTTAGCTTCATTAGTTGTATTATCTTGATTATGACCAATACCAGTTCCATTGGTATGACCCAGGTTATTGACATGACCGTTAACTGGGTAACTGTTTACTGGACCGTTACTGTTTATCGTTGTCATTTTTGAATTTGTTGTTGTTGTCGGTGGTACTGATGTTGTTGCAGATAATGATGACACTGTTAGTGGTTGATTTGATGTTGTGCTAATTGATAATGGCGGGGATGATGATGAGGATAAAGAAGATACAGATGAATTCGATGAGTTGATTGAAGATGATGTTAAAGATGAGCCTATTAAGGGTTTTGTTGTTGTTGACGTCGTCGTACTATTCACTTTAATTTCTTCATAAGACCTTGGATCAAATGTTTGATCATCAAGGCTTAAATTTTCTAGCTTACGACCAACGGTTGGTTGATCATCAATATCTAACAAATTGATGGTTGCCTGTTGATGATGACTTCGATTTGCTATTCTTTGAACAGGCGGTGGTGGTTGAAGTGGCTGTAGTTTATTTATCTCAGAGCCATTTGTTAAAACGGATGAACAACCAGAACCAGATGATTTCATTGATGATCTCGACTTATTTTTATAATTAGCTAAACGATTTTTTTTTCTGTTTTCAGCTTCCAGTTCCTGAACTTTTTTATGAAGCACCATTATTTGTTTACGCATCTCTAAATCACGTCCAGATGTTTCAAGGAACCTACGATAGGCCAATTCAAAGGCTTGGCCAATAGTTAACGTTATCTCCTCTGATAATTTGTCAGATACAAAAACAAAACAACTGTGACGATCAGATTCGGCTTCTTTAGCAATGAAACTGAAAAACTTTGGATCCGATTTATCATCAGCACAGTAAGAGATTCGATGAAGAGGATATTGGAAGGATATTTTTTTACTCTTGGGAGTCTGAATGGCAACTCCATCCACAGAAATGGTCAACTCAACCTTGGGTGTTTTAGTTCCTTCAGCTCGCCGTAGATGTTGACTAAATTTCATCTTACGGATTCCTTCTTTAACAACGTCAATGCCTTTTGGCTGATCTACTTCTGTTTTACCTAAAAACTCAGGGACAGAAAAAAAAACAAAAAAGATAAGTGAGTAAAATGTAAACAAATGCTGAGCAAAGATACGATAGGTCAGGTAGATTAATGAAAAGAGGTCAATTGTCTCAAGTAAACCAAAGATTACATTTTTAAGATTGCTAATAATCTGAAAATATTTTACAATCAAGACAAATCAAGCAAAGAAATAAGTAACAATAGATTCTTACTTTGACAAGATAGGCAACATGACCGCGTTGCAATGCGTCGGGTGGATGAATCCAGTTTGGTTTACCGTGATTTTTGGACCATTTATTACCATTGGAAGAAGTCCATTTTAAAAGAGATCCTTGCTTCATCATGATCAACTTAAGAAGATAACTTGATAAAAACTAATTTTTAAATATCAACCAGAAACCAGAGTTTAAATAAAAGAAAAATAGCGAAAAAAAGTAATGGAAAAAGCAAACGAAGATAAAATTTTTTTCAAAGAAACGAAAACAAAAACGAAAATTACTAGACAAAATTGACGATATGGGTTGAAACTGGATAATGGAATGAGTTAAGTTGATGAATGAATGAATGAATGAGTTGATATCCACAATGAGTTGAAACTGGATTTACCAAAAATAAAAATAAAACAAAAAAAGCAATGAGCAACCAGCTAACGCCATCCAGCGTTGATTTCATTCACCCTTACTTCTCATTGAGTTTAAACGTCTCTAGTTTAAACCACTTAACTATGAGTTTAAGATTACATGTGTATTTGTTTAAGGAGTGAATCAAACAGAATCGGCTTAAAAATTAAAGTCGATAGCCCAAGAGTGTTTCAAAATAAACTGATTTCAAACTTTGATAGGAAAGATAAAGGCTTTGTTAGTTTGTTAGTTCAAGATAAACGAGATCAAAAATGTTCAATTTGCTCTGAAGCTATGAAATAACTCCAACACATTGTACTCCATCAAACTATTATTATTATAAAATGTAAAACTAAATGCTTACAATACAATGTACCAAATAACTTATTATCAGCTACCGGGTGTTGAAACCTGGCTTTAAAAGCTTAACAATAAAACAAAAATCTTATTCGATACATTTTCGATGAACTGATTGAAACATAGCTCTTACAGTACCCAGGGCAATCTAGAATATTCAAGAATTTATTTCTATTTGAACAGACTACCATAATATATGCTGTTTTTGATTGATTACCGATCTAACAGATCAATGATTCGATGTAAAATTGATTAATCCAAAATTGCGTTTGATTTTTTACAAGTTGATATTCAAATACATAAGATGGAGCTAGTATCATTTAGGTAGCAAAATTGTTGATCAGCTTAAAGCAATTGTTTTCAAATGAAGGGATAAATGGTAAAATAGGTATATGACAATTGTCCTGTGTTTTGTTTTATTATTTAATTTAATTTAGCAGTGTTTTATTGTGTCATCAAGCGTACTTAATCAACACTACATCTTCAATTTCATGGTTAAGGAGTGAATAGGTAAGTCATTTTGTGATTCATAAGCGAAGCAGAGTTGTGTTGTGCTTCTAAGGTTGTTTCTAAAAGAGTCAACTTATAGATGTTGTAATTTATTAGTTATTAATTGCCATTTCATTTATAATTCATCTGATTTTCGTTTCATCTAATTAGTGTTCATGGTTTATTATATTCATTTCACTCGCATTTCATTAGTGATTTGTGTTTCTCTGTAGGCTTAGTCTATGTTTTTCCTTCATAGCTCCTCCTTGGGTTAACTTCACTGTCTGCAGTTACTCTTCTTTCCCGTACATTGACTTCATTTATTTTCAATTCATTTGTTTTCTTCAACTTAAAATAGTATTCAAAATTCAACATTTTAGGATTTTTTGGTCATTTAAACTCATTATTCTCAGTGAAATTAAGAGTTAAGTTGTATTGATACTAGACGAGGTCTAATTATGCTCTCTCAGGTTCAATAAAAATGATATCTTAAAAGATAGCATAAAATGTCTCTTATCAACCATTTGTTATTATTTAAACTCTCAATAGCACCTTTCTGGATGATAAATGTTACCCTGTATGCTGGATGGTAATAGTTAACCTGAATAAAATCGTTTGTCATAGTAGCTGAACACTTTTAACCTATTTATAATAACATTTGTGGATGTATCTTCATCAGTTCTAATCCTACCCAGTTTGATCTGCATCTCTAATAAACTATTTAATTTCTGTTGCAATTCTACCGATTAGAAAATTTTCATGATTTGTTCACTTATTCATTCTGGCCCTTCCAACTCGAGAAAAGTGAACTTGTGACATAAATTACAGGTGTTTTAATTGATCAGATTTATCAGTTTATTTAGAAATTGACCTTTTGCTTGCATTGTTTGTTATATTTTAGATTAATCTTTAACTTTTTAATCAAAAGATATTTTAATACTTCCATATCGTTGTATAGTATTGTTATTTCTGTGATTTCCTTGTCGTGATTACATTAGAATCATGGTCATGTTTCAAGTATTAGATCAGCGAGGGAAAGTATTGAACAATATTTGATTGAAATTCCACCAAAATCCAACCATTCATGATTTACAAAAGATCGTATATCATTTATAATTCTCTCTACAGTAGTTTACACATCGATTCTGTATTAGTTCAAGAATTCAGTTTACTCAACAATACAAACACTCAATAGATGACTCTGCTGTGAGTAAAAAAGGAAAGTGTGTAAATATTACGGTTCTGACTGTACTGGTTTTTGTATTGTGTTGTCAAGTAACAAGTCACTTGGTTACAGGTAACCAAACCGTATGCATCTCCATTTTTAATTATTATTGGTTTAAGTGACGTTCAATACATTCAACTGCAGTATTCACTGTTCAATTGTTTCCCATTACTTTATTTTTCGTTCATAGTACTAACAATTCATTTGTAAAAATGACGGCGATGACACAAGAGGATATCATTACAAACACCAAAACTGTGATTCAAGGACTTGATGCTTTAAGGAATGAAAATCTTTCCATCCATAGTGGCTTATTATCTTCATTAGAAGCTATCCAACAATCTGACCATTGTGAAAATGACCCCAACTTAAGACTTATGGAAGAGAAGACATCCATCGTCCAAAAAACCATCGAAAGTATTGAACTTGGATTGTCTGAGGCTCAAGTTATGATTGCCTTAGCTGGTCACTTACAAACAGTTGAAGCTGAAAAACAAAAATTGAGAGCTCAAGTTCGACGATTATGTCAAGAGAATGCTTGGCTACGAGATGAATTGGCTAACACACAACAAAACTTACAAGTCTCTGAACAAAAAGTTGCTCATCTTGAAGAAGAAAAGAAACATCTTGAATTTTTGAATTCTATTAAAAAATACGACTTCGGAGAGGCCAGTGTACGTATACTCAATCAAACTTACTTTAAGCATCTGTTTCTGTGTTTTATCTATAAGCTGTTTTCATTTCATCTTTTTTAATCTTTTTTTTAAATGTTAACAGACAGCCGATGATTCAATGGAAAAAAGTAAAACAGAAAGTGAAGCTCCTCTTGATCTTGGTTTTCCTGACGATGAAGAGGAACAACATCCCGAAGGATTAACGCCAACCCCACCAGGACAAATGGCTGCCGTAGCCAATGCCGGTTATGAGATACCAGCTCGTCTTCGAACACTTCATAATTTAGTCATTCAATATGCATCACAGGGAAGGTATGAGGTGGCAGTACCATTATGTAAACAAGCATTAGAAGATTTGGAAAAAACAAGTGGCCACGATCATCCCGATGTGGCAACCATGTTAAATATTTTGGCCCTCGTCTATCGTGATCAGTATAAATATCGAGAGGCTGCAAATCTTTTGAATGATGCACTAGCAATCCGGGAAAAGACTCTTGGTGAAAACCATCCAGCAGTTGCAGCAACTCTTAACAATTTAGCCGTTCTTTATGGAAAACGTGGTCGTTATAAAGAAGCTGAACCCTTATGTATGAGAGCATTGGAAATTCGTGAACGTGTCTTGGGTAAAAATCATCCTGATGTTGCTAAACAGTTAAACAATCTTGCCCTACTCTGTCAAAATCAAGGAAAATATGATGAAGTGGAAAAGTATTATTTAAGAGCCCTAGAAATTTATGAAAAAGTTCTCGGACCTGATGATCCCAATGTAGCTAAAACGAAAAATAATTTAGCTTCATCTTATTTAAAACAAGGCAAATACAAAGAAGCTGAAATGCTGTATAAACAAGTTTTAACTCGAGCTCATGTTCGAGAATTCGGTAACATAGAAGGGGAAAACAAGCCAATCTGGCAGATAGCAGAAGAAAGAGAAGAGAGTAAAAATAAGAATAAGGATAATTCACCTTTCCCTAATGCAGATTCTGGTACATGGTATAAAGCTGTTGACAAATGGTAAGAAGAGAGTTTTTACATCAATTTAACACTTTTTGCAACATTGCAAAGACTTCTGGTCACGGTATTGGTTGTTAAACATATTGTTATGTTTGTTATTTTATTTATTATTATCTTATACATACTATTATTATTTTCATTATTTGTTCAACTTCAATTCTAACCCAACCACCCCATCTTGAGCATGTATAATTCGGGTTACTTGTTGCTGTTTCACTATTTTTCACAAGAAAAAAAAGACCTGTTGAAAATGAAAAAGCGTTTATTGAGTTTTAACATGCATTTTTTGCTTGTAAAAAAAGATATTCTGTTGAAACGCCAAGTAGATAAAACAATTAGAGTTAAAGATGGAACCGTTTAAAATGAAAAACAGATTTATATAAGGATAAGTGTTGCTGTTAACCCTACATTAGATTATAATTTTATATTTTGTTAAAAAAGTTGCAATTCAATGGATACTTTTGCTGATTCATATTGTAGGAGAAGTCAGAAAAGCTATCTCATCTGAGAGGATTTTACACGGTTTCCAATTGCATGTTTAATCTGCCTCTCATTTCATGATATTTATTTCATTGTACTCAGCGAACCCAACCCATTTTTTTGTTCAATTTACCTGTATGTATGATTAGGTCAACCAAACAAAAAAATAAGTGAGAGCAAGAAAAGTTGAGCTAAATGAGAAAAGGTTAAATGTAATAACGTTTACAATTGATTTTACGGATTATAATTAGGAGTTACGATAAGCAGTTGTTGTTTTTACATGATTAATTAATAATCGAACCTTTCACTAATAGTTATTTGTTTTCTTCTTGATTTAATTAAATGGTTAACCGTTTTTTGTGGTTAATTGAAAGTACAATTCATTAGTCAATACACATTTATATATAGATAGTGATATAAAGATTTCTTACAATTTAAATAAGCAGTTATTTTTAAATTTACATGTTAAAACAAACTGGATCATAAGAAAACTATTAACTCAAAATGAAATGTAGGAAGATCACTTTTCCTTCTCTCTTTTTCTCTCTCATCTCATCATTCTTTTAATTATGTTTCAATTAAAAGTATTCCTCTTTCCCTGCTGATATTAATCACTCGTTTAATAATCAACGAATCGCAACTCCTTGTCAATGACAATCTTTATTGTTTGAATGATAAGTTTATTTTCAACTTTAAATGGTTTCTGGTTGAAGCACAACAAAAAATGTAGCTCATCGTACTTTTACAACAACATCCATACTAATGGTAAAAACATGATTGAAAGTTATCTGTTTCCGTAAACTTTGCCACTTACTCAGTTGAAACAGACTGTGCCATGAGTTTTTTCAATTACTTTTTCAGAACAATATAAAACAATAGCAAAAAAGGCCACTTCTGTATGGCCATGAATCCAAATGAAAAACGTGTAACTCTTGTCAATACTAGTATTAAGTACAGGTACCTAACTGAAAAGATTACGGAATTAGATATTTTCTTGATCCTCTCAAGTCATGATTATGCTAATTGTTAATTCAATTTTTCACTTGAATCTTGTCCATCCACAGGTAGTGCCTTGTTATACTCAAAACTACCAAGCTTTACCATTTTGATCATTTTGCTGCCATTTTTCATCTTAATCACTTCAACTTGTTTTTTCATTTGACATAGATGAATGCTTATGAAATTGAATCCTCTTTTACCTCTCTGCATGACTTTACACACTTGTTTACCTCACCATTGCTACCATTAACTTGATTAGTACTGCATTGTTTCAATTAACAGTGTCTCTGAATCTTGAGCTTTCATTTTCTCAACTTTTCTGTTTTTTCTCAGACCTTTCAAACCTCAGAGAAAATTTAAATCTAAATTCAACAATTGAAACGTATATTCCCATCATTGTTTGTATTTTGTGATAATTTTTTCTTCTCATTGAATCACCTTCTAATAGTTACCTGCATGCTGTTTCAACATTTTTTTTCATTCTGTGTTTTACTTTTCCTTATTGATTCTCTAACCCTTGTAACATCCACGTCAACACCTCTTGCAATCACTTTTTTGTGGTTCCTTCAAAGCAACGTATCATTAGCTAAAAAATTACAGAAATAACTTGATTTGAAAAAAAATCACTTTCAAGACATCTTTATGATGGTTTAACCCTTGAACATATCAAAAGAAAATCATTTTTCTCTTTTTCCTCTCTACCTTTGTCTTCCTCATCCTCATCATGTATCTTTTCATCATTTTTAATCTAATTAATCCCTTACACGGTCAAGTTCGCACTTCCCTCTCAACTCTCAATATCGCTATTCCTTGATCTTCAACAAAAATCTTTTCAACTTTTCTTCCCTACTTGACACTTCCTCAAATAGTTATCATTTTTACATTTAAATATTCATTTATCATTCATTCGTGCATCCATCATCAACCTTATTTATATCATATTCCTCATCATTTCCATCAATTGATTGCTTCCACTTTACCTGGTGACCTCTTGTTTTAATCACCAACCCATTGAATCACTTTTTGCTCAATAGGATTAAACAATAATTTTTAAATACTTGATAAATCAATTTAAGATGATAATGATAATCTGCCATCCTTGGCCTTTAAAAACATTTCAAATTGAAAATAGCAACAAGTCACAAGTAGTTAACTTTTTTCCCCTCAATCAAACAATTCAATTGTTGATTAAATCTCTTTGGTTCATTTATCATTTGCAAACCCAAACCATGCATACATTGAAACCCAACGTGACTAGAAAAACAAAAGCAACAATAAATGGAGTTGAAAGTTGTCTCTTTGGGAAACTTTCAGCTCAATTCCGTCATGAATAACTAGACATGAAACTTTTTTTTACACCAACTATGACCAGAAAATCCGTCAAAATTATCCCTTCCCATTGAATCCATTCATCCATCAATAGCATCAACTAATATTGTCTTTTCTTCTTGTTTCCCATCAACAGTCCCACAGTGGCTACAACGTTAAAAAATCTTGGAGCATTGTACAGACGCCAAGGGAAATATGAAGCGGCAGTTACGCTAGAAGATTGTGCTTTGCGTGCTCGCAAAGAGGTGAGTCTCAGTATAAAAAGCGACCTCATCTAAACCCTGTCTTTGGTGTCTTCACTTGTCCTTGTTTTTTTTCAATACAAACACAATTATTACCACTTATTAGAGTGTTTATCCCTTAATATAAATAATATTTACAAACCTTTTTTTACATGCACATAAAATATATATAAATAACGTAGATATAGTTTTACCTGGTTTTTGTTTGACGGCAAAATGCCAGTCAATTATTAGTTATACACCTAAAAGCGCCAAACACTTGACGTTTTTGATTCTACTTTTATAGTCATTCAAGTTTAAAATCACCTTGACATGTAAATCTTGAAACACTGACCCTCCTTCAAAGTATTAATATTAATACATTATTTTTATAATTTATCATCAAAGTTGAATTGTTTTCCCTTTTTTTCCTCTCAACCCAATCCATCATAAGACAATATAAATTACAATCTTAAAATCACATAGTAAAGTTACAATATATAAACAATTTTAAAGTAAAAATTAAATTAACCTTCTCTATTCGGTGAAAATGTATGAAAAATACCTTTTTATTTTGATATTAACTTTCCTTGCTAATGTTAATCTAAATCGTGAATACACTGATTTTTTTGCATCCAATCCTTTTGATCATCGGACACTTCATTTGCATTGCTATTTATTTTCCCTTTTTTTTACTTATTATCTGGTCACTATTGTCATTGATCCTGATCCTTCCATCCTTCAACTATCGTCCGGCAACTGACCAACTCTTTCTCTTTATGTTTCTTTTGTTGACCATTTTTCTTTGATTTTTTACGTTAGCGAGTGCGTGAAGAGTCTTGTCGCGATTGATGGTGATAAAGTCTTGAAGCCAAAGCAACATCAATGAATCCAATGAGCATCATCAGCACCAGGCAAAAGTGCACCCACATTCAAGCCCAAACTCAAATTTACCAAAACCCAAAAAATCTCATCACTTATTTTTTTCTCTCCTTTCTCAATGTTTTTGTTTTTTCTCCTTCTTCTTACTCTTTTTTTGTTCACTATTATTACCATGATCATTATTTATCAGCCCTTTTCATTAGAACTTTTTGTTTTCTTTTCCCATTATTACACATGAAATGTACCAATCGGGTCGATTGAATATTTTGCACCAGAAAGAAGCAAATCCAATGTGTGTTTCAATGCATCATCAATCTCAACCAACTCTTCACTCTTTATTCCCATTTCAACTGTTGATATCACAATTGAACTAATTAGACAATCTATTATCATCATCGCTATCAATTCACACCAAAAGCTGTCTTTCAATAAGTCAATCCTTTTTATTTAATATATAAACTTCTATTATAACTCAATAGGAATCATCTGTTGACCCTTTGCCTGAACTTTGTGTTGATTATGATGATGATAATAACAGTCAAACACAATCAAAGTAAAGTGAAAGCCTTAAAAATCAGTTTAGACTTGAAATGTTAGCCTTAAAATTAATTTTAAACACAATTGTTGATGAAAAAGATGTAAATTGAATTGATCTTTGAATCTATTTTATTCAATTTCTTCTCATGATTTACTCCTTTTCTTTTGTACTTTTCAATAGCTGCTAATCAATAGTTATAATTGTTGATTACATTTGATACAATCTTAATGATATGGATAAAAATAATCATATATTAATAATTAAATAATAAGAAGACTCTGAAAAAATGAGAAAAAATACATTCAATTGACCCTTTTGTTATATTAACGTTAATACATCATTAATGCTGTTTGTATTCCAAGAATACAAAAGATTGAACAATTTTTTTATTCCTCATCTTAATCTTTCATGATTATCCCTTTGTTTAACCCCTTTACCTTTTGATTTAATTTTTAAATAAATTTAGTTAAACCAAATGATTGATATTTTTCTTGTTTATTCATTTTGATTGAAAAATTTTCATTTTCTGGTCTTTTCAATTTTCCCTCTAATTTTATTGTCAACCAATGATTGCCTCTTCAACTTTACATCATCATCACTATGACAATGTGAATTTGTTTGACTCTATTTTAACTTATTGTTTCTCACTGTTAATACTAATAAATAATGTTAATTGATTTAATTTTAACATCTATTTGTGGGAAATTAAAGTATCCGATTATGTTACCCTATGAATCTAATGTTGCAACTTGTTTGGTATCCAATTTGATGAAGATTTTTTCTCTTGTCCCCTTCTTCCCGTCTCCTTGTTTTTCTTGTGAATATTTTTTCTTCTCTTCCTTTGCTTCTTCTTCTGTTTTCCCTTCTTCTTCTTGATCTTCTTAACGAATATCATATTTATTGAAATCTGGATGTAATTATGAAACAAAGGCTTTAGATGCTGCTGCTCGTCAAGGTAAATCTCATCATTATCTGAGCACTGATTTTATCTCAGCCCAACAAGCAAAGGAAGCAAAACAACGTTCGTTCTCATCTAAAGATGGCAGCCAGAGAGGTTCAAGAGAGTCACTTGATAGTTTTGGTGGTGATTCAACTGTTAATCAATCTGGGGATGTGAGTTAATTAACTTAACCATCACATTATTATTAGACTCAACAAAGTAGTATAATTTTAATAATAATAATAATGATAATGAAAAATAGTATTACATATCATCTTTGCTAACCTCTATACATAATCTTAACAACCTTTTATTTTTCACCTTATACTCACTTTTGTCAGCTTAACGTTAACTATCTAATTTGGTTATATTTCAATTAACATTAGTTTATGTTTCAAGGTATTAACATTGATTAATGTTCGGTCAATTCATAATTGCATGATAGCTCTGATTCCCTTATATTTAACTATTGCCTGGTTACTTCAAATTGCTTGCATTCTCATATTAACTTCGCTTTTAACTTTTCTGGTTTCGGGTCGTTTTTGCTTACTTTTTTATTTTCCTGTCAATCTGTTTTTAATTTTACATTTCTTGTTTCTATTCTGATTCTTATTTACTTATTATTTATGTTTATTTTTTGGTTTTTTTGTTTCTTTTTTGTTGTTTTCCCTCAATCCTGTTTTTTTACCCACATCACAATCAGAGCTCATTGATAATCGGCAGCAATTATGTACAGAGAACTCCAATAAGTGGTGTCAAAAGTTCAGAATCAACCGGATCAATCAATCGACATGGATTAAAGTCCAAGTTTTTTCAAGTATTAGGCTTACAAACTTCCGGATCATCACCATCATCACCATCATCATCCTGAATAAATTATGTAAAATTAACTCAGAGCAATAATTTCAATGTGTCCGTGTGATTCCAACTGGTTTTATAATTTGACTTTTCTGTCTGTTGACCATCGACCTGTTGCATATTATTTGATTTTTGTTGTTGATTCATTTTAAGGAAGCAATCAGTGGGAAATGAAATCAAAACGAATTATCATCCACCATCATATTCATCAAAATCCCTTTTACTCAGAGACAAAAAGAGGGTTAAAAAGATGAACATAGAAATGCTATTGTTAACTAATTGAAACCCTTTCTCTACCTTCATACCTTTTGCAAATGTTTAGTTATTTATTGTTAAAATAAGCTGTTAATATCTTTTTATAATGAAAAACTAACAAGAGTATCTATATTTATTTATAAATCATCTTTAAACACAATTAACTTTGACAATTAATTGGTTTATTGGATCATCGTCTATTTTAACATCTTTTGTTCAATTGAAACCATTGGAATGTAACACACACACAAAAGGCCAAACTAACGTATTCAATGGGAATCATATATCATTGAAGAGAAGCAAAAAGAGTATTAATATCATCATTATTAATATTTTTTGGTCCTTGAATCCTTTTTCATGTTAATCTTCAATTCATTATCCAAATCAGGATCAATCTCATGAAATCTCATCCCTCCTCCCCTTGTTTTTTGTATTAAAATATTGCCCTATTAATATGATGGTGAAGATGATGGTGATTATTGTTACTATTTTGTTGACTTACGGTTCTGCAGCAAGGTAGATGAACTCGGCCATTATTTCATGTTAACAGATTATATCATGATTTTAATCACCCAGCTTTTTACCCAGATACTGTCTTGGTCAAAGGGTTATCATTATTTGCCATTTCATATTTCACCTTACATCAGTCCAATCAAGTTTCATCAGTAATTACATTATTTAAAGCCATTCAAATTGTAAATGTTTCACTTTGGGTAATCCACCTTCACAATTTTTCATGATTCATATCAAGGGTTGCGTTAATAAACCGTAATCTATTTCAGATGGAAACAGTTTAAAATGTGAATTACAATTACAATTGTAAAAGCAAACCTAATCTAATTATAAATCCAGTCTATTCATGTAAATCAAAGCCATTTTGGTAACTGATTAACACAGCTTGAGCCTTTACCTTTGCATCAATCCAACACCATTTATAATACGATTTAATCAAAGTGAACCGTAAATTAAGGTTTTTTCATTGAATAATGAGTCTGATTGGAACAATTTTCTTGAAAGTTCTCTGTACATTTGTTTAAATTATTGTTAAATTGCACTTTCCCTTGCTATTAAATTTTGCTACACAATGTTTGTCACTTGTAACTGGCAATGATACAAAGAAATTATTTTGTTTTGTTTTTTAATTTCTCTTATTTTATTTTATCATTTTCCCCTCACTTTTTCACTCTTTTGGTTTCATCAAATGATCAACTGATTGTACCAAAAAACGCACAATTAAAGCCCATCGACAGTGAGATGACTCGTAGCAGCTCTTTGAGTAAGATTAAAGCTTCAATTCGTAGGACCAGTGCAAATATTGTTCAGAAATTGAAATCTGGTGATACTGAGACCATGTTACGTGATGGACTCGAAAGTTTAGCTTCAAGGTTAGTAAATGATATACAAATTGTGTGATAGTTGATTAACCTTGACTGACAAGTTTGTTTAATCAATTGTTATACCAAACAACCACAGACTGTCAACTAATATTGATGAGGAAAAGAGACACTAATCACCTTTAAATTGTCAACTCGCAACCAACACAATAATGCTATTTACACATTGTACTTAGAAACATACCTTGATCATTTATACCATCGCTACATTATCATTATTATTGTTATTATCAAACTCATCCATAAGCATTGAAATTTGTGAATGTTTATGGTGTAACAAAGATTTAATCATTCATTTAAAATCTTTTTTCTTATTCACTTTTTTCATTTTTTTCATATTTCTCTGTGATTCATCTTGGACTGGAAAATTTCTCTCGGACACTTGGACAATGTTTTAACCATTTCTTGGACAATGGACAGAATGAAACGCACTCGATCAATGTCAATAATCAATCAAAAACCTGAAAATAATTTGGATCAAGAGGAAATAGCATCGAGAATCAAAATGTCAATATCAAGTCAACAATTAACCGTTCCATTGGACGTTTCATCGCCATCTCATAACAATCACCTGGAATCACCTTAACATGTCATCTTTATTTTACTAAATTAACCAATCAAATGCGATAAATGTAATCCTGAGATTCAATGATTTCAGTGAAAGTGTAAAAACTGTCTTTTTGCATTTCCATACTCATCATTTTAGCATTTAAATCTCACATTGATTTGGGTTTTGGTTAACCTCTTCAATGTTATGAAAAGAGAAAGGAAAGATTAAGGCGCATTTAATCATCAAATTTCAATTGTATTTAAAGCTGCTAAATGATTCTAATGATTGTTCATTGATTCTTGATTCAAAATATGCATTCTTTTTTTACAACTCACTTCATTTTAACCAAATTACCCAAAGAAATCAGCAAATCAGTATTAGTTATATTCATATTGACCCGAAACTACTAGAAATTGAAAAATTTTGTGATCATTTTTTCCTGATTCGTTGATTGGTAATCAACTATTTAAATGCAATCTCAGACAAATGTTATTTTGAACCCTGAATTAATGTATCATCATTATCTTCATTATTGGCTACAATTTTACTCATAGTCAAGTCATAATTACTTGACTTGTCGTAAATTTCATAGTAATGCTTTCAATATATTGATAATAAACAAGAATTGACTCTGTAAGAAAAATAACATTTTATTCAGTGTTCAATTGGCAAGCAAATTACATCCGAAGGCCAATTTATATTATTATTTTGACTTGATTTCAGACAATCAGTGGGTATAGATGACGAGGAAAGGCTTTATTAATGATTTAGATAACAACTCATTGACGTGATGATTTTTTTTCAAATCAGCCTTCAAGGTAAATTCATCTTAGTTTCTTAAAATTTTAAAAACAAATTGATTTCGCTAAACTAATTTAATTTCATGTTAACTAATCATAACCTGGAATGAAGTTGATTAATTTGATCAGGTCAATGAAACTCGCCTTTTCTCAAATTGGTAACAATTTTAAAGATAAGTTTCAACGAAACACTCACTAATTGTATAGTTATTATTGATACAATTTAAGAGAATTCAAAATTTTCCATTTCAAGACTTGTTTGAGTTCCAGTCTACTCTTTCACCTAACCTGCTTAAAGTAAATCTCTGCCAATAATAAGTTATATCAGTTCATAGATCTGGTAGTTGTTAATCCAGTTAAGATAATGGTTAATTCCAATCAGCCAGACATTCAGATTATAGTAGATTTTCGTTCGAAAGTCTAATCAATCAAGCTTATTGATTAACCAAATTGAAACGCTTTAAAAGCATTTGTTTACACTTTTTGAAAGAGTAAAAGTTAATTCCAAGAAGTTTTGTGATTTACCTGATTAACTGGTAGTTTACATTTGCTACTGTTTGAATATTTAATATTTTGTTAATGACAGCCAATTGTTAACCTGAACTGTTGACCTAATAAGTGGATATTTTTTTGGTAAAATGTGAGTTAACCAGAAAGCGGTTTTGCATTAAAGTTACTAGGGAAACGGTAAAATGTAAACAAAAGGTTGAATGCAAAATGTCTGATTATAATTTAAGTCGTCTTGGTTTGTATTTTGATAAAGACAGTATTCACATTTTTGATCCTAGTTCTAATCAAACAACAACTGAATTGATTACAGAATGTTCTGAATTCATACAAAGTAAGTAGATTATTTTTACTGAAAGATGTTTGCTCAAAGTAATCTTTTCTTACTTCTCTTTTTCTCATTGTAATACCATTAGGTACAAAGGAGTTTAAAGATATTGTTGATGATTTCATTTTGATTGTGGCTAATCTCAAGGAAAAGGTTGAAAAGGAAAAGATCAAGGTAAGATGAATATTAAGTGTATTGATTGCTAATCGAAATTATGACTGAATCTCTGCTTTTGTTTCTTTTATTGATAAAAATCAGGCTTTGGGTTCTCGAAACGCATTGGAATCTATTGGCATTCAAAAAGAGTTGCACAGACAACAATTGGTTGTTTTAATCAACGAGAAACGCCAAGAATTGGAAAGACTAAATAGTTTGGAGCAATCATTGATTAGAGATGAGGCTGAGCAAAAAGATCTGATTGAACGATTGACTAACCAGAGATGATAAATTCAAGCAAGTTTATCAAAGGGAAACATTGACGCCATCGAATTAAGACAGCGTCTTTTGTTAGTAAACAATGAGTTAGTCATTTGTTCACTGTTTGTACCATTCATTGTCTTCTTATTGACAATGAATGAATAATATAAGCATGTTAAATTAGAATTGGACGAAATTTCAAATTAAATATAAAAAACAATCAACTGACTGATCAAATTTCAAAGACGTAAATAACAACGTTAGCAAAGGAGTAAACATCTAATGAAATTCAAAGTTATCATTGCACTTCTCCTATAACTTACACTCCTGTTTCTGTCTAGTTTTGTTCATCGATTTTAAAATTTTGTTTACCTGAGGACATTAATTATGACTCAAAGGTTGAGATGCATAGGTAGATTGCTTCCATTGAAACCTTCAAACACATCAAAGTACATCCCTTTCCTGGCTAATGGATATTACAATTTTGGTGGAAATTTCTCGTGAAAACGAGAATTATATGGAATCATCATAAGTTCAGTCAATTAGACAATTTAGTGCAAATTAAATGATATTTTAAAGTTAACTTGAGGGAGAAAGAGATATTAAAGTGCTTTTCTCATCACCAATCATTCCATATTCAAGTGCATCGTTTGATTATAGTGAAATACAAATGATCTAGAGCTTATTTCGTTTCTCTCTCTCTCTCTCTCTCTTTCAAATTATCGTATTTTCGTATTTTAATTATCATGAAATGACTTAAACTTGAAAACTTTCCAGTTATCGTTTCTGAAAGCATTTCTTTCCTTTGTCCCTCCTTCCAACTCCTTCGACATCTCACTTGGCTCACTTGAATTTCATCCTATTCCTACAACATTCACTCTTTATATCTTGTTATGAGCTTGACTTTTGACAATTTGTTGACGAGTTTCCAAACTTTCAAATCTCATGATATTCTGCTTTGTCATTTTCAATGCAACCTTGTTATTGTCAATGGTATGAATTTGGTTTGCAAAATTACGCGCTAAATTTATAAATCGTGTTTACAGTCACCAGAAATACCAACAGTTCATTCGATTTTCTTCATTTGGTTTAATTTTATCCATTTCAACTTTTCCTTTGTCAATTGTTTTTATCGTATTATCGTATTATTATTGTAAATCTGTATATTTGGAAACAAAAGGACAGCAGTTATGGCTCCAGTTGAATCGACCAGTTTAATCAACAGACCAACCAGTGACAAGAAATCATCCATTTCAACTTTAAGTTTACCAATTAACGAGGTCAATCTATTGAATGAATTCCGATCTTTACTATCAACTCATCCCAAGACGAAAGAATATGATTTTAATGACAAAATATGCCTTAAATTTCTTCGTTCCCGTGATTATGATCTTTGCGAATCGCTAAAGGTTCTATCAGGTTTCGTTGATGTAGCTGAAGAGAGACCAGATATTTTTTCCTGGAGCGATAATATTAAAAAGGTCATCTCATCTGGTATGTACTATCACTATCCGGTCAAGACTCCAAATGGTTGTAAATTGTTGATCAATCATCCTGGCTGTTGGGATACTAGGTCATTTAAGATTACGGATATTATAAGTGCAACGCTTTTCTTTGATGAAATGAGCCTTCTGGATGAAGATGTTCAAAGAAACGGTTTTATTGGTGTTATCGATATGAGAGGCCTTGGTTGGAGTCACATCTATAATGTCGGTTTGACCAATGCCAAACTGGCTTCCGATTTAACTGATAAATATATTCCATTTAAACTAATCAACCTTCATGTTGTTTATGAGAATCGACTCACAGATATGGCTTACTCGTTGTTTAAACCCTTTTTGGATGAGAGATTAAAAAAGCGCATAATCTTCCATGGACATGATTTGACCAGTCTTTACAAGTATGTGCCGCAATCGTGTTTGCCTCCTTCCTTTGGTGGGACCAATGTTGATTTTTCAGCAGATTATTACAATGAACAGTTGGAATCTCATAAGGAGCAGATTTTAAAAATATGGGAAAGTCTTAAGAAAAAGAAAAGTGTAAATAAAAAATAATGACACAATTTTCATGTTTCAGTAAATTCAAATATATATTCAAATTTTACAATTAATTTAATTTCAAATATTTGTTAAGCTTTTCTCAATGAATGATTTACAATTTCAATCAACAGAGCTTTTATGATCTCGTCAATGGTTTTGAAAGGATAATGCGTAGATATGCTGGAAATAAGTTGATTGTAGGACTGATATGAGCTGATGTAGTAAGCTCCATTATTACAATATGAGTTGATTTGAGCGAAAAAAGGTGAAATATTAATGATTCAACACTTGAATGCATTCTTTACACTTTCAAAGCTCAAGAATTGAAATAAATCAGTTTTTGATAAACTGTTTTTTATCTGATTGTAGCTTGCCTTCGCATTCATATTGTTAACGGTTAAGACAAGCTTCATAATTTGTTAAGTATGATTTTTTCATAATTCACGGTCCAGTTGGTGGTTTAATATATAAATGTAATTTCCCTTTGATAGTTTGTTTATCTGGATTTAGCTTTTTCAAGATAGCAGCTATAGTTGTAACTAAGTCTTGACCTTTTAATGGTACTTTTCGTCCTTTGAATTTTTGTAATAGCTCCGCAGCAGTCATTGGCTTTCTCATTAAATAACGGCGAACTGCATCTTCACTGATAGCTTCGCCTCCTGAACCAGAATCGTTGGTTTTAGGTTTCTTAACTGAAGGACTATTTTCGGCAGAAGGTAACTTCCTTTTTAAAGCAGATTTACTATCATTATCACCATTATCATTATTAGATTGGCCTGCTTGGTCAGTCACAGGTGTATTGGACTTGGAACTTGAGGCCTTTTGATCGGAACCATTTTTATTTTTTGAAGCTGATCCGGACTTCTTCTGCAAAAACATTGCACTCTGGAACTTTGAATCATCTAGATCTGAGTCATCTGAGTCATCAGAAGCTGATGTACCAGAATCAGCTGATAAAAAGAAAACAAGATTGCAATTTTTAGTTTAAATACCGGTTATTTTTGTTTCATAACTGTCAAATTTTTTATATTTAAATTAAACTTACAGCTTTTATTTTCCTGTTTTACTTTAACTTTCCCTGCTGGCTCGTTACCCTTTGATGCTTCATCACCATCCCCTTTAGCTGTGCCTTTTGCGTCTTCTTTATCTTTACCTTCTTCTTCTTCGTCGTCGTCATCATCTGAAAGTACTAATTTCCTTAAAGCATCCTCATCTTCTACTCCTTTGAGCTCCTTGTTCAATTTTTCTTCCAAATCTTCTTCTTCAGATGAGGACGATAAATCTGACATATAATCAACTTCTCTTGCTTCTTGATCCCCTTCGTCACTTTCTTCGCCTGGTTCGCTGTCATCGTCATCATCATCAGATCCTTTCTTCTTTTTACCACCTTTCTTTTTACCGGCTCCTTTGGCTTTACCTTTACCTTTTCCTTTGCCGTTCTTTTGATTACCTCCATCTAACTCATCATCATCACTACCGTCTCCGGATCGATCAGAATCAACCCAATCGTCCATATCACTAACTTTAAAATCTTTTTCTTTTTTCATATTTTTCAACAACTTTGTTTCAGATTGTTCGCCTTCTCCTCCTTCTGTATGTTTTCTTGAAGCCATCACAGCGAAATGGTTATAAATTTTATGCCTTTCTTCGTACCTTTCTTCAGCTTCTTCGGATGTTAAAGGCTTATATCTAGGAATAGCTGTGAAATTGTACCATTCACTAACTGGGAAAGCTTCGAAGGCTCCATCATGAGCTTGAAAAAAGACATAATAAGAAGTGTTTTCGGTAACACCACCTTCTCGAGTACCTTTAAACCTGATAAATAATATGAAGTCGTCATTAAAATAAGCTATTTTTATAAAATTTAGAAAATTGACTCACTTTTTCCCGTTTTTGCCTCCAACTCTGAGAACCCATGGAAAATCATTATCTCGATTCTTACGATAATATTGGCCGTACTTTTTTCTTCTAGCCTCCTCTTTGGCATCTTTTCCGTACTCTGACCCAAAACCAAATTTAGGAGCTTCTTCTGTAGCTGCTTTCTCTTGCTGTTTAAGAGATCGCTCTCTTTCCATTCGAGCAACCTTCCATTTGGTAACATCAACATTCAATGAGTTGGCAAATCGCATAACATTAAAACGTTTACTGTTTTCACTATAAAGTAAAAGAGAAACGGCACATAAAAATATGGAAAAAGTAAAAAGGAATGAAATGGCGCCAATGATGAGGAGAACGGTGAAAATATTACCAAACTAAACGAGTTAGATAGAACTAGACTCATTGATGTATAGAAAGAATAGCAAAAAAATTAACTTACTTTGGAGCTCTAACAACATACTCTTGAGATGCTCCAGCCATGTTGTAAATAGATGCTTAATATATCGATAGAAAACCTGAACTTTTAAAGCTATGATAAAAACAAAATATAATCTTGAAAAACTCTGAAGAAATTAAAAAATATGAAATTGATTTTACTGTTCACTCAACAAGACAAGAAAAAAACCGAATAAAAATTAAATGACTTTTCTTCAAGTCACGTGTTTACTTTTCTTTATCAGCGGCCTCTATCGGCTAGAAGGTCTAAAACATTCGTTTTTTTCATTTTTTCAATTGAAAATGAAGACAAATTGGAAATAAGATGATCAAGTTATTAGTTATATTTTTTGAATATGTTTGATCAACTAATTTAGTTGGAATCCAAGTTAGTTATTGATTCGACTTCTTTATTTAGCGTGCTAGATAGCGCTTTGCAATTTCAATACATAATACAAATGACAATTGTAGTTTTTTCTTAACAGAATTTTTAATAAGAAATTTAATTACATCTATAAATATTTAAGAATCATATTATGCTCCTCACGTAGTATTGGAAATCGTCTTCTGTGAAGAATGGTTCATCTTTATCATCTTGGGGTTCTTCTTGAGTTTGTTTTCTTTTCATAGCATCTAATCCTTCAAGCACCTTTCGTGTAATATTTTTGTCAACCTTAACAGACTTTAGTTTTTCCAATTTTTTGAGATTTTTTTTAACCTTATTACTTTTTTGATCATTTCTAAATCGCTCCAAAGTTGATTTTTTACTGGTTATACCATCACAAATAACCTTTCCTTTTTTCTTTGAAGCTCTCTTCTTCAGCCTGGCTTGTTCCTTTTTTAATCCATATTTATTAGTTGAAATATGTTCTCCTGATCCTGCTGAGAAAGATAAACACAGTTGATGATTAAAATAAAAATGACCAATAAGCAAACAAGCAAACAGCGAATCAAATTGCTAACTAATTCATGATTTGGTTTGTTTGTGAGTGAAAGCAATTAGAAGACAAAATTTTTGGTACGTTTAAGGGAATGAGAAAACATTTGTTTACCTTTTGAAGTTGATTGAACATCATCATCATCTGAATCGATTATTGCTAAAGCGTTCTTGGCAAGCGATTTAGACATGTGTATAAAATTAAAAATATTAAATCAAAGGATTAAATTAATTATACTAACTAAAAATACAGAAGTAAATTTAAAGCTCAAAGATTTCTAGATTTGTTTATTTGTTTTTCGGTACATGTGAAGTGAAAATGCCATGGCTTTTATTAGCGCGATGTTTAAAGAGACTAACATATTGTTCCTATAGCAACACCGGTCCTGTTTCAACTCGTGTTTGGCGGCGAAACTTTCAATGGCAAAAAGACAGTTAGATTTTTTAAATACTTAACCTCATTGAATAAATAATCGACGATACGTAGAATGAATAAACTGCTTTTAGGAACTTATTTAACAATGAAAAATGTCCTTTTATTTTCTTACAATTGGTTAGAAATGATATTGAATGACTCTGTTAATCATTGGTTTGTTTGCGTACATTCAAATGTTCATAAGACGGTTAGCATAGCGCATAGAATGGTACAATTAGAAAGTAGTAATATAATTCTATCCTTTGGCTAGCCTCGATGAGATGGATCTTGAAGGATTTCGATAAGCCACCGAGTCAATTAAAAAATCAACAGCAAAACATTAGGTAATCAGGTATCAGCAAAGTATTAGAGATTTAGGTGACAATGAAGTTAGTCAAAAAATGTGAGAACAATAACTGGAAAGACAATTTTATAGATATTATATATACGAAGACGATTGATGAAAATGATACAAAATTAAAGCGTGATAGCTATTATTTAAATAACTGGAGCCATAAAAACAAATTCTCGAGATTAAGGACCAGATTTTTTGACATTTATTATTTTTTGACTTAATGCCTATAAGAGAGAAAAATTTTATTAGATTAGATTGTCAACTGTGATAATGATTATAATTTACCTTAGCTATATCAGCTTTTGGGCAGTGTATTAAATGAGTTCCTTCTCCAGACATTAAACCTCCAAGTTTCCTTTTATGTTCCTGAAAATTTTACATAAAGAGCAATAGGGTGAGTAATTAGTAATCTAAATAAGAAGCTAAATTAGTTTCATTTATACCTTTAAAGTAATCAGAATATTGGTTCCGTCAACAACTTCAACTTGGGCTACATTATCATAAGCTTCATGCCATTCCAAATCAAGACATTTGGATAGGAAACTTTGTTTGAGATACATAACTCGATTATCAGTGATAAGCAGAACAGTTTCTGGAGTCAGATGACAATGAGCTACATAATTATCTGTCGATGCAAATCTTCCTTTGTCAACATCTCGTAAAATTGATTTACCAATGGCTTCATGGCGATTGTAAGGACGAAGAACTCCGTCAATGTGGAAATGACGAGTAGGACGTTGTTTTTCAGCTTCAGCATTAATATCAACTGCACGCTGCAAAGCATTAAGAGATCCTGAAGTAAAATCAATGACACCTGTAGCTGGGTCAGCAATAATACCAACAACCCCTCGACCAAAACCTTTAACCAATCCTTCAAAACCTTCTTGCTGTGCCCCTTTCATAGGTTTGGTAACAACACCAGTTATGCCGGTGAAAAATCCACGCGCCAAATCCTTACTACTTTGAGCAAACGATTGTTTCTTATTGATTCTCTCTCGTCTTTTTCGGCGAGCTTCTTGGTCCATAGTAAGTGTCGAAATACCATCTCCAAGAGTACCAGTAATTTTACCCAAAGCTCCAGCAGCACCACCAACAGTGTGACTAACCAATGAGCGAACACCGATAGCAAGACCTTCAGCAAATTCCTCGGGTCCTTCAATGATTCCCACAAATGGTTCGTAGAAAAAGTCACCGACTCCTTGTTTAAGGCCCAAAAACAGTCCAACTGGATTACCAATAACGTCCAAGCCCAATACAACAACGTAAAATTGTTTCAACACTTGTCTAACATAATGACCAATGGCAAGGTAAATAAGCTCTGAATCGCTGAGAAGAATATTTCTTCTTTCGAAATAATCTATCTTGAATAGTACATCTTTAAATTCAGTGAGAGTAACACCCGCTGATTTTATGAGGAAATCGAAAACTCCGAAGAGTTGGAAGGAGTCTGCATCACCAAGGTTAAAACTAACATGAACTTTTATGGGTGAGAAATGAATTGAATCATAATAATTTTTAGATGAAACAGGAATCTCAGTATAATCTGTTGTATCTTCTAAACACTTTTTCATCGTGTCTTGAATCATTTTCTCAAAACTTATGCTTCGTTTTCTTTGTAAAGAAACAAGTTCAGTCAAGGCAATTAGAAAATCACCATCGATCTGTATCAGGAACTCTTGAATCAAAACTTGTATAAAGTTGAATCGGAACATGTTAAGTTGCTTTTGAATAACCGTGCTGACTTCAAAAAAGGCTTTTGGAGCACGATCAATAGCTAAGGAACGAGGTGGTGTAATAGGACACATGACGATTCCAAATATACAATCGTTCATTTGATTGTCAATTTGAATACGATTAATTTTAGAATGGAATTGAATGATATGTTCAGAAATAGAAACGGTACACCAGATACCGCTAGCAGAGTTACGACGTAAGAATCCTTTGTAAGGCTCAAGAAGTCTCATATTTTCAATGTCACTAAAGTCAACTTTGAGAGTTTCAACCAAAAAGATATTTGACTTATGTTCAGATTTAGGTATCTTAAGAGCACCAGAAATCTCATCACGACGCAAAAACTTTTGATATGCATTTTCAAGAGCTTCAATCTGCTTCACAGATAAGGGTTTAAAACGTTTGCCACGTTGTTTTCGAACCTCCCATAATATGTCAGAGCTAGAAAATAAAATCGAAAGAAACTAAGAGTTTAATACAACCTCATTAACTTATAGATTTAAATGAAAATTTACCTTGTGATTCCAATATAAGCAATTTCTTTGAGATTGTCATTATTTACCAATGAGATGCCAATTCCTCGTAAAAGAATCTCGACATCAAATAAAGGTTTAATAAATTCAGTTTGCTAAAGAAGGAAAGAAATTTTTAAACGTCAGTCGTAAATGAACAAGATAAGGTGAATAAAATACTAACCTTAAGGGTACTTTGAGCAAGAAGTTGATCTCTTGTAATTAATAAAATTCGCTGCTTTCCATACAAAAAGCAAGCCCAGTAAATATCACCTTGTTCAGATTCACCAATAGCATCATGAGCCAAATCAATAACAACTTCTTCAGACGATTGAGTACTCCAAATCAAGCTTAGAGGTGAAATAGATGGATCATGCCATGTAAAGTAAGTACAATGAAGAGGTGGGATTCGTTTGCGGTAAGAAACTAAATTTTGACCAAAATCAACCGACAAATCTTCGAGGGTGTTGAAAATTCTTACTGGAGCTGAGCCAGGGAAATAATTTGTTAATTGGATGACCACTGAATTATCTGTAATATCTACATTAACAACAACCAAACGATCAGATACTCGAAGTAAAATAGAGACAGAATCTTTGAGTGAAATGGGTCTTGAGGATTCGGCTTGATGTCCAGGTAATCGGAAGAATAAAGAACATTCTTTGCTGGTTTTAGGCCACAAAGAACGAGTGCTACGGCTTTGCACTACAATCCATTCTTCGTCGTCTTCACTAATCTCCAAATCTAGATTTGATTTATTTACGATCGAGTAAAATGGTGAAACGGTGACTATTTTGGTAAAACCAAAACTACTTAACTCGATTTCTATTGAAGCACAATAATTTAGTTTATCTTTTCCTTTAGCAATTACGTTTCCTTTATTACCCACAGCATCAATTGAGAAGGAGTCCGAAAATTTTGAATCCCCGAAGGCAAGAGATAATTTCTTTTTACTGAATAACGTTTTAGGCTTGAAACATAAAAGAACAGGTACTTGTTGTTCTGGGGGATGAATAGTTAAATTATCACCAATTTTGTAAGTCAACGGGATTCCAGTTTTATTGAGCATCCAGAATGGTGCAAACAGAGAAGCAACACGACAACCAATTTCATCCGAATTGCAAAAGTTAAATGCCAAGTCAAGAGTGGGTACTGATCCTGATTCAATTGGATCGATTTGAGTGAAAGAAAAAATTTCAATTTGATCTTCTTTCATCCATCGAACTGGAAACTTGTTTCGACAGACCCATTTTTTACCTCGATAATCGTTCAATACGATTACAATTTTGTTGGTTTTCATATTCAAATTACTTAAGTTGTGAGCCTCACCAGGCTTTATCGTTCCTTCTTTGGGTGATTGTTCATCTGGAAATTCGAGAGAATAGGAAATACTGAAAGGTAATAGATTGCGGAGCTTCAAAACAGGATAAATGTTAAACTTATAACAGAAACAATCTGGAGCTGATCTTTGGGTATCTTCAAAAAGTACATTTTCTGTCTTACAGCCAACACGAATGAAAAAATCTGGTTCTTTTTTCTTAGATTCACACGTAATTGTGGAGAAGAAGTGTGTGAATGCTTTAACCTCTTTGGCTTTCCAACAAATTGCATCTCGAGGTGTACAATAATCATCACTCGGCTTTACAAAAATACATTGGTATTTAGAATAGACAATGTCAACTGGAAGAAAATATGATGCACTGGGTTCAATCTGATAAAGAAAAGTGTATTCTTCCATGTTACCCGAAATATCAATATAGTACAATCTCAATGGTATGTGAAAATGATTGGTAATTTCAACAGTAGATCCAAATATGACCCGTTTTGTTCGAGAATCACGATGTCCAATATCAAACATCCATCTATACTCATCTCCTGGATAACTTAACAATGGAAATCGGAAACATTTACGTTCAGTTCCTCGCAAAGAAAATCGTCTGGTTATGGTTTGACCTTTATGCGAAAGCTCACAAACAACTTCGTTGTCATGGTCAAATGCGGTTTCTCGTAAGTTATTTAATTTAGCCACTTGACCATTTTTAATTTCAATTTTTTCGTGATAATCAGCCATTTTAATTGCATCAGGTAGATCGTGAACAAATTTTCGTGTGTCCACAACAATTGAAAGGTCCATTCCAGTGAAATTTGAAAACTCAATCAAATTTTGTCCAAGTAATGAGGTATCAGGTTGTTTAACAACATTGGTGAATGCTTGGCCTAGATCAGTGATAACACTAATTGCTGATTTACTCAATGTCATCTCTAACTGCGATTTGGATTCCAGAAAAGCACTTATTCGTGAATTTGCACCTTCTTCAGAAACTATTTTTGCTTTCAAATCAAAGAACCAGGGTTCTGTGTCAATGGTTTCAATGATAGGTTCCCAAGCAAAAGTTTTCTCGTTATAATAATCCATGTAGCAAGATGAGTTCATGTTTAATTTATTCCAATTGTCAAGAATGATTGTATGTGATGAGATCAGTTTGATTAATGGTTGCGAATCCATTCCACCAGATTCAATAGTGATAGAAATATTTTTAACCTTGACAACTAATTGTTGCAAGATGAAGTCAACTTTCTTAGAGTCAGGCTCATCAAAAGTTAAATCTTCAGTCGCTTCGATTGCAGGGGCAACAGAGTAATGTAAGAAACTGTATTTTGTAACAGCAGATAATGGTTTAGGCAAAAATATTGCCAACTCTTCTCGTAATTTATCTTCATCTTGGTCATCAGATTTTTCTTCAGAGGATTGTCCCAAAGCACTCATAATGGACATTAAAATTTGTATTGTATTGGGTGAGATGAATAAACCAATATCGGTAAAATCGATATCAATGTGCTGTGAAGATGATCCATTCATTTCAGCAATCAAATAAATCTCGAAAGGACGAACAATATAATTATCTACTTTTTTGGTTTTCTGGTAATTTTCAAGACTGGTAATTCCTAACTGAATATGACCAATTGAACCTTTAAGAGACATTACATCATCCTTCATTTTTACATCAAAATCCATTAAACTATTGAAGATAACTGCTGGAGGATTTTCCATTTCCGTAGACTCAATCAGTACAATATCAGCTTCAGACATGGTAAATCTAATAGTCATTAATGGAGTATCAATAGGTCTGCTAATGTACATTTTATCAGGAGATAATTCGGCAACCCTTGCTTTGATTCCTTCTCGAGTAGATGCAGTTAAAGATTGAAAATCTGTAGAAACTGCATTAGCAGAATCGGAAGGTAAACCTTGCAAGGACGAGGTGACAATGTTAGACAGTTGAAGAAGGTAATCAAGAGCAAATATAAGCGTAAATCCTGACATTTCCATGTTTACGATTGTATCCTTTTCTTTTTTGAAATATATCTTGAGCGTTTTTCCTTGAGAACCATTGGATGTTGAGATATAATCATTACAATACATCAATTTTCGTAATCGCTTATTTTTGGATGGTCTTTCGTCACATAAAACAATATCACTCATTGTCATGGTAAGAGTTAACGAATCATCGGTATTCATCTCGCAATTAACATCGAAACCTGCCAGATAAGCGTTGGTCAACTTATTTTGCACACTTTTAACCTCTTCTTGATACAAGACAAGATCAACCTTTGGCATCGCAAACGATACTTGGTAACGAGAAAATATTTGCTCTGAAACTTTTTCCTCTTCAATTGCATCAACATGAACCACAGCTTCTTCCACGATGGTTGTTGTCGATAATGGCAAAGACACTTCAGTATACGAAGGGTGAAGTTTTTTCGTTTTGATTTTTTTCGTTCGAGGCTCAGCAGCAGTTGGAACTATAGCAGAACAAGTAACATCTTCGCCAACAGGTTGGTTAATTTCATACCCAGCAGATACATTTTCATTGAGAATGCTCATCATTAGCATAAGATTGGTTTGAGAGATTTGACAATAAATTTCTTCCAAAGTAGCACTGAGTTTTAATTCAGGGATCTGTTTGTTTCCTTCAAAGTTGAGATTTCGAATCGCTGAAAGATTAAAGCTGATGGGTTTAACAATACTATCAATATTATCTTCACGATCATCTGTGCTCATGAAGACATGGGTGTTGGTTAATTCACATTTAATATGATCCAGTAAGTTAGAATGAGTAGATTCGATTCTATTGCTTATACCGATTCGACCAAGATCCACAAGGATACAATGTTTGGACTCCCAATTTCGAGGGATAACAATTAAAGGAGCTTCTAATACAACATTAAGACCAATTTTTGTTGCATTTTGGTAAGCATCAAGAGCTGTCTGTTTAGCGAATCCGGCTGCGGCAGAAGAAGCTGCAATTGCACGTTTTTTGGCTGTTTCAAAAACGGCCAAAAAGTTCATTAAGCGAACGACAAATTCATTTAAAAACACAATCTTTAAACGCCCAAATTGAACATTTAGCTGCATATCAACATTACCAGGTGAGTATTTTGTCTCTGTAGGGGTAAACATGGTCAATTCAAGTTCTAGAACTCTTTTACCAGGCGAAACAAGAATATGTTCATGGACAAGTTTACGATCTAGCAAACGAGGATTACTTGGATCACGGACACAATTAAGGATGGCAAAATCATTCCAAAAAGCTTTCATGTTGAGTCGTCCAGTTTCATAAATTGTTAAAATAGCTTCTAAACCTTTCAAGGTTGTTGAACAAATACCGCCAATTGCAAGAACAACACTATCCACACAGATTTTAGTTCGGAGATTAATTACTTTACACATTTCTGCATGTTTCTTTTTAGGTTTAACCATGATACCGGCAAGAATTGTGGTACTAATTTGACTAGAGACTGAAGGTCTTCTTCTAGTGAGGGCTCGATCAACATCGTCGTTGGTGGATGGTAAACTGTTGGCAATTTTTTGTGTGTATAGAAGAAGTTCATCCAAAATGGGCGAATCAATGAATAATTTACATTGAGACATTTGAATATCAATGCTTTGAATAACATCTTCAAAAGTTGGACCATTCTTTAAGGTTGATTTATATTTGAGCTGCAACAAATTTTCATTTTCGATAGTTTCGATAAGCTTGAAGACTGGCGAACCGGCTACATCAAGATCATGAACTTGGACTAGAATTTGACCCAGGAATAAGTCGACAACCGTATCAAAGCTTTTGACAAATATTTCAGTTCCTACTCTTTTAACACGAAGTAGTAGCAGTTCAACTCCATGGTCAGTTTGGAGATCACAGGTTAATGATTCAACTTTGAAATTTAAAACAAGATGAGTCATTTGAATTTTAGATGATCTAGCTTCAAGTTTGGCTGTTTCTTGAGCTATCTTCAAGGCATCAGTTGTCGCCTTGGCTTCGTGCACTTCATTACTCTCTATTTTAGGTCCAATATGCATAGTTTCTGACTTTTTAGGAGTAGGCACTGTGAGAAGTAAGTTAAACAGTCGACATAATTGAATATTACGAGCTTTGAAAAATATCGATGGAATCGTCCCTTCGATTCTCATTTGAGGCATATGAGGATCATCAGCGATGATAGAACGCATTAAACAAAGTTCAAGTCCAAAAGGTTCGAGTAAATTATTCACAGAAGGTGTTGTTTGTGTTCTACTTTCTGCCAAGTCATTTCTCCAATTTTCACCTGTTGTCAGAATAATTTGAGTTCGGGAGACTTTCAAACGGAATCTTTCGTATGCACTTTCACGGACTGCGTTAATTAAAGCTTCTTCGCCAGAGTCTTGGTACTTTAGTCGCAATGATGAGGTTGAATCGTCAGTGAACTCAGAGAAAACAGCAACTTCACCACAAGACAGGATCAAGACGTTTTCACAATCATTAACACAGCCACGGTCAGGAATAACTATGTACGATGGTTCAATAACAATATCAATTTTCAGAGTATTGTGTTTCTCAATTGCATACTCTAATCCTGTCACCGACATCAATTTAAACTGGTTGAACTTTATCTCAGCTAATGCTTGAATTTGGTCAAGTGATACATCTTCTTGTGGTGTTATAATATCAAACAGTGCATTGAAAGTTTGTGCATGGTACATAACGTCCACACCTCGAGCTTTTATTGTTGCCCCATAATCAAATGAAGCATCCAATGGATTTGTTTCCAATATAATCTCTAACAAATCTTGATCACAAACTTGATTAGTCACAAGTTGATTTTCACCAACTCCTTTAAGGTCTATTGCACGAACAGTAGTACCAACACGAACTCCATTACTAGATGGTCGGTAGCCAAGTTGTGTTGCGACATCATTCAAACCGAACGATATGATGTTGGCCTCTTTTTTCTCATCGAAAATACAAATTTGAATGGCTCGTAATTTGATTGCTACAAGATACGCTTCGTAAAAAGGCGGATACTCGGCAGGAACAGATTCTTCATAACCAATTGCTGCATATAATTTTCCTTTTTCATCCGAAGTCATTTCTTTCTTAATCTCATCCAAGATAGGTTTTGTCAATGAACCTTCATCATCTTTTTTGGATGAACCCCAAACCCATGAAAGCCATCCACCGCTTTTAGTCTCTTCAGCTTTTTCAGCTTGCATTTTTTCAATCCCCAAATCAACTTGACTTCTAACCAAAATTATATTGAAAACATCTAATTTTGATTCTAATTCATCAATCAAACCTTGTTTTACTTTTTTAGGTGTAAGAAGATGTTTTCTGTAGGTTTCTTCATATTCTTTCATTAGTTGTCGATGAGCTTTTATGTAAGACCAACTCCATACACGATTTCGTTGTCGTATTTCCGTTTCTAGAATAGCGGTTTGAACAAATTTCCACCAAACTCGGGCGTTTCCCTTTATCGGAAGATGTGGTCGCCATTGACGATAAGGAGCTGCTAATTTCATACGATCAACTGAGTCGAGAAGAAGAAGAAAAGATTCAAACTGTCCTCTGTTAAAGGCCAAAGTAAATTGGTCCAGTAACATATCAATGTCGAACATAGGAACTTTAAAATCTTCTTCTTTAGGTTTTCTATTGATAAATGTTTTTGCGGTGAAATTATTCGGCCTTAAAACATAGGTTAAATCTTTGGGTCGATTCCATTTGCTAGCGATTCTCCACATGAACTCACGATCCATGTCTTCTTCTTTCAAATCTGAGATGAATTTCATATCTTCTGAACAGTTCCAATAGACAGATAAGTATTCCAATGAGATTTCCTTAAGAAAAGAGTTCTCCTGGTTTGATGAAGTATATTTAGTGCAAGTTTCTTGAGATGTTACAAAAGCTAATCGACTCAATGTTAAGCCTTTAGTGGTTCACAGGACATGGGAGAGACATGGTTTAATGTCCATAACGATCATAATAATGGTCATTTTCATAATGGATAGAAAGATGATACATAAGGAGAAAGAATATAAGAAATATTGAAATTTACATTAGAAAGTAATTATTAAGAGGAAAATTTGAACTTTTAAAATACTAAAAGGTTTGATTCAATAAAATCTCAAAAAGAAAGACTATTGGCACGATTAAGATTAGTAAGCGGTAGAGATAAGGAGGAAAATTGTCTTAAATCGCAGAACACCCGAATCGCAAGCAAGAAATTCTTAAATCATATGCTTGATGATAAGGAAGCAAAATTTATGTGAGTGAGTAACAATTCTCTGTCAAGGTTGTGAGTGACAACAACTAAATAAAATTTCATTTTCACAGAAAAAGAAACTTAACAATAGTGAGAATCCTATCAACCTAAAGATTTAAATAATGACAGTTAAACAAAGAGCCCCTATTTCATTGCTAGAAAATAATTGGCACGATCTTATTAGAAGTGAAATTGAAATTAAAACAAAACAGATATTGAACAAATAAATCTCAAGGAAATTTTGAAAATTGGTACTTGATACACCTCCACTAAACAAGATTATATTTCAAGATAGAATTGAAGAGATAAATGTTTGTTGTTAGAAATATGAAGCATTAACAGTAGTGCAAATTGTTGATTATCGATTTACGTACCTATAGAAAATGGTGACTTGGGATTAGTAAATTTATCCTCGTAACAAATATGGACATTGTCGACTTGAATTTCTAGATTTCTCATAATTTGAGCAACCAATTTGGTAACAAAATCGTCACCTTGGGCTTGTTCACCGTCCGATTCTAATATTGAAAATTGAATGGAGATATGGAAAAGTAGTTGAATTAGATTAACAAAACAAATATCGGGGAGGTTCCTGGATACCAATCGGTTACATAATTGATTGATACAAAAATTGCAAATCAGTCGTAAACCCTTTTGCTGAATGTTCTCATTTATCAGATTTTTGTTTACAAATGAAATATTTTTTATCAATCAAATCCAGGAATAATTGTTGTAATGAATCACCTTTTATCTGGGCAGTCTTCATTGCTTCTTCAATTTGTTTCAGTTGCTTCTTTTTCTCTGCATCCATTTGCTTCTTCTCAACTTCAGCATCATATTTGCTCTCTAAAAATGAATGAATAGAAAATAATTAGCTTACAAAAAACAGCTGTATAAGTGAAATGCAGAATCTACTAACCAACATTAGGAACACAGACTATGAATACATCTGAAACGGTGAAGACAACCGGGCTGGTGTAAAGCGACACCCAAGGCACTCGAGCCTTGAATTTTCCAATGTGTCCATAGACAACTCTGAAGGGTAAATTAAGAGAGTCAAAGGCATTTCCTTTGATTGCCAAATTCTTCAACTCAACATCACCTAAAGAGAAAAGAAGAGAAAGTATTAGAATTGAACAGAAACCTTGAAGCACTAAAGCATAAATTGGAAAACATGGCTCATCAATATTCAAAGCTTACCTGTGAAGGCACCGATTTTTAACTGATTAGCAGAAAGATCATCAATAAACTCATTGAGATAAGTGTTGAGTAGGTTAGAAGTTAAAGATTCAAAAACCATCCTCAGACTTAGTCAATGTATACACTAGGTTTGGTAATATTTAATAACCAAAAATATGGTTGATTGCAGTTTTAACACAAAACACGAAACCAAAATTGTTTAATGCAATAACAAATAGCAAACAAATGATGATTGGATTAGATTAAATATTAGATCAACGAAATGAACACAACATAAAATATAAAAATTGTAATGAGATAGAGGCAGTTATGTTGCCATGATCAATATAGTTATAGTTATTAGTTTATTTAATTTAAGGATTCTCTCAAGTGAGATAATAACTGTGTTTCATGGAGCAAGATGTTAAAACACAGTTGATAACCTAGGAACATAATTAGATGAATACAAGACGTAGGCACAATTAACATGGATCAACTATTAAAAGGTAAACTCGTCAACAGAAAAAAACGATTTTTCCTTACTTTCCTTAGCAGCTCGTCACAGACATCACATGTTTTGCAGAAAACTCCTCCCACCATGTTGTTGATGGTACAATAACTTTGCATTAATAAAATGATAAAAATCTTAAAAATTTGGATGATTTAACTTTTTTATTTCAATCATTTGCAGATTATATTATAAAATTATAATAATATTCATTAGCTTAAGCATTTACTCAATGGATTGCACAGCAAATGCGTTTCACTACTCCCTACAACAGGGAATAATATAACAATCGAAAAAAGCATTTAACAGATCACTTTAAATACAATAAAAATTGATACCGATAAATATGTCTTGTGAATTTAAAACATGGAAGGTAATAAAAATTAGAAACATCTTTTAAATTTTAATTTAAAAGAACCTAAGCTAAAAATTAACAACTTTAGGTTTCTTTTTATTTTTATTAAACCTCGAAAGATCATCAGCATCAGCACTTTCCTTAGCTGATAATGTTCCTAAAGTTATCTCTTCTTCAGGCTCTTCACCATCTTTGACAGCGTCAGGACAATCTTTGGCTAAATGATTAACACTTTTACATATTTTACAGGAACCACCTTTTGGGTAAACTCCTTTAGTGTTTTTAGGACAATCTCTGGAAATATGTCCTCTCTCGGAACAAACGAAACATCGAACAAAATCGAGTTCAGTCTTTTTACTTTTACATTCAGATAGATTATGTTCTGCAGATCCACATTTAAAACAAACGTCAGTCATGGTGTCCATATCTCCCTCAGCCTTGGGACATTCGGATAACTTATGTCCAGGATCTCGACATCGATAACAAGCATTTTTCAATTGCTTTCGGAATTCGTTTTCAGCTTTTCTACGTTCTTGTCGCAATGTTTGTTTGATTTCTTCTACTGGTTTACCACTGCTGTTTAATTTTTTTCTCAATTTCACCAATTGAGCTTCAACGTCATCCGGAAGCGGCATTAAACCACGGTCTTTGGCAGTCTTTTTATTGTTTTGTCCTTTTCTGAATCCATGTTTTCCTTTGAATTTGTTCTTGTCAGGAAATCGCTTCTTAAAACCTTTCTTATGTTCCGGTTCTGATGGCGTTGAAGACATAATTTAACACAAGACAATATATGTTTAAATATTCACAAGTCAAAAAAACAATGTCAAAAAACTTTATTCTAATAGCGGCCTTAAATTAAATCACATGAATAACCCAAACATGTGAGTTTTTCAACTTGAAACTGTCATGACTGCCATCTTGTGTCGAATAAAATGCTAATTATTGCAAAAAAGATTCGAACTGGATACTATTAAAACTAAATGTAAAGATGTTATTCTGATTACTGGGACTGGAGAAACTTTTAACCAGAAAAGTAATCAATACCAAAAATATAACAGGTTCTGGAAAATATTTCTGATTAAACAACCATAATTAATTTCTTTTCATTCACTTGATTTAGATTTTCCTACAATTCACTTTTAATTGTTTCATCTCTTATGTAATCTCTTTTTCTTTGTTACTTTACCAATCTGGCTTCTGATACCCAAACTATCTTAAATGTATTAAAGCTTGGACTCTCGATCGATTAACTAATGAATTAACAAATTAAATTGTTAATTTTGCTCTGAGAAAAATTTTCAGTGTTTGAATTTGTTCATCATACTCTGAGCGAGTGATCTGCAAAATTCAGAAAATCAAAAGTATGACAAACGAATTGATAAGCTTCAAAAATTTTTGTTTGAAATGTTTCACTCAGCAATTTAGATATACAATGTATTCATGAGGTTCTCCGTGATTTTCATTTCGAAAAACATCTGAAAAGGCCGCTTCGGTTAGTTAGCATTGTTGTCCGTAGATTGCGATCTAGTCTAGTTATTTTTTTCTTTGTTGAAAATTCAAAAACCAAAAATCTGTTACTTTTGGGTTTAAACTTGAGTTTCAAAGTTTTCATTTTAGTCTCAACTTTCAAGTGTTTTTATTGTTTAAATAAAAGTTTGAAAAAGTAAGCTATTTTAATTTATTTTATCATTATTAAGATCATCTTATAAAATCAAAAAGAAACAAAATCGAAGATGCCAGGATTACTCAAATCTCCAGAAAATAGCCCAAAAAAGAATGAAATTGGACCCGTTATAATTGAGGATATACAGATAATTGATGTTCATTCATTGATGCATTCCCGACCAGAAAATGCTTCACCAATGCAGATTACTGTTAAAACATCACGGGCTCCAATTTTTAGTAACAATAATCAACCCCCTAGAGGCCTTAATTAAACACGATTGGAACACAGTTCATCCAGCAAAATCATTCTACCAGAATTGCTACAACTGCAACTAATTTATCATGTATTCCCATATCAATGATTTTTGCATCTCATTCTGAATTTTGACAATGTAATCAAGAACAATTCTTAATCAAATTATTCTTCAATAAACTTTCTTTTAATTTCCCGAAAAAGCGTCACAAAATCAATGCTACTGATAGAAAGAAAACAGAAAAAAAACAATGATGAGCTTCAAAAATCATTGAATAACTCACCAATCAATGAAACATTTTCATGATTACAGCTAAACGCGATTTCACTCACAAAATTACTTTGATAGTAAAAATTTCTTGAAATTGGTTCATGCAGCAATTAAAAAGTGATAGTAAATGTTCAGTTGAAAAATTTGTATCTTGACAAATTATTACACAAAATTGGAGAACATTTTCATCTACTGTATATAAAAGCTTATTGAATAAGCTAAATAAATGAATCGATTTCAGAGTTGTGTCGAAAACATTTTAATACTTGCAAGAATTGCTCAAATTGTCAAATTAAATGGCACATTAATTAGAAGATTGAATTAGACACATGATATTGAAATTTTATGAAATGATTTGTTTACAGTTTGAGAAAAGCATTATACTGAAGATCTTTAAGTTCTTTTAAGATATTGGCTCTTCATACTTTTGGTGTCATCATTCATCGTCTGATTCAGAAGCATCGGAATCCAATTTTTTCAATGCACCATCAATATCATCAACGTAATCTTTAAGTTTCTTCCATTCGTCCAAAGACAAGCTGATACCTTTCTTTCCAGGTAACCTTTTACCTTCATCATTGACGTAATATTCTCTTATGTCAACTTTCAAGCGACCTCGAAATGATGAAATAGAGATGAAACGATTGTTACTCAATTTGAATTTATCATCACTGCCTCCGGCATCTCCTGAGTCGCTGCTCTTGGAACCTAAAATGAAGAAAAATATCGATTAATATACAGAAATATTGAGTAAAGAAAAAATTAGGATCAATAAATACCAGGCAAAATTGTAGAGGAAACTATGAAAAGGCAAAAAAGCAATAACAATTGAGCTTACCTTTAGATGGAGTTTTAGGCATGATGAAATTCAAGTTTTGGTATTGATCACAGTAAAACGAGACAGAAAATCAAGATTAATCAAAATTAGGAACAATGTAAGTAGAATTTGAAGCGCGTTAAACCAAAATGAAATGAAGCAATCGGCTGTTTTATTTCGGTGAAAGCTTTAGAAAATAGCTTGCAAGGCGCCACTCATTTTATTTTGAAATTAGAAAAGATCTGCCATCTTCTGCTTTATATCTAAACTAATATTTCGCTATTTGTTTTTTAGTTTAAATAGTTTTGCTATTTTAGAAACGATTTGCATAGTAATGTTGTAATTAATTTTCAATTTTATTAAGGACAATCTGTATTTATCTTATTAAAGAAGGATTTTGCGAATCAGCCCGCAAACATAAATAAATAAAAGGTGCAATATTTATCTGTTGAAGCTCGGTTTGAACTGAATCGAAGCAACATATTGTGGTAATTGATAAACACATGAAATTATATACAATTAATGTTAAAGTACCAAACTGCTTTTATGAAGCTTTGATGTAAAATTTAATTCTCATGGCTCATGATTTTATTTGATGATTCCAGATTGGAATCAGGAGATCAGGATTATAACGCTAGAGAAAGTAAGAAAAAGCAAAATAAGATGTAAAAAGTGTAAAAAAGTCAGTGGTATTGGTGCCGATATTGTGGTTGAATTGAAGATCGATGATAGAGTTTGGTTAAGTCATATTGATATTAGAGATTCCAGAGTTTAATCAGGATTAAGATTTAGAAATCAACTAGCAAATAAAGTTATATTTTATAATTATTTACAAAATATTTACCCTTTAACTGGCTGTTATTCATGATAAATTGTTTTGCTTTCCCGTTAGCGCTAATCTTTATGATTCTTTGAAGCCTGATCTTAACTGATCTTATTGAATTCATTTCTGGAGTTATGCGCCTCAGCTCTGTTCTTTCTGTGCCTTAAAATTGAAGAATCAAAAATTTTTCACTTTTAATTAAAAAAATTGATAGCAGTTTGTTAATGTTAGGAGCTTGTTGATAGACCCTGAATCTAGAGATTCATGCTTGACCAGGACAATCAAGACAACTATTTATAATGTATATTACATATAACCTACCCTAAATAGAATCTAGTTAATCCACTTTACCAGTTTAACATGTTTAAAATGAGTTAAACAACATCATCTTCATTAACATCATCATCAAAATCTTCAGCTATAACAATGACAACAAGAGTTTGTTGTGCCTAGCAACGTGAATTGATGGCTTTCATCTTTCTCTTGATTATCCTTTCATCCTCTTTCTGTTCTTCAGCTTTTTAGCTTGTGTCAGTCTTCTTTTTTGTTTTGTTTATCTTTTTTTGTGTAACTCAGGTCTAATATAACCTGAAGTTCGAAGTTATTAAAGCTTACTGTGCCCATAATCATGAAAGAGGAGAAATCTGGATTTCAGAATGTAATCCACAATGTTTACAATCTCTGGTGTTTCATCTGTCTGTATCTTCTAGGAGCATATTATGTCATTATTGAATTGAACCGTAAATTTGGGTTCATTAACAAAGTGAAAACCTTTGATGTAGACAGTGTCATCACCAATAGTCTAGAAGGACGTGTTTGTATTATCACCGGTGGTGGACGAGGTATTGGCTGGGAAACAGCTAGAAGTTTGATCAAAAAAGGATACCATGTTATTGTCACATCATCTGCAAAGCCGGGTTCTCAGCTTGATGCACTTAAAGCTAAGCTTTCTCCTCAAGTTGATGGTTATAGTGGTAAACTAGACATTTGGCATCTTGAACTGTCAAGCCTTACTTCAGTTATAGAGTTTATCAAAAAATTCAGAGGATCCGGCCTAGGATTGAATTTACTTATTAATAATGCTGGTAGGTTGATGTCTCTTTTTAATTATAAATTCATCCACATCCTTATATCATTTTAACTCTCATTTTGTTTTATTTTACAGGTATCATGTTTGCCCCCTTTGCCCTCACCGAAGATGGCTTTGAATCTCATTTATCTATAAACTATTTAGGCCATTGTTTACTTATTTGGGCTTTCCTACCAATCCTCAATGAAACTGGATTCAAGTCTAGAAATCTGTCTAGGATAGTGAATGTTTCATCTAGTACCCACTATGCTCGGAATCTCCGGCTAGATGATCTAAACGGATTAAAGTTATACTCTCCTTACCATGCTTATGCCCAATCAAAATTGGCCCAGATAATGTTTACCTTTAAGCTTCACCGATACTTAAACGAAAAGGGTTCTTATGATTTGGTTACAGTAAATAGTGTTCATCCCGGTGTTGCCAAAACAGCTCTCTATGAACATGTTTGGTGGGTTCAATTATTTCCTTCTTTGGCCTCCATGGTTTTCCGTACACCTAAAGAAGGAGCAGAAACCGTTCTGTATGCCGCTTTATCACCTGAAGTTGACGGTGTTGGTGGTAAATATTTTGAAGATTGTGCCATTGTTCGCGCATCCAAGTACTCATATGATGAATCAAAACAAGAAGAGCTTTGGTCAACTACTCGATCATTACTGAAACCCTGGCTTGAACAAGTGGAAATCAATGCCAGCTAATTAATAATAAAGTGATATTGAGAGCAAAAAATAAATCCATTTTATCAAATAAGCAAATTTTTTCATTGTCATTCTTTGACTTGATATTTAGAGATATTTATTTACTTTTTGTAATCAAAATTGAAAAGAACTCTTGTCATGTGATTGTAGCACTTTTATTGCCATAATTTATGGTCTTGACCGTCATCAATGTTTTTAAAAAAACCCCTGTAATTGCAATTGCCATCTTATTGCTTATCTCATTAAATCTTGCAAATATTTCTTGAAAAGTATCATGCTAGGTATAAAATTTCTATTGATTGTGCGTGATTCTTATGTTGATCAAGGTTCTTTTTGCACCTCTCAAACCTTTCCGTTTGTTAAATTTTTAAGGTCTCGTTTTTTGATCAAATCCCTGTCCAACAATTAAATTTAATTTATAGTAAAATTTACAACTATTTACTGTGCTCACAACTGTTCCAATAGAAGCAAACCAAATGATAATGACAACAGTGGAAGAGCTCAAAAATGAGATTATTCATCTCAGGTTAGAGGCAAATATAAATCGTATTTGTGTCTCTAAAGCAATTGAAGAGTAAGTAAACCCATCATATTATATCTACTGTTATCAACCCAAATATTGAATTAGCTATTGAATTGAATTGGTTAGTTACCGTATCTAATTATTGTATCAAATACTATAACTAACCGTCTAAATTAGTAGGATAAGCAACACTTAACACTTCATCGTTGCAATCTCATTAACAGCTGATCAAGGGTTATTGTTGATAATTAAACATCGAAATATTAACTCTTATTATAATTTCTGCATTTTTTCTTAAGATGTTATTATTTTATTTGCAAATTTTATATGCGATTCTTAGAAAAGATTTGTAACATTAATTGTCTATTTTGATCTTTTCATATCCAGATTGAAACAATATTGTCTCGAGAACCAGGAAAATGATTTTCTGGTTTCTGGTACAATTTACGATGATAATCCATTCCGAGAATCAAAGACTTGTGGTATTTTCTAGTTCAACAATGAATCAAACCCTTTCAATTATTGGCAGGAAATCCTCAAATTTGCTGAGCTATTCAATGGTTGAAGATTGAAGCCAATGTCATAAACAGCCACACTTACCCAAAGCATTCTAAATTTCACTGTATTTCATCCATCATTGTTAAAACATGCACTTTTAACCTAAACGTCCAATCGATCATGAAAAAATTAATTGTTATGGATATATAATAATTAATAATTTACTCTTTACCTGATAATATATAGCTTTGTTGTTAAATTATCCCCAAAAACAAGATGCTTGTGATAATTCACCGTTGACATGTTGGTAGTCAACCCTATGTTGACTTGTGAAAAAGCAATCTCATCGTAAACTGATGCATAAATAAACCAAAAATACATTAAATCTCTAAGAATTTCATTGCTTAATTTCACCAGGTTATAATAAGTTTAAAATTACGTAAAAATATTGTTGAAATGGTCAAATTAAAAACCAGAATTGAACGAGAAATCGAGACAAATCCTAATCAAGTGTAGCCGAGTTAAAGTAAAAAAGGATGGTCACTTTGCATAAAATCAGTTACAATTTCAAAAACCCAAACTGGTTTAATCAAAGATTAGCTGATTAATGATTGGATATAATCTGAAATATGCATTTACTAGTTTCTTTTCTTACATATTGAGAATGCCCTCTAAGCCAGCTAGATGTAATTATTAATGTAATCAAAGATAATGCATTTAAGGTGCCTAACTTCCCATGAAAGTCTTTGTTAACATGATCGGATAACTGTCTAATTCACACAAATTCAAAACATTCTCACCAATTAATAACAACGAAAATGAATCGATGATTAAACATAAGCGCAAAGTTAGTTGTATTGATTGGTTAATTCGGGAACATGGCTTTGAAATCTGAAAAACACAAAAGTAATTCTAAAAAATGAACATTAAATGTGCTATTAAATATGACACATGATATTTAATTCATGTAAAATGAAAATAACATGTTATTTCCAAAATTTTAGCCGATCAAGTTGTTTAAACTCAGTTATTTTATCAAATTTAGATTGATTGTACATATGAACTGCCAAAGGTTTACCTTTTGGGTGGACAAAACATACAAATAATCGCTGTTTGTGTTTAGTTATTGTCTTTTTTAGTCTTTGGTACGTGTAAAAAACGACATCTTTTGCAGTAAAGTAAATATCATCTTCAAGATGAACGAAATCTTCGAATGGCGACATTTTTTCCAAAATCGTAACTTTAATTGGAACATTCACCTGAGAATTTGAACCTTTATAAGCGTCAAAAAGGTGTTTATCCAATCTTTTACACTCGTGTTTTTCGTTCACTCGACTGTTCGATCCATCGTTCGGAATTAATTTTGCTGCAAACCTGAACGACTCGATGTGTTTTTTGATGAATCTTTCCTGGTGCCGATTGTTGAAATTCGCGTTTGACGTGTTCATAGACTTGCAATCAACTCGATATTCTTCGGTTTCATAAGACCATTGTTCAATTATAAGAAACGTCTTGACGAGAACAAAAAAATTTGTCACCCATTCCATTAATTTGCTCGAATGATTCATTATGCAGCGACAAATAATCAATATGAGTATTGAAGTAAAAAACACACAAGCAAAATCCTGACTTTTAATTTAATGATTTAACATAAATCATAGGCGTTCATAAGCCAAATGAAGCCTCAAGTTGACAATAATCAAAAGGGTAAAGCAAAATATGGGCGAAACTTTTATTACCATTGTTTTGTAAATAGTTAAACTATCTGCAAATAATCATGAATTTTCTACCATTTGATAGTCACTATTAGCATTACATATTAAAATCATTAAATCACTTAAAACTAAGCTTAGTGGCTAGAGAAATGCTATCTTACATCTCGGTACGAATGGACTCAAGCGCTGACTTTAATCCATGGATCGTTTTGCAAACGTTTAATTTCAATTATGTAACCATTCTGAATGCTAAGTGTACAAGTATAATACTATTAATATAAGTACAGAGGTTAAAATTCTGATACCGATCGACAAAATTCAATTTTTGTCACTGTATTAGCAAGTTTCATAACATTCTTATTCAATTTGATATGCGTATTTTAGTTTATTTCTTCTCTTTTTGATTGTTTTATATTTGTTAAAATCATGCCTGGGTAATTTGTCAATGAAATCAGTTCTCGGCATGAAAAAAGCTTGAGACTTTCCACTACAAGATTTGTATCTCTTTTAAAACACGCAAAAGATGGTCTTCTGAATTCAAAATCTAAATTGAAACAATATTGTCTTGAAAACCAGGTAAATGATTTTCTGGTTTCTGGTACCGTTCCGTGAATCAAAGACTTGTGGTATTTTCTAGTTCGAAAAATGAGTCAAACCCTTTCAATTATTGGCAGGAAATTTATGAATTCTGTTTATGATTTATTCATTGTTAAAACACGCACCTTTAACCTAAACGTCCAATCGATCATGAAAAAAATTAATTGTTACGGATACATAATAATTAATAATTTATTCTCTACCTGATAAATAGCTTTGTTAAATTATTCCCAAAACAAAATGCTTGTGATAATTCACCGTTGACATGTTGGTAGTCAACCCTCCTCGTAAACTGACGCATAAATAAACCAAAAATTCATCAAATCTCTAGGAATTTCGCTATTTATTTTCACCAGATCATAATTAGTTTAAAATTGCGTAAATGTTGTTGAAATGATCAAATTAAAAACCAGAATTAAACGAGAAATCGAGACAAGTCATAATCAAGTGTAAATAAGTTATAGTGAAAAAAGATGGTCACTTTACCGTCTAAACTGAATCCATAAAATCAGTTACAATTTCAAAACCAAACTGTTTCAAGTAAACTGGTTTAATGAAAGATTAGATGATAAAATATTGAATTGGAAACAATTTACCTAAATCTGTTTCATACAATATAAAATGTACAATGTGCGTTAATAGCGAGCGACTTAATCCATTCAAATCAGTAACCTTTTCAAAATTAAATGTTATTTTAAAAATAGCAACTAATTATGCATTATCAACACTATTATAGTGAATATAATTAACATTGATTAGGATAAATCATTATACTTGGTATGTAAACACGAAAGTTGATTTTTCTCCTTGATAAATGAAACCTAATTGCATTACATCGGACGCAACTCAGCGTCTTTAATAGCCTTCTCGATGACTGCCTTTGCCATAATTTATGCCTTAACCAAGCAAATGTTAACCATTTTTTATGAACACACATATATTTGTAATACACAATCAACATACTAAATAATCAGCTTATTCAATTGTTGAAGGACACCAACATCACAATCCAAAGCCCAACTCTTTAATTTTTTTCTGATCATTTGGATGGAAACAACAAATTATAAACAAAATTACGGCTTGCGGCCATTCAATTCATTCTCAGGCAACCCAAACCGTCCACAAATTTAACATCGACAATTGGACGATCAACAAAATTGATTCCAAATTATTTTTCCTCAATCTATTATTAATACATTTCTATCAACATCATTTGTTAATTGTTATTCAATCATTCCTCAACTTGCTACTCATTTCCTCAATTTTTGATCAATCCTCTGATTATTCGTAATTGTTGTCCAAACCTTAAGCATTACAAAGGTTTAGCTTATTCAAGTCCAAGGATTGATTATAAATTGATCAATTGTCATTAGTTTAGTCAAATGAAGGCTGATTGTCAATAGTAATTCAATGGTGAACATAATTTACATACCAATAAACATTGCAATTACATTGAATCCTTTCAATCGGTAACCTTAAAATGATAAATATCAATGAAAGAGTTTCAATTAAAAGCTAATAAGAATCAAGAAATTTATTGGACGACATTAAAAGCTATCGGTTTAATATATCGGTGTATTTAATAGCTTTTAATGGCACTCATTAGCTTAAACGGGTGCAACAATCAAGACATGGATACACAGTAATTGTTTGTCTTTAATGAAGTATCAATGGTTTGTTGAATAAGGCAAGATTACTTGTAACAATTGAAATGATGATTGTTACCATCTAATAATCAGTTGTTAACTTTTTAGACAAATTTAGTTGAAAGTAACCTTGTCTTACCCTTGAATGTAAAGTTGAAAGTGATTTGATTGTATTCATTTTTCATGATGGAATTATAATACAATCTTTCCAGGTCCAAAGGAAGGTTAATCAAAATAAATTGTGATTAATAATCATCATAATTGAGGCGATTATTTTTGTCAAAGGCAATTAGGTTATGAATGTTTGTTATTGAAATTGTTTGGATGGTCATTGGTGTTGTCTTGGATGCAACTATTGTAGTAACTAATAGTAATTACAAGTTGGTTAAAAATTTCCCAGAAACAAGTTGATTTTTTCAGTCATAATATTATCCAATTGTCAGTAATAACACTTATCATAATAAAATAAGTCTTCTGGGTAGCTTATTATTACTGAAAATAAATAGTCTGAAAAATGATGAATTGAAATGAATGACGCAGAGACAAAGTTAGTCGGAAAACACTTGATTTTGTTGATATTTTGATTGAAATTTTTGTTGAAAAAGGTGTTTGTATCAACAAAATAAAGATTTAAAGTAAACATTTGAATCAAGATTAAGTGAATCGAGATGGTAATTAGCTGATATTACATGTTAATACTCATTATCTATTCCAATGATCATATAATTAACGAGCTTTCAGATTTCTTCATCATCTGGTAATGTTAGAATGTTTTATTTCTTGTTAATTAGATGATGATTTAATGCAATTTGGTACATCTTGTAAATCCTGGCTAAGCGGATCGATTTTTCTAGATGTCTACAGAAACGGCCTTTAAGCCGAGCATCGGTTGAACTGTTAACATCTGGATGTTAACAGCTACTGGTCTGGTCAGGTTGAGCAGGTTGTTGGTCAGGATAACAATTAGTGTAAATAGGGAAGAGTGAATGTGAATAGTTGGAAGGGTAGGATGAGGAAAAAAAGCACAATTAGTCTAACTGTGGACAGAAGTGAAAAAGGATTGAGGAAAAGGTTTAGGAATTTGGTTTGGTAATATTTTGTCCCCTTTCAGAAGCTGGCTCCTGATTAGTTTTCATTGGGCACGTTAGAGTGATTAAAATGGCCTCAAGCCCATTTACTTTTTTTTAATCATCGTAAATATGGCCAGAGAAGATGAGTGAAGTAAAGAGAGGAAAGGTAAAGATGTTGTTGTCCTTCGAAAGTAAGCTGATTATTCAGCTAATACATTTGAAGACGACAGGTTTGCTTAAAGTAATGCGAGTGAGTCCGAAGGAGGGAAAAATATTTACTTCTGTTTTTGGTGGAAGAAAATGTTTGGGGAAAGAAAAAGGGTTTTCTGACAAACTGAGAAGGATTGGAATGATTAGGAGGTTCGGTCAGTTTGATATCGAAGCACTTAGAAAGGAAAGAAAATTAAGAAATGATCCATTGGTATTAGCCATGTTTAACTAAGGCACCATTTTAAGTTTTCAACCCTAGCTGCAAGTTGTCCTGTTTAGTCACAACAGACAACATGTGTCCATGAAGATGTTGATCAACTTAATTGTGTTTCCTCCTTTCTCTTGCAACTGTTTTTACTTTTGTTAGACCATCGTCATAATTAATAAATCAACCTAGATTATTTCATGTTTAAGGATATTTACAATCAATTTACAAAACACCATTAATCAATTCTGTGTGTTTTTATCTTGCCTTTTCCCTTTGTTTCCGTTACCCTTTTTTTGGACTTTTTTGAATGTTGCTTCTAGTTTCAATTTGAATTTTGTGTTGGTCCTATTTACTGTAAACCACAAAAATTCAAATTTTATTTGTTATCAAAAACTAGAGATCGTGTAGAGACGGCAAATCATTAAATTGTTTTGTTTTGTTGTGTCTTGGTTCCTAGTTTTATTTCATCTTTTATTTAGACTTTTTATGAATTCTTTTTTTCAAATCCAACTGTAATGGTGTCTTTTGATCCTAACAATAATCCATCTGGTCAACCTAATCATCCAGTCATCGCAATCAGTACAACATGTGAAACAAGTGATTCAGTTAAAACTAAATTGGCCATTCGTGGTCGTAACCTTTGCTTAACTTATGGATCAGGTGATAAGGCTACTTATGTCTTGAATAATTTATCCATATCAGTTCCTGCTGGTGGCATCTATGGATTACTTGGACCTTCCGGGTGTGGTAAAACTTCGCTACTTAAAATAATTTCGGGACTTACAGCTCCTGATAGTGGAACTGTCCGGGTTTTCGGCTCTAAACCAGGTGAACGGGTTAGTGGTGTACCCGGACCTGGAATAGGTTACATGCCACAGGATATTGCTCTGATTCCAGATTTAACAGTAGAAGAAATGTTAGCCTATTTTGGTAATTTGTACTTTCTTCCTGCTCCAGTTATACGCAAACAGATCAACGATCTCGTAAATTTATTGGAAATTCCAGATAAAAAGCGACCCATTGAGAATATGAGTGGTGGACAACAGCGACGTTTATCACTGGCATGTACAATTATCCATAAACCTCGACTAGTGATTCTCGATGAACCAACGGTTGGTGTTGATCCTCTATTGTGTGAAAGAATCTGGAAACTTCTTTATAGCATGGCTCGTGAAGAATCAATGACCATCATTGTAACAACTCATTATATCGAAGAATGTCGTAAGGCTAAGATGGTTGGTTTCATGAGAAAAGGAGAAATCCTGGAAGAAGACGAACCAGAATCTTTGATCAATCGGTTTTCAGCTGACAATCTGGAAGATGTTTTCTACAAAATTTGTTTGAATCAGAAACGTCGCAACACCATGTGTTTACCAACATTTAATAAACAACGTAAATCAATTGCTTCAGTTGTTGTTGATGATTCCCATTTAGATAAAGTAGAACCCTTCAAATCACCTCAAGATAATCGTCCAATTTATTCTCGTTTTTGGCCAATATGGACACTTTATAAGCGATATTTGGTTCAAATTCTGAGACAACCCATATTCTTGTTGATTCTTTTCATGTTTCCAATAACTTCTCTTGGATTACTGTTCGTTTGTCTTGGACACTCACCAAAAGATTTACCAATAGGATGGGTTGTTGAGGAAACTCCTGAATACGGACTATTCCATGCAAGACCCGAGGAATTTGATCAAGCGTTTACTAAATATCAGATACCATTTTACCCAGACTTGTTGCGAAGTAAATTGGACCCAAAGACATTAAATATAATTCCTTACGATAGTTTAGATGCTGGTTTAACTGATGTAAGACGCGCAAAATTGGATAGTGTTGTTTATATGAGTAGAGGATTCTCAGAAGCATTCCATGAGAGAATCAATTATTTAAGTGCCAATGACATTGACGATGATACAATTAAAAGAGGTACAATAAATGTTTATGGAGATTTAACAGATGCTTTCGCTATGACCACACTTCAACTCAGCCTCCAACTGTCATTGCTCAATGTTATGAATGAAACAGCTCCTGCAGCTAACCTGCCATACTACGCTCGTACCCTGCCTTTTCAAATCGGTACTCCAATCTATGGTAGTTTAGGTGACACAGAAAGTTTTGGACTGCAAGATTATGCTGCTCCGGGTTTCATGGTCGTTATCCTTTACAGTTGCTCTTTAGGTTTATCAGCTTTAGGTTTGGCAGCTGAAGTTGCTGACAAAATGTTTGATCGTAACTATTCGACCGGAATTACCATTGGTCAACTATTAATTGCTCAAGTTGCTGCCCGTTTCACATATTTGTCGCTCAATTGTGCTTTTGTTTTCATTGTAGTTATTTATGTCTTTAAAATCAAATGTTATGGTTCCTTCTGGATCGGATTGGCTTTATTGCTTCTCCAAACATTGGTGGGCCAAACGAATGGAATGGTTTTCGCTGCCATTTTCCCTGCTATTCAACATTTGGCTTTTGTCGCACTTGGTTCACTTCTTTACATGCTCTTTATTTCTGGAGTTTTCTGGCCGGTTGAAGCTCTACCATATTATTTCCGTTATTTGTCGAGTTCACTTCCATTCACTGAACCCGCCAAAGCATTGAGAAGCCTAATGATTAAGGAAGGAGCTCCATTTCATCCTTTAATATGGCCTGGACTGGTTGTTTCCACCGGTTGGTTTTTCATGCTTTTGGCTTTATCCTATTTTATTTTCAAAATCAAGTTTAATCGATCTTGAAGTGATAAATTATACTTTTAAATATGAACTAAATTAAGTAAAATCTGGAATGAAATTGCTGTTGAAAATAGCAATCAAATTCACTAAGCATCACTATTGATTAATGGCCTCCAAGTTTTAGTGTTTTCCGTTTTTAAGTGTTTCGATTCAATTTCGATCAATTTTAATTCACGCTGTTTCGTACAGCATCGCAATAAAATTTTTACAACTTATCAATCTCTTGATTATTTCTTTGATCACTTACATAGAAACTTAATTTAGCTTATTGATTCACTCGAATATACAAGTTTGTCAGCTTAATCACATAATTTGTAGCAAAGTTGGCTTTTAGTTCTAAACAGTACTAGATAATAATGTTAGCAAAATATCTTATGACTAACATAATTTTAAATTGGTTCAATACTTGAAATTTCACTTTACACTTTGAATGAAGCGACACTCAGTATTATTTTAAGTTCAATTAACAAAGCGCTTACAAAATGAAAGTAAAATACTTACAAGCAATAATGACCATATTCGCGACTATCTTTGAATTCGAGAGGATTCAGTTTAAATATTACTAAAGTTTTACTATTAAAGTTTACATACCAAGTCTTATAGCGTATGCAAACTAGAGAGGGTAAACAAACTACTAAAACTATGGTTGTAACTGAAAAGACACAATCAACACGATTGTCACATTTAGATACCACTAAATGACAAAAATGGGTAAAAACGGCTAAAAACGAATTCCTTTTGACTGTTGTTTTTTAGAACCATAAGAACTGCGTCTATTCGTGCGATTCTTGCATTTCTCTGATCAACAGTAGTCGAGATAATGAAGGTCAAAATTAAAATTTCGATCGCTGTTTGTACAATAATGGTAGCAGGTTTTTCCGTGAAACTCATTTTAGCAATGTAACATTTAATAAACAATCAGAAAATCAACTTATTTCGATAGATGAAATTTTCTGCATTCTGTAAAACAGTTTAGTTCGATTTTTAGTTAAATCGGCTTTTTTCCATAATCGTGAGAGTTACCGAGCTGAAACTCATAATTCGTTGATAAAAATTGCTTAATAACATCATGTACTAAGTAATTTTTTCAATCTGATGATAGTTCTCTTGATTTCGGCCATTTCTCTTCGATTTTCGAGCATCAATATCTCGGAAATGGTAGTATCAACAATTATCACTCTTCGACTAAACATTAGATTCTGACATGGGCTGTGATAAAGTTAAATTTCAGGTAATTCAAGGAATTGCAATAAAAGTTATAACATTGTTTTACTCAGGTTGTCAGATTTTATAATTGACTATCAAAGATAAACAGTTACTTAGGATGTGCTAAAGAATATTCATCTTTGCAGGAATCTGCTATGATTTCTTTGGGTTTCAGTCATATTTTAACATTGCCCATAACCAGACTTGATGTTTAGTCGAAGGATGATGATTGTGTGTGCTTCCATTCTCGAAATATTGAGGCCCGAAAATTTAAGAGAAATGGCCGTAAACAAGAGAACTATCAATAAATTGAAAAAATTATTTAGTACATGATGTTTCAAAGCAATTTTTATGGACAGAGAATCATTTTCAGCTCGGTAACTTTCACAGTTATGGAAAAAAGTCGATTTAACGGAAAATAGAACTAAACTGTTTTACAGAATGCAGAAAATTTCATCTATCGAAATAAGTGCATTTTCTGGTTGGTTCTTAAATGTTACATTGCTAAAATGAGTTTCACAGAAAAACCTGGTTTCATTATTGTACAAATAGCGATCGAAGTTTTAACTTTGGCCTTCATTTTCTCGACTACTGTTGATCAGTGAAATGCATAAATCGCATAAATGGGCTCAGTATTCATGTCACTTAAAGCCAGCAGAGTTTCTTTTTGAAGGTAATTTATTTTTAGCCGTTTAAACCCATCTTTGTCATTGTGTTCATTAATGTGTAAGAGAAGAGTTACTAAAAGACATAACCAACACAATTGTCACACTTACAAATTATTGAATGGCAAAAATGGGCAAAAAAAGTGCAAATGAAATTTCTTGCAAATTTAGACTCTGTTAGTTGGTAGACACATAAAAACTGAGTCCATTTGTCCGATTCATGCATTTCTCTGATCAACAGTAGTCGAGAAAATGAAGGCCAAAGTTGAAACTTCGATCGCGTTTTGTGAAGCCATGCAAGTAGATTTTTTCATGAAACTAATTACAGCGATGTAACATTTGATAACCAACCTGAAAATAAACTTATCTTGATTAATTAAATTTTCTGCATCCTGTAAAACCGTTTAGTTCGATTTTCAATTAAATCGAATTTTTTCCATAACCGTGATAGTTACCGAGCTAAAACTTATAATTCGTAGATTAAAATTGCTTGGTAACATCATGGATTAAATAATTTTTTCAATTTGTTGATAGTTCTCTTGATTTTGGCCATTTCTCTTCGATTTTCGAACCTTAATATCTCGGAAATGGTAGTATCAACAATCATCATTCTTCGACTAAACATTAGATTCTGGCATGGACTATGATAGAGTTAAATTTCAGGTAATTCAAGGAAGTGCAATAAAAGTTATAACATTGTGATATTTAGGTTGTCAGATTTAATAATTGACTATCAAAGATAAACAGTTACTTAGGATGTGCTAGAAGAATATTCATTATGTAAGACATTTGCATAGATTTCTTTGGTTATCATTCATATTTTATTATTGCCCATAACAAGATCTAATGTTTAGGCGAAGGATGATGATTGTTGATACTAACATTCCCGAGATATTAAGGCTCGAAAATCGAAGAGAAATGGCCAAAATCAAGAGAACTATCAACAAATTGAAAAAATTATTTAATCCATGATGTTGCCAAGCAATTTTTAACTACGAATTATAAGTTTCAGCTCGGTATCTATCACAGTTATGGACAAAGGTCGATTTAATTATAAATCGAACTAAGCTGTTTTACAGAATGCAGAAAATTTCATCTATCGAAATAAGTGCATTTTCTAGTTGGTTATTGAATTTTACATCACTGTAATTAGTTTCACAGAAAAACCTGGTTTCATTATTGTACAAATAGCGATCGAAGTTTCAACTTTGGCCTTCATTTTCTCGACTACTGTTGATCAGAGAAATGCATGAATCGGACAAATGGACTCAGTTTTTATGTGTCTACCAACTAACAGAGTCTAAATTTGCAAGAAATTTCATTTGCACTTTTTTTGCCCATTTTTGCCATTCAATAATTTGTAAGTGTGACAATTGTGTTGGTTATGTCTTTTAGTAACTCTTCTCTTACACATTAATGAACACAATGACAAAGATGGGTTTAAACGGCTAAAAATAAATTACCTTCAAAAAGAAACTCTGCTGGCTTTAAGTGACATGAATACTGAGCCCATTTATGCGATTTATGCATTTCACTGATCAACAGTAGTCGAGAAAATGAAGGCCAAAGTTAAAACTTCGATCGCTATTTGTACAATAATGAAACCAGGTTTTTCTGTGAAACTCATTTTAGCAATGTAACATTTAAGAACCAACCAGAAAATGCACTTATTTCGATAGATAAAATTTTCTTCTATCTGTAAAACAGTTTAGTTCTATTTTCCGTCAAATCGACTTTTTTCCATAACCGTGAAAGTTAAAGAACTGAAAGTTATTTTCTGTCCATAAAAATTGCTTTGAAACATAATGTATAAAATAATTTTTTCAATTCATTGATAGTTCTCTTGATTTCGGCCATTTCTCTTAAATTTTCGAGCCGCAATATTTCGAGAATGAAAACACACACAATCATCATCCTGGTACTAAACATTAGATCTTGTTATGAGTTATAATAGCAATATCGAAATATTGAATTGTTCAAGATTTTAGCATTTATGCACAGATTTGAGACTAGATTTATAAAGTTAAAATGTTATGCAAACACCATACTCATGTGTTAGAAGGATATTCAGATTAAATAAATTAGCTCAGATTTTTCAGGAACTCAGTCATATCATGTTATAGTTCTTAATGTAATCTAATGTTTCTTCAAAGAATGATGATTCTAGATGATGGCATTCTTGAAATATTGAGTCTTCAAGTTTTAAGGAAAATGGTCAAAATCAAGAAAATTATCGATAAAATGAAAAAAGTATTCGGTCCATTGTGTGCATCAACAATTTTCATGGACTAATAATACGTTTCCGCTCCCTAACTCTTATGATCACTGAAAGCGGTCGGTTTAACTAAAAATCGAACTGATCTGTTTTAAAGGAAACAGAAAATTTTATTTTAAGAAATAAGTGCATTTTACAGTTGCTCATATAAATTTACATCAGCAAAATTAATTTGATGAAAAAATCTGCTTTCATTATTGTACTAAAAGCTAGTTTCGTCTAAATATAAAGCTAAATATCAAACTGGCGTACTAAACTCCATTGCCACCATCACTGTATCAACTGTTATCGCCACAATAACGTCCCTTAAGTGTTTAAATATTAATTACCCACCTCAATCGTATGCTACAATCAATTTCGACGAAACAATGTCTCTCCAATTCAGCGGTAAGTCATCATTATCAATCAGATCTAATCAAGTCATCATTAAAATTTAATCCAATCAGCGCACATTCATTAACATGGACCCTCCAGTATTTTTTCTTTTAATTTTTCTTTCTTGTTCAATCTTATATCTATCATGAATTTTCTCAACTTTAATGGTGGATTTGCAAACATTTAATCCTTCAAAAACTCAATTCAAGTGCCTTACAGAAATGAATGTTATGTTAACATTGTTAACATATATAATAAAAAAAATTTAATTTGAAATGTAGAACAAGATGGCGACACAAGCTTATTTACTCGTTTTTGGTTTTGATGAGATGATGAGATGATGAAAAAATTAAAACATGTCTCGTGTTCTCAGCATCTTCTTTGTAAATTGCCAATTAGCTGTTGGTTATAATGTTTAATGTTAACTGTATTATTTTTTAATTTTCCCGACCCTTTATTTCATTAGTGAGTTTCATCATGTTCCGACCTGAAAAGCAAGTGTCTATCGGTTTGATTGTTGGACTAGGAGCTGCTGCCTCAGCTGCTCTCGCTGCTCTTTATGTTTTATATAAAAAAGATGACGAAAACTTTGAACTTGATCCTAGACTCGAAGTAACTACATCTTCATTTCACACTATTCGATCAACAACAATTCACAAGAATGTGCCCAAAGAAGCTACCGGAGCTGTCATTGGTAAAGGTGGTGAAGTTATCAAGCTAGTCCAGCGTGAGACTAATACAAAAATTACGTTCTCTAATGGTCACCCTAATGAGGATGTTGACCGAATAATTGCAATTAAAGGATCCCCTACTGGTGTCCTAGAAGCTGATGAGATGATTGATCAAATTATTGCATCAGCTCTATCTTGTATAAATAAAAGGATTTACATTGATGCTAGTGAGGTTGGCCTCGTAATTGGAAAAGGTGGTTCAACTATCAAATCAATATCTGAAGAGTCAGGAGCCAAAGTCAATATCCCTAAACATGTCCGAAAAGGCAATACTGGTCTAGTGCCAGTAGAGATTCGAGGTAAGTTTGATTTTAACCTGCCGCAGAGTGTCAACCTGTTTATCATTCATTGATGTTGACCTCAAATTAGTCAGAGTATAATTCATTCTGTGTGTTTTTCTTTATTCAGGTGAAGCAGCCAATGTTGAAACCGCAATAAAGATGATTGATGACAAATTGAGAAATAGTAGATTTGGAAAATACGTCTATAGGCCACCACGGAATCAATCGAATGGCCACTCTTATATCTCCTTTATTCCTTCCCATTATAATATTCACGAACTCACTTCAACCGTAATGTTTGAAAAACTCGAATCAAACCTGGATAATGGATGTATTGATGTGTATGTTTCTAGTGTACAAAATCCATCCAAGTTTTATGTTCAACCTTGTGGATCAAACAGTGCGGAGCTTGACCGATTAATGGTTGAAATGACTGATTTTTATGAAAGATCTGACAATCGTTTGAAGGCTAAACTCAATTCAATTAAGGTAGGCGATATAGCTGCTGCTCCTCTTAGGGGAGATGAACATTATTATCGAGTTAAAATAATCACCTATGAGGATACACCAAGCATTACTGATGAAACAGAAGTGTCAGTGTTTTATCTCGACTTTGGAAATGAAGCGATTGTCCAGAGAAATGAACTCTTGGTTCTCCACGAAGATTTTCTTTTTAAATTACCCTTTCAAGCAATTGAATGTTCCCTTTCCGGCGTATTGCCCGTTGCTGATTCTGATTGGAGTAAAGACGCTATTGATTATTTCAAAAAACACACACGTGCAACTCTCTGGGAAAAAGTTTTTGCCAAACCAGTTAAAGCTACCACCGTTGATAAAGAACCTCGACAAAAGTATCTTGTTGAACTTATTGATCTTAAAGGTGATACGGATCTTAATATCGCTCAAGATCTTATAGAAAAAGGATTTGCTATCTCCACTGATAGCTAATTAGACCATTTTGCAAGTTAGAACTAAAAAATTTAACAATTATTTTATAAACTTTTAACAAATATTTGAGCTATCGTGGCCTACTCATTATTTACTTATTAATTATCTAAATTTGATTATCAAATTTAACTGCAAGATTCAAGTGTATCACTTTGTTTCAAGTTTTCTTTTCTTACAAATCAAAACAATTTGCCAAAAATTAGCTTTTCCAAGGTCCTGACTCTATAAATAGTTCAACTCGTCTACTTAAATCTCAGTCAAAATTAATCATTTATATCTCAAGGGAAAGATCAAAAGACAATCATCTACCAAGAACAGTCGATCTATAGTTGACGAAAAATTTATCATATTCACCGAGGAGAAAGCTGATAAGTTACAGTTATCGCCTGTTGTGAAGATGTAAACGAGTCCCTTTATCTAAGGGATTATTGTATCAATTTGATCTCAAGTTTAAATGTTTATTTGGATACTTATTATCAAGACCGAATCTTGTGATGGTTCGATATACAAACAACTTTATTGGATTCCTGTAAATTACACTGACAAGGGTTCGTTAACAATACGGTTTTGGATATAAAAATTTGGAAATAATCCAGCACTCAAGAGTTCCACGAATCCATTACTTCTTCGTCCATCATTTCAATCTGTGGTGCACTCATCACCATTCCAACCATTGACTTACTTTTCATGTATTGTAAATCGTCACCTTTTTTGCCCATATCGAGGATTCGTATTCTGGGAACTTTAATGACCTTTTCCATGGCAATTACTTTAGTCTTCCCGTCACCACCGCCACAGTTACAATTGCATTTACCACCAGTTGGATAGGCTTCCCAATCGTCGCCGCCACCTCCACCGCCACTACCTTTTTTGCCCTTTTCACCTTTATCCATTTTCTTGGCATCAACTTTGGAAACCACCAAAATCACTAAAAAAACACTGATTAATAGCTGCAATCTCATCTCGATAAATCCTTTACTTAAACTGTCATCAAGATATGATAATTTCTGTCATCTTTTTGGAGTACAATAATCTTGGTGCTCACATTACCTCTTTTTCAACCCTTCGACGCTTTTCTTTTGTATTCAATTTTTGTCACTTGAGAGCTCAACCTTCGCAAAAAACTCATCAAATTTAAGAACATTAGACTTTGAAATTTGGTGATTTCAATAATGTTAAATCAAATTATGCAAATGAACAAATTTTTTTATTGCTTTGTTGCAACTCGAATAATCTTTCAACTTTCTTTTCACCCATTGTTCAGTCTTATTGTTCAATTTTTCAAATAATGATGATATTTATAGCCATTGATGATTTATCATTGACTTTCCTTAGAATGTAAAACACCTTCAAATTTATTTCTTAATGTTATTGACCTGAGACGAGTGTAATCACAATCCAATTAAAACAAAATTAGTAATGATTCAATTTACTCACTCGAACCATTTATTGATCAACACTTCAAAACATTTATTTTCTTGTGCTTTAGAGTCACATCTTCATTGTGCGAAAAATCAACTGTCAACTAGTTATGTTGAAAATATTGATTATGATTAATTTAACCTTATTAACCAACATAGCTTTGGCTGGATTTTTTGCCCAGTTCAACTTACATAGATGGCTAGTTAAAGATGGACTCTGGAGTAGACGTAGATCAATGATGATGCCAATGATGATGAGATCGGGCAAAGGATCTAAAATGGAATCTCAAACTGAAATGGAAGATGATCCATGGAATCCAATGGATGATGTTCCAATGGAAAACCTAATTCAAGATTCATGGGGATCAGAATCTAAATCAAGTCAACCAACATGTAACTGTAAGTAGCTGCCAAAACAAAAAATATTCAACTTTCCCTCGACACTGCCATTGTAAATATAGATAATGGCAAGTCTAAAATACCCAACAAACTATTGTAATCAATCCCGCTTCAATGCAAATCAAATGTGACTTAAATACTTGAAAATTTATACTCATCTATTTTAATTCAAGGTAACTGTGGTGGAGGTAAAGGCGATAAAAAGATGAAGGGTAAAAAGAGTAAAGGTGGCGGTGGAACAATGGCAATAGTGATTCCCAAGTAAGTAAACTTTAAACATTTACAATCAACTAGCCATTCAGTTGTATTCAGTTTGATTTACACTGTGCAGTAAAACCAATTCTTTTTGTCTCCAATCACGAAACAATTTAAATTTCCAACTAACTGACAGAGTTAGGAAAATTTTCAACTGATTACCATTACAATCGAGTCATGACTTACAAATTGACTTGAATCCTTTGAAACTTGCCAATTTGTATTGAATGACCAGACAGCTCAATATTAGATTTTATTGGAAACGTGATATTCATTTAAATGGATTTCCTGCTGATTCTTGATTTGTCTTTTGTTTGTAAACTCAATTTACTAAATTTAACTAAACCTTTTCATTTCCATTAGATATGAATATTTTGACGTTCCGATGGCCAAAGAGATTGAGACCGAAAGCTTGGGCAAAGTTATTGAAAAATCAGTTTCTTACAAATCCGGATGGGGACAAAGTGGTGGTGGGGATTCTGGATGGTGATTACTATCTAAATCAGTAAACCAAGATCAAATTTCAATTGTATTACGAATTATAATTACTCTTCTGTATTCAAACCTTCAAGTACAAATACTTGCTTTTTATTATCCTTAAAAAAGGCGTCAAGCTTTTGATAAAGAGTGAAATTTCAACAAGCTTTGCATTTATTTCTGTTTAATTTTTAAAAGATTATCTTCCGAATATTTAGTGTGACAATTGAATTACTTATTGTTCAGATTTCATCCAACTGCTATTGAGATTGATACAAATTTTAGTTTAGTCAATTGTCGGATGAATTGCCATTAGGTAATGTTTCTGCGGAAAGTGCATCGCACTCTCAACTCATAGATCATCACTAATAACTCTTCTGTATTTTTGCGCTAAGATAACAAATACAATCATCTATTTCACCTGTTACATTTACAATGCAAAACAATACAGCGGTGAATCATCATCTAAAAGAATGATCACAATAATTTAGTCAATCACTCAATTTAAGAAACATTTTGTATTAAGCATTGTAGAGCAAAATAATCCAACTGTTCTCAAGATTTACTGAACTCGTGTAAATGTTTGTTGAGAAGGAAATAAATTTGATTGCAATATTTAACTTATGAAAAGATCATTGGTGAATTTTTAATGACAGTTGAATATGTTTAATACTTGATACAGTAAAACAGTTTAGATGAGGTTAGGAGTCAATTGTTAATTTAATGACCCACAATGTAAATCAAAAATTAACAAGTTCACAATTTAAAGGTCAATATTATTTCCAGGATTTTTTTGTTTCATTAAATATTATGTAGGAATTGGTTGAAATAAGGAGTAAAAGGAGTAATTGTTGAAATTAAAATGGGTGAAAGAGGTGAAGATGAACACAGAAAATGAAAGGTATTATTTTAGAAAATATTTAAAATGATTAATTGAATAGTTTTATCTAAATTTGAGTTGGTTCAAGTTGTTGATCGCAATTTAGTGGTTCGAGTGATTTTGCTTAGCTCATTGGCACATTGAAAACGTGTTATTTATTTGATAGCTTTATTAAGCTTTGTTCAATTAGATTATCATCGACATTTGGTTCAATATCTTCTTTGAGTGAGGAATGATTGTCCAACTGGTTGTCCACTCGCTTCTAAAAGTATTGATACTTTGATTATCAGATTAGCATTTTGAAAACCTCTGGTCAGCAGATGAAAAAAATTATGTCAACAATGTTGGTTATTAATAAGTTATATGGTGGTGGTCATCCAATGATTCCATGGAAGAGCTTCGACTTTTCATATTATTGATTGCTGAAACCGACAAAAGCACGGTAATAACCTGTAATAATTATATTGATAATAATGATCAAGGAGAGAAAAGAAAAACAGAAATTAGAAATTAAAGCGACAATAGAAGGTTAATGTGATGTTACCAACAATAGGTTAAAAGTATATTTTTCAACACCCAATTCTTTGTAGCAATTGAACCTAATCGAAACTTAATTGTAACTTGTCCTAAGGAGTAACAACCGTGAGACTATTAACTTTATGTAGTTTCATGTATGTACATATAAGCATGTTTTAAGAAGAAAAAAAACCACCAACAAAAGCAACAAAAAATAGCGAGAATCACCAGTTTTTTGCTGGGTTAGCCTTGTAAAAAGACTCAACCCAGGTTAACTGTTTTTATATTTACTCCAATAATTTTTGTATGATAAAAATATAAGAGAAAAAAAACAGAAACAATATTAAATTGAGTAAGCATTCAACACGCAATTTGATTGCGATTGATTGTTTTTTTTCCTTTCATTTCCAATGCTTATAATACATGTAATGTACACAAGTTCAAGTTTAATTATGCGTCTGTTTGTTAACGATTATTTCTTTTCTATCAGTTAGTGGGTGACAAACGCTGAATGTTTTAAATTGATATTAAAGTTTAATATCACTTCACCTGGAATAACAGGAATCCACCAAAAGTTGAGATCCAAATGAGTTTATGTTTATAAATCCAATCGACGAGTTTATCCTTGCAACCAGACTAAGAATAGAGGAAATGGACAAAGTGTTAATTTAAGTTTAACTAGATTTAGTTGAATTTAAATGATAATTTATATTCACCTCGTGGTAAACAGCTTCACTCATAGAGCTGGATGGTGATGTTGGTGTAGTTGGTAAGCCTAACTCTTTAGGAACTAGTGAATAACATGATTTATCAGTTTCCTCATTATTATGCGCAAATTCACTTGGGCCCATTAATCCACAACATTCAAGCTGAAAATGACAGAATAAAAGGATTTAGAAATTATTCAATAATTTAAACAATTGAAAAACATGTTCAACTTGAAAATGGAAAGCAACAAAATAAAGAAATGAGCATTATCTTGCAATTTGATAAACAGCTTGATAATCATTGCTAAGCTTTCATCTTTTTTGACATGTTATTAGGATTATGGTGGCCAATGCATACGATGTTTGATGCAAAAGGCAATTATTTACCTGAGATTGAATGATATTACGGGTTCTTTGGTTCATTTCATTCCAACCCTCTTCAACAATCTCAGTTACTTTAGCTCTTAAGATGGACAAAGAAATTATTCCTCCGATTTCCGCTGCAATCGTTAAAACGGATAAAAATAGGAACTGTAATTGAGAGAGAAATGGATCAAATTAAATTATGATAAACCAAGAATAAGGATCAATAATAAAGTTAACAAAAGAAAGTCTTTTTTGGATACTGATGAAAAAATTCAGCAGAATCACTTATCAACAGGTAAGCAGCAAACAGGTCAGTTACATCAGTAATTCGTGATCGAGTTGATAAACAATTTAAGCGGATGATTGTTAAATGTTGAATGTTTCGCTTCTGAATTTAATCATAATTAACAGCTTCCCCGTTAAACTAGATTAAACATCATGATCGTGAATAGGAAAATCGAGCAAAGGGCTTATAATAGCAACCAATTGGTGGGTTAATTTAAAATGAAAAGAAGAGTTTCCAATAATGAAGTGAGATCTGCCACTTGAACTGTTTATAACTCGGACATGTTTGCTTGGACAGTAAAAATATTGACATTCAACCCAAAAATGAACCGATAAACCAGAAAAACTATTCATACCAATTTTAACATGCATCCACCACGTCTATATGAACCCATCCAACCCAAAAGACCTAAATAAATAAGAAAAGACGATTAGTAAATTGTTTGATTATTTGCTTATTTCAAACTTACCATTGGTAAAGAGCAATCCTCCAAGTCCTAGTGCAACATAAATAATGGGCTAATTGATTAAAAGAAATCAGATAAAAATGGTGTTAATTAGTTGAAATGTTGAGAAAAAGAAACAAAGGAACAAATAATGATTAATTTTACTTTCAATCAATCATTTTGATTGTTGGATTACCAAACAATTACTTGGATGCCAGATGATTTGTAATTATTTACACTTAACTCTATCCATTACTTTGCCCCATACAATTACATTCAAAGTGACAACTGTTTAATAATGCAATTGGCTGCTTCAATGAAATTAACTGTTGTAAATTGAATCAATAAAACCCAAATCAAACTAATAATAAAAGTGTGTTTCTGTAGTTATCAAAATAATGATGAAAAAAAGATGAGAAACAACAAAACGAAAACAATTTAACGGCCAAATGGAGATGATAAAAATGAAAAGATGAACAAGATGAAAAAGGATGTGAAGATGAAAATAATAGTAGGAGGTAATCAGTTAGAGAGTGAAACTTACTCCAAATTAACAGATACTCAATCAAATGAAATGGCTATTTTTGGCGTCTTATTATTGTTTTGTTTTTTTGTTTTTCAAAAATATCCAACTGAAATGATTAAGAATAAGTTAAAAATGAAAATTTGATAAAATTGAGGAAATGTTTGGTTGAGGTGAGTGCAGGTCAGTTTTCACTGTCCAACGATTTGTAACAGCAAAATGTAAATTATTGCATGAAAAGCTGAAAATGACCTCAGCATGGCTATAATTCACATTTCCGGACAGTTATAATAATAGTGAATAGAAAGATGAAACTTTAGCAAATTTTCAACAAGCATTTCATTCACTAATTGTGAATTACCTAATGCTTGTAAAGATTAATGATGAACAGGACTTGAATTTTAGTCTTGAATATAGTTTTAGGCAAAAATGGGTATCAAGTTCAAGATCATTAATTCAAGTCAATCCTGATGTAATCAAGATTGAATTAAGTCAAAAAAGTGAATCAAAAAAAGCAATGAAACCATTTCAATAGATTAGTTCAACGAGCAGCTTATATCATTCATCATCACCCTGATTATGCCAAAAGTAGCAGATTAAGTCAAAGATTATCTGGTAATCATCAGTAAAATCACAGTTAATATGTTGGAATGGTTTTAGATTAAAAAGTCCGGCAGTCTAATTGTGAAATAACAATTAACTAAATGATAAATTGACAGAGTTAACCCTGATTTACAGTCGTAAAGGATAATCTTACATATATTTGATTGTAAGATGAAAAGATTTCAATTAGCATTTACTGGTGCAATATCATCTGATGTGTTGAATAACAGATAAACAAATGATTGTGACTTTTGATTTACATCTGAATGGAAACATTGGAAATACATAAATCATGGGTTTCTTTCCTGTAATAAAATAGCGATGACTAAGTCTCATAGAAACACTGAATGTTGAACATTGTTAAGATCAATATCGAGGTAAACTAATAATTAATAGTCAAGACATTGATTGTGAATGAGAATTGAAATTTCCTGATTATTGGGCGATAACCAGAGAAAAGGTAAAGAAAGATTGTGTTCATTTTGTTGGAACAGTTTGTGGTAATGAAAAGGTATCCAACCAGGTTTTTGTTGTTAACCTGTAATACAATCAATGATTTTATCAAACAACATTTTTCAATTCTTCAATTGTTTCCCATTCAATGTTAAAGGAGAAACAGAAATTTCTTTTCATTTCCTTTCAGGTATGACCGATTGCTGGCAAAGGTGAAGATGAAGATTCACTGAAAGTTGAAACAATATAAGTTGACAATTTACCAAATCTTGAAATGCATAACAAAACCAACAGAAGCCAAAATAATCAAAATGGATGATCAACAGGCTATAATCAGGATGGAAACACTTGAACAATGAGATTCTTGGTCAACTTTGCAAATCGTTGATCAACTTTACATGCAATTCCTTCATTTGCCTGAAAATGATCAACCAAACTTTGACAATTGGCCATGAAATTTGAAGACAAAATTGCGTACAAAATGGCAAATTCAATTTTCAGCTGTGAACTGTTATAATCAAATTTACTATTGAATAACACATTAATTAATGAAGTATATTTGGTTATGTTTGTAAACTGTGTTATAAGGTGATAATCATTGGAGTAAGAAACTAAATTATCATAATTTTTGTTTACTAACCAAGGTTAATAAATATGACTTTGCCTTGAATGGATCTAGTTCAATGATTAAATTGTTTAGTCTTTGGAGTGAATTAACGCTTATTAAAAGGGCTTATTTGTCATCGTCCAATGACTAAGTCAAGGGATATTCACGCTTAGAGCGTTGACGTGCGTAATTGTGAATATTTGAAAGCTTATTATTGAACCATTGGTGAAGTAAAAATGAAATTTGAATTCACCAGAAATTGACTTGAAATGCAAATAAGCTTCATTTTCACTTAACTTTACAAAAAGGGCAAAAAATGATAAAAATGAAATTGAACGACCTAAAGATTGAACATCTTTTATTAGCTGATGTTCAATCAATCCAAGTATTAATTAAATTGATTAATTTCAAATGTGATTACTATTTTTGACGCCAATTTTTTCGAGCAAAAATTTTTTTCAAACTCTACTGGTAATTATTGTTAAAATGAAAAGTTAAAAAGTTTAATGAAGCTGAAGAAACACCTTGACGCCAATTGGATTACTATTAATTAACGGAATAATCAGTGATGCAGATTGATTAACTTAAATCAATTCAATTAAAGGATAAAAAAACTGAAAAATCATATTTTTGTAGTTAACAATTGTTTTCAACTACTGATCAGATTAACTTAACAGATGAAATCAATTGAATTATGATAAATGTTGACCCAAAATAAATGGTCAACTTTAAAGTTAACCGTTCCCGTAAACTGGTGTTCAAGAAGGACCAATGTACCAAAGCAACCAAGAAATTTCGATATCGGTTTATCGTGAGGTTCCCTTCTAGGTGAAATATTAATAACTGCAATTTTAAATTGCTATTTTAAGAATCAAAATTTGATTAAACTGTAAATGGAGAGAATCCTGATCTTGACCTTCAATAACCATTTATGACCTGAATTTATTTGTCATCCAATATTTGTCATTCTCATCCTCCTCCTAATCATCAAAGTTGATTTGTCAAAGCTGATTGAAATCAATTTTATTTTTGGCAAACGCTATAAACCAAGAAAGAGAAAAAGCAAAAGCTGATTTTTCATCCAGTTTATCTGAAAACTTGATCTCATAGTTAATTTATGAAATGATTGAGATGAGGTTAAGCATGAGACAGGACGATGAAAATGGAGTACATGATATCTGAAAGGGTAAAAAGGCCTTTTCACTGAAAGGCTGAAAATTATGAACGGATTAAGTTGAAAGGAAAAAAAGCTTAGCTAGTTTACCCAATTTTCAGGTAAAATCTGATCAACGGTAAGAAACAATTACTCTCCAATTGAGAGTTCAGCAAGACTCATCTTGAATCAGAATTTGGGTTCAACTGAAGATAGCTCCAGGCTGGGCGTGATCTTATTACCCAAAAAATTAGTAGTTGAAGCTAATAAGATATTGAAGGACGTGATGAGCCCTTTAAACATCAAAATGGGCCAACAAAATTTTTCAACACAATTTTTGAAATTAATACTAATAGTTACCAATATTAATCGATAAATTTTTCAATCATAATTCAGTTGTAAGTCTTGACAGCCTAAACTATGGTTAGGAGTAATCAATGATATAATTAAATAACGGATCGAGAAGAGATTGAAAAATCAAGTTAAACAGTTAAACAGTGTTAATCACATTTCAGCAAATACTTTAGGCACACAAAACCATTTTAGACAGTTAGAGCGTTTTTTCATGTAATGGTAATGAGACTGATAGTGAAATGATTAAATTGATATTATTGATAGTTTTTTTAATAATTCAATTCCTCCTTAACAGCAATTGGGAGCAAAACAAATGTTAATAATCCTTGTAATACAGTTAACTTTTGATGTGATTAAGGATTCAACTTTTCGCATCAATTTGATTGATTAAGGACTAAAATTGGGTGTGAAATCAAGATCTATTAGGAAGGTAAATCAAATGAGTTTGTAAACATTTACCTTGCAATTTGACAGTTTACACAATGCAAGGTAAAACATCAAAATAGTAAAAAAAAATATTCGCAAAAATTTTAGCCTGAATTAGTTATTCTTTTCGTGATTAAACAGTTGATTTTAACAGTAATTAACAGTCACTGGTCTTCCCTACAGATTTGTTTGGATGTTAAGTCAAAGTTTGCGGGAATTTACGGTAAACTTTCAATCAATAACAGTAGTTGAGATAATTAAAGAATGAAGTTTCTCGTGAAAAGAAAAGTTGATTGGAAAAAATATTCATCACCCTGTAATCATGGTTTTGATTGTTCACTATTTGCCTTCTGAATCTCACAGAAAATTGTTGATGCACTAAAGCTTCCGCTTTTGTAATATCATGTATTCATTTCGATTGATTACTGAGTCCAGGATTGTTATTCACTCTTTATTTTGTAAAGCTATTATTATAACAATATTTGAATTATTGGTTATTGATATTGAGAAAGGTTTGATTGTTGTATTCAATTCTGAGATTATTAACCAAATATTGAGCTTTCATTGTTCACCGGTTTATCATTTAGTCAGTAAATTGTTATTTGCAAATGAACAAGATGAGCAAAACTGATGATTAGATGAATTGAAAGATTGATTGGTTTCAATTTAATGAGAGTTGAAAATTATTTAAATTGTCTATTTGTTAATGAACAATTTAGAGAGAGAGGCTTGAAAATTGTAAATAAAACTATTAACTTTCTTATTGTTGGCAATCATTTGGAATGTGAAAATTGATTAATATAACAATTGAGCTGTAAATTGAGATCATAAAGATTCAACAGTAATTTACTTATCAGTTAAAATTGAATATATTGATGTATATTAATTTCAATTGTTACTTTTGTTGTTCTTCATTTGTAATTGTAATGAGACTCCTGAAATTGGCAGAATTGTGATCAGAACCATTGAACAGAGAAGAATGGTGAAAATGTTTCTTAATGTTGATAAACTAAAGGGAATGGCTTTACCTGAGGGTCAAACATGATTATTACTGATATCAGATTGATTAGCATGAGTAAAGGATAGAAAGGAGATGAAAATTATTCAAGGTTGATCTAATTGTGGTTCAAAGTGTTTCAAGTAATCATGTAAATTAAAAACTCATTAAACTCACCAAACCCCGAGAGGTTGAATAAAAAAGGCAAATACTCATGTTAATACTTTCTATTCAGGTTATTATTCATTTCAATTGAGCTCATCAAGAACCATGATAAACACTGACCCTGATACTTAAGTTATATTACATTTAAACAGTTTTACCCAAAAATTTTACCCAATTTCAGATGTAAATAAACAAATGGAAAGGGCTGAGTTTCAAAATAAACTGGCAACAATTAGAGATCAATTTAAAGCTATTAATTTGTAGGATACAGTTACGATATAATTACAAATCAACTAGAATAATTGTTTGAGAAAAAAAGATTCTTACCGTTGTTCCGGCGAAAAAGTTCTTGGCATTCGTAGATGTGCTCAGAATCCATAGAGTGAAGGCAATTAAAACGCTACCAAGAAACTGGAAAGAAAGCAGATTGATTAATAGATTGATAATTTTATTTTAAAATGTTCATTGAACTTAAATGGTTTTAATGATTTAAATCCTGGTAATATTTGGGTTCAAATTTTGAAGTCATTTTTTGGTTGTTTGATTGTTGGAGGAACAATTAAAAACCTGGAATCGACCTAATTAATGGAAATCCTGATCTGATTTGGGTGAATTTTGAAAAGTGATGAAAATTCAATTGAAGAGTTGAGGCTCTTTAACAGCCTGTTGAACCATTCTTTTGCCTGAATAGTCATGATAAGTATGAGGATGGTTATGATGATAATAGTGACTGAATTAATCGCAAAAGGTTTAACGATATTGTTGAGCAAGCAGTGAAAGGGAAAATTTAAGATGATTTAATTGAATTGGATTGTTTTAAAAGTGATTTACTTGACTGAATGATGAACTTTCTCTCTTTATAACAATCGACCTTTCAAGCTTCTTTTTTTTCTCAAATTTTCAAGTGATACTATTTTTTGCTTACATTCATCTTCAATTGATAACAAATAAACATTTTGTTATTCATTATTGTTATTGACATTTGTAATGATAATGGTAATAATAATAGAGTCTTCAATGGATAAGTTTCATGTCAATAAATGGGATAAATTTAGGGAAACAAAAGGCTAACAAGTACGAGATTGTGTTTATATTTTTGTGTACAATGCTCAACCTGAGTTATTTAAAAGTATCAAAAATTGTTAAAATATCAGTGATAACAATGAAGATGAATTTTATAAACAATCATTAAGGTTAGAAAGGTTATTATAACTATAACAAGCTTCAAATGATGGGTTCATCTAAATTTGATGATTGTCCAAAAAAAGGTTGCATTAAGGTTAAAGCAAACAGGTAAGTAAAGAGATTTTGTGGACAAACTCATTGAAATAGACTTTAATCGCTAATAGATGAACTTAATGATCCTCTGGTTAACAGGTGAATAATGTTAGTCACCATCAACCAGCTAGTACAGACTGTTTAAGTTGCTGTTTTTATCAAAAAAATGGTCTAAAATGATTTAAAACTCGGGTCAATATCATTATTATTGTTATGAGGTTTCATCTTGTAATGATATTAATGATGTTGTTTAGATATTTTTCTCGTATTTATACCAAATACAGGAATTAGAGGTAAGAAAAGGTCAAAAATATTGAGAAAAGGTAAAAATTTTTCTCGGGTTACTGTAAAGTCATAGTTGGATTGAATACGAAAAGGTCAGTTACTCAAATGTTGAAAACCAAAGAACTGGTTTTTGGTATATACTTTTTTTATGGGTATCCTTCATTTTCAAAGGAACCATCTTTTTGCTTTTCTTGTTGTTCTTCTTTAGCTTCTTATTTTACCTGATTTCTGATGCATAAAAAAAAATTTTACGCTAATACGTAATGGATTTAATATTCAAGTGAACCAGGTCATTAACAGATTTGTCTGACCAGGTATTGACACCTTGATAGTGCTATTGGTGAAAGGTTAAATTTGTATCAAAAACGTAAGCTTAAGTATTGCTATGGGAAAGTTTTGCTTTTTTATTATTGAAATGGATTTTAAGTTAACGTTAATTTGGTATGTGTACCATTAGGATGGGTTAAAATTAGTAACCTAAAGATACGGACATGGTAATTTAACCCCAACTATTAAATTTAATGGGTTTAAATGTTGCCTGTTGTTACAGATCATTTGTAATTGTCATTTGTTGATTTTTCGGCTAATTTTATATTCTATTGATTGAAAGTTGAAATGAGTGATGATGTTAAAGCTAAACAAATACCTGAGTAACACATATCCTTAAAGCTATTTAACGGTTAACTTGAATTAAAAAGTTTAACCGTAATTAGCAAAATCTTTGTTGGTTTGAAACAATTCACAGAAACACATTTAGTGTGTCTTCTGGAGGCTAAGAGACAAACAAATATGGCCGATTGGAAAAAAATGTATTCCATTTCGGTTGATACTGAAGCAAGAAAAAAAACAACGGAAATGATCAATTTCAGGCTATAACCATGTTACCAGCATTAAATTGGAATGACATTGAGATTGGATGGTTGAATCAGAAGGATATGAACATAAACAAAAATAGCTTGCAACAAAAATTTGAGCTAAAAAAGCAAAAAGACCAAAATTTTGAGAATAATGTGAAACCGAATGACCGGTTAAAAGATTCACATTATTATGATAAAAATGGTTAAAAGAAGGATAGAGAAAGGCAGAAGGAAGATCGAGAGAGGTGGGAAAATGGGTTTATCACCAGTGAGAAATAAATCACCAGAAAAACCAGTTAATTAGCTAATCAATGAATTATTCAAAGTAAAAAAACCTACCCATGTAGCAAAGGCCAGCATACAAACTAAATGTTTAACAAAAGCTTTACAACATCCCATGGTTAAATTAAAGATGAATTTTGATCGCAATAATAATAATTAATCCAATGTAGAAAAGAGAAGAAGAATAGAAAAGATGACAGAAACAAGCAAAATTGTATTGTTAATTTTGCCGATCTTCAGTGCATTGGAGAAACACAGAAAGGAAAAAACAGTGAAATGAAAAGATGATGACTTGAAAAGACAAAATAACAATATTATCACATCCAAAGTAGTAAACAAATCGAAGATTAAACTCTGATGAAATGTGGATGAAAATAAGAAACAAGATGGCAAGTTTATCTGTTGTTGTTACTGACTCAAGTGACTCAAGTGCCAAACGCTTTCAGCATTACAACATTTCTTTTTCTCTTCCCTCTCTCTCTCTTTCTCTCACTAAGTTGCACTCTTTTCTCCCTACTGCTATCTTTTATCTTTCTTCAGCTTCTCCCTTTCTTTCTTTCCCCGTCTTCTTGTTTTCTTCATCATTTTGACCCAAGCTGTTAGCTCTTAACCAGAAAAAAAGCCTAATAGCAATGGTAACAATAGTACAATTATTGTTCTACACAGGAATTTTTGGGTCTCAAACGCCTACATTTGCTTTCTTTTGGTGACCATTTCTCTGTCTTCTTTATCTTCTGTGTCTTCTTCCTTTTCCTTGTTCTCTGTTTTCCTCTTCTTCTTGGCTCTTCAACAATCCTCGATAGTCAACAATTGAATTAGATCAACATTAACTTTAAATTAAGCAAGTTATTGAGATATTTTTATTGGTATACACTGGTTCTTATCTGGTAATTCACCTGAAATTGGGTTAAATCAGTGAATCTCAATGAGTATTGCCTCTTACTGAATGTGGTTAATACTGATTGATTCAATACATGTATTAGTGATATTTGCAGATCTTTTGACGCAAATTAATTGCACCTGAATTAACCTGTTGACTTAATCTATCCAATGATGTTGACATTATTAAAAGAGAACCAATTGTATCAATATGGAGGATTTTGTTCAATCAATTCTTAATCGATTCCTTTATTCTTTTGACAGTTGTATTAATGTATTAGGTAACTTTATCGATCATTTCATTTATTTCACTCTAAAATGAATCAAATGTATTCAATTGTACTTGACTGGAAACATTAGATGCATACTAATTAACTGAAATTTTATAATGTTACAATTTTTCTTCTTTTATGGAGGGAAAGTTGCTTGAGAAACTTTTCCACCTTTTACATTTTGCTTTCACTTTAAGGCTCCGGTGATCTGGAAAAGTAACGATGAAAAAAAAGATTGATTTTACCGTTTAATTTTATTATTATTGATTATATCTTTCCACTAATTGTTAAACCAACCAAATAAATTCACGTTTATTGTTCACTGATCACTAATTTGATGATCCAATATGAATTTAATTATACAATTTGACAATTCTTTTCTCTATAACTATGCTTTTTGATTAATTATTAAATTTCAATCCAAAAAAGTAACAATAATTCAATTGCTTATTAAAAAATTCAACATTAAAGATGAAAATAAATTGTAAATGAACTTTTATCTATTATTTTAAATTTGGCGGAACTCTGTTGTCAAGGAGACAGTCAAAATTTTGGCGCTTAAAAATTGATATGGAAAACCGGATTCTTGCAATGTTTAAAATGTTAATTATGTTTATGTTTTGAATTTCATCAGTCAAAGTTAATTCATATCTTATCCCTACTTATTTTTTTTATTAATTGCTGTCGTTATGAATGGTGAAAGTTCTTCCATCAGGCAACAATTAGCTTCTTCATGTAATGCCCTCGTCAAATTTTTTGAGTTTGTTACCCAAAAGGGGTTTACAGGTAATATTTATATTCTATTTTTCTATTCTTTCTTTATTTTGGTTATTCTTTTGATATCTTTTTTTAATCTCAAATTTTCTTCGTGAATCAATCATATTCTGTCTCTATCAGTTGCTGGTGTTTTCAGTGATCCTGTCCTTGGTGAAAGAACAAGGCGAGCAACCGCTGTTTTTGACATCCTTTCAAATTTTTTGAACAACATCGTCAAGAAGGATAACCATGCATCACCTCAACTGGATAAACTTATCCTCGAAGCTTCTTGTGTTTACGAGTGGACTTTGCGTTTATTTCTACACATATTTTCTCAAATCACTCCGTACAGAGAGATTGAGAATGTTAAACTTTTCATCGAAAAAATTGGCGATTTCCTGAGACAAATTCAAAAAAGTGATGAAGATCTATTCAATTATTTTATTCGAGAAATGAAGGATCTCGTTACACTTTTAACCATGTTTTTTGATACTGATCGGCTCAATGTTAAACTCAATCTCACTCATTTCAGTAGTAAAAGATTAGCTCTAGTCACAGTCAAGATACGAGCAACAGAAGAATATTTCGAACCGGACCTTGAATTCGATTTCTCGGTGGAAACTATCGAACAAGTTGAATCATTATATATCTGTGCAGTAGAAATTCTTGCCAATATTGGTAAACCTTTCGTCGCCTCTTTAGGAGTAAAGTCTGCTTGTGAGATGATGTCACATCTGGTTACTAATTGTATTTCATTTGCCAGCCCAAAAATGTTGGCAAATTCACTAAAACTTTTTCACCGATTTTATCCTGTTAAGTGTATCAAACTCGACCCATCAACTGGCTTTTTCTACCAAACCTGTTGGCTGACGGCTGCTTTATTTAAGTCACCCACCAATAACGAGGATCTACACTACACTTTAGTGGAGAAAAATTGGAGCTTGATAAGCAAACGTTTAGATTTCGAACTTGAACAGTTAGAAAATTCTGTTGATGTCTCTAAAGCATTAAATTCTATCATTGTTGTTATGGGCAGTTTTCATAAAATGAGCCCTTTAGCATCAACTAAATTAGTTAACGAGTCAATTGCGGTTGTGCTTCATAAATTACTAGATTTGTGTAAAAAAAATCAATGGACTTTCCCACTTCCCGAGGACACTGTTTCATCTCTTCAAAAGTTATATTGTGAGAAACTAGCATATTCGGTGTCTCATGATAGTGTATGGATCGCGTTAATGAAAAGAGTTTTCACTAGAAATTATACGGAAATCTACTCTTCCTTAAATTTAAGCTTTGATGGAATCAGTAATTCGAATGTTTCAACTGAGAATGGTGCCAATCGCTCTTTTCATTCTCAAAGTAAAACTTTTTTCGAAGACTTTTGTAAGGCTAACAGCAAAGTAATATCTCAATTCATAAACGCAAAATCATTAGACGACGTTTCTCTTCTTCACAATATGTACGCAGTTGAAAGAGAGACAATCGCCAGCCTACGACTTGATGGACATTGTCTTTCGAATCAAGGAAATTTCATGAAAATGATGGAGGCAGTAAACTGGATCTGTGATTTCACCATGGCCAATACTTATGATGAAAAAAAGTTCAAATTTGTATTATCTACACTAATAACTACTGTTAAAGCAATCAGAGATTTTAACCCCAATAACGTTGATGATTTGGAGCAAAAAATTGGATTTGTTTTCATGATACCTCATGTAGCTGAAACATCCCCGTTAGATATACTTGCTCACATAAATAGTGAATGGACCAAGAAACATTTGTTCACAAATGATGAGCTTAATATATTATCTCTTTATGGACTAGCGGTTGCAAACCTTCAAGTTACAAAGTTCGTTTCGAATATTCTTCATTCACAAATTTGCCGATGGAATGGCGATGATTATACTTTTAATCAAACATTGACATTCATCCTCTTAAAAAATGAACAATTAGTGAATCTTTTCTTCGCAAGCATTGAAGATAGAGACAATATGAGCTTTATCGCTAAAAGTATTGGTTTGGTTACGTGTTTCTTAAGCTCAGCTGATAAAGGCACTAGTTTCTCATACAAAGAGCCTTACGAACTTTGTGATTTAGTTTTTCATTGTACTGGTTGTGCTGATTGGGACAATTCGAATCAAAAATCATCTTTACCTGAAGACGCTGAGTGTAAATTGATGGAGATATTTCATGAAATAGTTGATACGAAAGATCCTACCTTACTCAGTAGCTTAGGTAAATGGAGTGCCTCTAGAGTTCTTCGCCACTGCGGTATTGATCGTTCTTTACTTGTTTCGATATTTAAACTCTTCTCCATTGATGCTAAGGAAGTTGGTGAAGTTTTGAATTCTGTTTTCTTTCCTTTAATCATGAAACCTATGAAAAGTGGATCTTTGAAAGTACCTAAAAAAGAATTGCTCTTTCGTGCCTTTAACAAAGTTTTTGGAACTGTCAGAAAACATTCAGAAAGTGATAATGCAACCGAAATCACAGAAGTCAACAATATAACCTATCTATCTACTTATTTTGATGAAAGTGATCTTAATCATGTTCTCATTGTCTTTTTCCGTAAAGTTTGGTCCAACTCAAGTTTAAAAGATCACATTCGAGAACAGATGATATTCATCGCTCGTTCTCGTGGACTTGAGCTTCGAAGCCTATTTCTACGCTATAAAAGTACTATTTCTAACCAACTCATAAACATTGTTATGGATGAAGTTGTTCCGGATGATGCCCTTCGAGGATGGCTCTGTCTACGAGAAGCTTTAATGCTGTTTGCAGCTAGTCAAGATGAAAGTGCCTTAAATCCTCTTTTCACCAACTCTTTACTCTATTTCTTCTGTGCCATGGTTCAAAAAGCTAATGACCACGCTCATGCCCTGCTAGAAAACTTTTTTACACATTCAGATCTTACAGCCTCTTTCTTAACTGCTGAATATGGTTATGGGCTTCCTCGTCAATTTGTAGCACAATCTTCGATTGAGGCTGTAGAGAAAAGCTTGAAATTCGTTAAAAAGATCAACCATTATGAAGCTCTTGCCAGTATCTTTCGAAATGATTTTCACAATTCTATGCTCATTGAATATCATCGAAATCCTCGTATTGCAGCTTACGTTGTCTACAAGATTTATATTTCAGAATCGTGTTCAATTGAGCAAGAAAATTTTCAAGACACCAAATTCATAATAATGCTTGAAGCTCAAATGGGACCTTTCATTATTGCTTTGAATAGGTTTTTATTGAAATCTGGCGACGTTTTGGAAGATAAAAGACTAGCTGTAGAGAGTCTTGGAGATTTCCTAAATCTTCTTGGTCCTCGAAAAGTGCCAGCATTCAAGATGAACATTATGGGGATTCTGTTGACAGCTTTCAATCAGGCAAATGGTGAGACTGCTTTTCTCAAAACTTTACTGAAGATATGGAATCAATTCTTAAATTCATGTGGACCTAACGACATTGGACCTCATCTATCAGTAATTTGTAAAGACTTGTCGCCTTATTTTGACGTGGACCCACAAGCTACAGCAAAAATATTTAAAAGAATAGTAGTCGACAATGAAAATAATCTGAATGACAGGTTTAAGGAGCTTCACTTTCTTCCAAAAGTATCTTATATGAAAGAAGTTCATGCCGTGTTATCTAAATATTTAATAACCAAATCACCTAAAGATCCCAACGAAGCTCGCGACTATTTAAAAGAAAATATTCGTTACTTTGACCAACTTTTCAACATAAATAATCCAGATGTTAAAGCCTTACACGTCAAGAAGTTGACCAGTATACTATCCGAGTTCAAGAAAGCTTTGGCTTACCTTTGCTTACCTAACAAAGAAGCTTCCACAGACATAATAATTGCCAAAATTATACGAAAATTACTCATAAGCTCTCAAATATCTGATACCAACTTATTGATAAGCATAGCTGAGTGTCTTGGTGAAATCGGTGCCATCGATCCTGGACGTCTCGATTTGTCTCTTCTCTCTGCCCATCAAATCTCTGACGGTGGCTTCATTGAATTTTCAGATTTACCGGTAACCTTATTGTCTAAACTTGCCAACACTTTGGACTCTATTGATCAATCTCGTATACGAGATTGTCTCTGCTATTCAATCCAAGAGATCTTGAAGAGTTATTCTGTTCGAGAAAACGATGACATTTGGTCTAGATTACCAACTGATGTTCAACGTAACATTAAACGATTTTTCACCACAAAGTATATATTCAAGGAAGAAGGAGGAATTGTAAACTCTCCTGTTTTTCATGCTGAAATTACCTATGATGATTGGCTTTATAAATGGTCCATGATATTGATTGAAAGAATTGAAAGAGTTACTCATCAAAGGGCATTCGAGGCTTGTTTGGCCATCATCAAATATAATTCGACCATTGCTCGATTCTTGTTACCAACTATATTTTGGATGGCCCTACTTGATTCCAATGAAGCAACTATAAAAACTTATATAATTGGTGAAATAAATGCTATTATCGAAATACAGTCTATGGATGAACCATTTGGTGAGGCAGCACTTGTTCCCGCATCATCTTCTTCGCCCCGAAATGATAATTCTCAAAATCGAAGCGAATTTAATAAAATTCGTTTAAAATGTGCTCGAACTATTTTTGCCATCATCGACGGGATATCTCAATTGAAAAGTAAAATGTTCCCTTCAGCCAGAAAGCTCTCTGCAGATGATGTTGAAACGAAATCTAAAATAGAGTTACTGGAAAATAATTTGAAAAAAACTGAATTGGCTGAATTGGCATTCGAGTGTCAAGCTTATGCTCGGGCTCTGCTTTACATGGAGGATTATATTTGGAAAAATAGAGACGCATTATCAGATAAATTAGTGTATTTCCAGAAATACTTTCTATCTTTAGATGAACCAGATGGAGTTGAAGGAATTAATGCAATCAGAGATGGACCGGCCTCGTTAATGGATACAATACTTTACCATGAAGCTAATAGTGAATTAAACTACTCCTTATCTGGTTGTGAGATTGCCATTAAGAAGGAACCTGACAATTTAATGTATCCTAAAACGCTACTTCGTTGTTTGATGAATCTCGACCAACATGCCACTGCCTTTAACTATGCAACTGGCTTAATACAGCGTAAGAAACAGTGGTCAGACGAAATTTATCCTTACATGGTTGAAGCGTCGTGGAAACTTCACAACTGGGATGATCTTGAACTGATGTTACGAGACAACGAATCACTTGAGTGTGACTCCCTTGGTGTTAACATCGGTCATCTAATCGACTGCATTCATTCAAAAGATGAAACTAACTTCAGAAAAATGCTGCGAGAAATCCGTAAACGGGAAATGGATCCTTTATCTATTTCATCATCCGAACAAGGGGCTTACATTAGATGCTATCAACATATTTTAAGACTTCACATGCTCACAGATATTGAAAAATTTGCACAGTTTGTTTTTAAACACAATGAAAAAAAAGCAGATGTTCAAATTCAAAATGACTTCTTTAATTTAATTCATGACTGGATTCGACGTAATAACTTGGTTCAATCATCTCTTCGGTGTCAGGAGCAAGTGTTCAATCTACAACGGGTATTGCTTTCTCTTCATAATGTTTTGCCTGTTCAGACCGACTTGGAAAGAGCACAATGTTCGTTATCCAGTGCCAAGCTGGCTCGTAAAAGTTTAAATTTACAACGTGCTTATACCCATCTCGTCGAAAGTCAAGATCTGATAAATAGCAATAATCTTCCTATCAGTCTTGCTATGCATTTATCAATCGAAACTGCTAAATTTCATTGGGCTAAAGGTGATCAAGAGTCAAAAGAACACTGTATCAAAGAATTGAAGCGTGAACTCGAAAAATATGAAGCTATGAGTGATCTTCAAACAGCAGATCGCATCAAGTTAGCCAAGTTAAAACTACTCTTCACTAAATTCTCCGAGAAATTGTCAAACCTTAATACTGATTCTTTGAATTCAATGTATCGACAAATAATTAGACATTTAAATGAATCTAGAGCAACAGGTGAGGTAGAAGAACCCTACTTTTGCCTTGCTCGTTTCTCTGATCGGTTGATGAAAGAAATGGAACCTAGAAATCCAGAAAGGCCTAAACTTATGGTAGTGGTTGCAAAACACTATTCACAAGCTTTAAAATATGGATCCAAACATGTTTATGAGTCAATGCCTCGTCTTCTGTCTATTTGGTGTGATTTGGGATCTTCTGCTGCAGAGTTTTCTAAGACAAAATGTGCTAAAATTTTAGAAACCAACTATACTGAGTCGTGTACGGAATTGACAACTTTCCTTGAAAAATGGAAAGATAGCATTTCCTTGCACCTTTTTTTCACGGCCTTTTCGCAATTACTTTCTAGGATTTGTCATGGCAACTCTAAAATTAGTGAAATTTTGATGAATATCCTTGCAAAGCTCGTCAAAGAATATCCGAACCAATCAATGTGGATGTTGATTGGAGTTTTGATGAATCGTAAAAATAAAGCTCGAGCTGATAAATGTGCTGAAATCATTCAAAAAGCGGTTGGTCCTGAAAATAAAAGACTGATTAAATTAGTTAAAGACATGAAAACTTTCGCTCTTCTTTTGATCAGGCTTTGTAATTGTGAAACTCAAGGGAGGCAATTTCACGTTAAAAGTGCAGTTCCAGAATTGAACCATGCTCTTAAGAGTAACTTGGGTCCAATTATGTTACCTTATCAAGCTTTCATGAATGTCCGGATGAAGAATAAATTCGAGTCATCAGCCACATTTCGCCCCTTTCCCACTGACCCTGTTTACATTCAAACTTTTGATGATTTAGGTGAAGTACTTTCCTCACAAGCAAGACCTAAGAAAGTGGTCATAAATTGTAGTGATGGTAAGAAATATAGCGTCATGTGCAAACCTAAAGATGACCTACGAAAAGATGCGCGAACAATGGAATTAAATAACTTAATTAATAGACTCTTGAAAAGAGATCCTGAAACACGAAAGAGAGGGCTACACATACGAACTTATACCGTTGTACCTCTGGATAATGATTGTGGTCTTATCGAGTGGGTTAAAAATTTGCAGAGTTTACGTGAATCTATTCAAATAGCCAAAGCATTCCGTTATCCTAATCAAGTTTATCCTGACAATAAAGAAATTCTGCAAATCATACCAATGGATTTCACCAAAAAAGCTTCAGCTGACGAGATAGTTAAAAGATTTGCCATAATTGTGCAAAAACATTCACCTACAGTCTTGGGAGAATGGTTTATTCAAACATTTCCTGATCCAACTTCGTGGTACATGGCTAGACTTGCTTTTACTCGCTCAGCTGCTGTGATGAGTATTGTTGGCTACATAATAGGACTTGGAGATAGGCATCCGGAAAATTTCTTGCTTGACTCAAGTAATGGGGAAGCCATGCATGTCGATTTCAATCTAATCTTCAATCAAGGTGATCTTCTAGAAATCCCTGAAAAAGTTCCCTTTCGTTTAACTCAAAATATGATTGCTGCTATGGGAGTAACTGGTTATGAAGGCGCTTTTCGAAAAACGTGCGAAGTGACACTTCGTTTGATGCGAGAGAAAAAAGAAGCCCTGATGAGTGTTCTTCAACCGTTTGTTTACGATCCTTTATGCGAATGGAAGAAGGCCAATCCAAGAGCTCGAACTTCAACAGCTCGGAGTAGTTCAATCGATTCAGAACTGGTTGAAGCAACAAATACTAAGGTTTGTTGATCTAAAATGTTCCTCAAATTTATTATAAATTTTAATTTTTATCTTTTTTATTCTCTAAAGGCTTTGGAATATGTCGGTAAAATAGAAGATCGTCTTGATGGAGTAATTAAAAAGAACACTATGCCAATATCCGTATCAGGGCAAGTACGATATCTGATTGAAGTAAGTAACGCTCTTGTTTTTCTATTGCCACGATTATTGTCGCAAAGCTTACTGACTTATTTTTTCAATTTTAATTTTGACAGGAAGCGACAAGTATGGCGAATCTTGGTCGTATGTTTGTAGGCTGGTCAGCTTATTTATAATTCATTGATTACTATCCATGTAAATTAACCAAAAAAATTATCACCCATTGGACTGCATAAACTGCAATTTCAATTTTATCACCTAAAAGTGCCTCGCACTGTAAGATTTATTTAATTTTTGGAGCCAAAAAATCATGACAATCAAAAAGACAAGTGAATACTTTATTTATGCTAATTTCACCAGAGACTTCAACTGTTGGAAAGTAATAAAGAGCTAATAATCCATCAATTTAGACAGCACAAAAATTTGATCTTTCAATGTTTTTAAACCCCAAATGTAAAAGATAATTCGTTCCATTTTTTCTTAACATAAAGTGTAATTTCCTATTTTGTTATCTCTTGAATAATACCTTTCAGTTAATTGTATTTATTCATCGTTCTGCTTAAAGTCACCAAATAATGAACAGACATCTCAAAAAACAACTGTAAAACAAGATTCCTACAAAAATCAAGTTTATGCCCTTTTTATGATACTTCAGTTAACGTGTAAAAATAACAGGATCGTTTGACCATACCGGTTTTGTTCCTTCTATCTCCTTTAAAATGTCTTCCCAACTTACAGATCAACAGGTTAATCTATTTTTGATTCATTTTATGAGTTGGAAAATTACTAAAATGAAAATTTAAAATTTATGTTAACAATTATGTGAAAAGTAAATTTCCTCTTATTAATTACTTTTTCCTGTGTATCGATTACTAAATCACTTTAAACGATCTTGAATTTTCCTCAATCGTTAATTTTTCCTAAGAAGCAGCAAAATTGACTTAATTATGGAAGTGTCCCAGTTAAGCTCAATCTTATCCACAATAACAATGATTATCATTGAAATTGTTCACTTATTGGCATCGATTATACTCATTTATGTGAAATCATTGATTCATTTAATTTTCGGTAAGCCGAGGAAAGACATTTCTGGTCAAGTTGCTGTTGTTACCGGAGCTGGACATGGACTTGGCCGAGAGTTGGCTCTAGAATTATCACATAAAGGAGCCAAAGTTGCGCTGTTAGATATAAACAAACCTGGTGTTGATAAAGTTGATCATGAAATAAAATCAACTGGTGGAGTTAGCTGTTCATACCAATGTGATGTGACTAGTCAAACTGATGTCCAAAAAGTATTCAACCAAATTGGTGATAATCTTGGACCGATAGATATATTGATAAACAATGCTGGAATAACTCATTGTACACCTTTTATGGATTTAACGCCTCAACAGATTCGTAAAACGTTTGAAGTTAACACTTTATCACATTTCTGGACCATTTCATCGGTTTTGCCTGGAATGATTGCCCGTGAAAGAGGTCATATCGTGGCTATTTCATCGATCGCTGGATTATTGGGAACACCAAATGTTGTTGAATATTGTGCTTCTAAATTTGCAGTTAACGGTTTGATGACTTCACTAGAAAAAGAGATCCATGCCAATGGAGCTAATAATAATGTCCATTTGACAACAATTTGTCCATTAATTATGGACACCGGAATGTTTAAGAAACCCAAAACACGTTTTAATTCATTGCTTCCAATTTGTTCCCCTTCTGATGTGGCCAAGACAGCAATTGATTCTATGCTGAAAAATGATTCAATCATAACAGTTCCTCAATCAGCAATGGCAATTTACAGAATAGAAAAGTAAGTCAAATTATAATTAATCAATAAATTGTCTAATTTTTTCTCATCTCTATCAACAGAATTGTTCCTGAAGAAGCTGCACAAAAAGTCCAGGATTGGCTTGACTATGGAGTTGGATCACATAAATCAGATTGAACTCGGTCATTATTTGGAATAAATTTATTGATTTACAGTTAATTTGAACGACTAAAACATGATTTGTTTAAAACATAATACCAATAGATTACTTTACAATGTAAAGATACCAAGATTATTGATTAATTAGATTCCTGTAAAATAAATGTTACACAAAACTCAGTAGTATCCTAATCAACTGTTATTTTGAAAGGTATTTTACTATTCGAAACTCGTTCCATTTATTAAATATTCTCATGACTGATGAACCAGAGCAATCATCAAAGTGCATCTCAGCACCTTTTCGAGCAACCTTGTCCTCTTGTCAACCAATACTTCGATCGACAATATATCCTTGGAGACACTCAGTTGGATCAAATGCTTCACGTCTTGGTCTTTGGGAGTTTTATCACGAGTTTAAAATTATTCGTGAAAATGGTTTAGTGGCAGTTGGTCATTCATCGAAACATTCATTATACCATATTATTGTTCGTCGAGCTCGGTCAAATCATGCAGTCACCCAAGTTAAAAGAAAAATAACGGCTGTTTACACTATTTATCGAGATCAAAATGAAGCTACAATCAATGATCATTGGCATCGTTTATCACCAATAATCAATACATTGTTCCCATTTCTCAGGCGACGTTTACATGTCACTGAATTGCGGATACTAAAAGACATCTTTACAGTAACCATCGAGAACCAGGCATTTACAGCAGCTCATGTAGCAGCGAAATTACAATTTGTTTCCGCATTTAAGCGTAAAAACACTTCCATAATTCACAATCTAAATGAACAAGCTCCTCCAATCGGACAAACTCCTCTAATGATTGCAATACAATCTCAAAACCTTGTTCTTGTCAAAGCTTTAGTTGATCTTGGTGCAAGCTTGCATTCGTTTGATGGTCGGTTAGATTCAATACTTCATTATGCTGCTCTATCGAACCTTGAAATGTTCAAATGGTTGATTGAAACTTGTAAAGCAAAATTTAATCTTGTTAAAATGTTGCGACGGCGAAACAAGAAAGGTTATTCACCACTCCATTGGTGCTGTTATTCTGGTCGCACTGAAAATTTACTGGAGATCCTGAAAATGCCAATACGTACATCACTGCTGGTATTAGAGCCACAACAACATGATCAAATTGATAAAAACTTTACTAGTGATATAAGCGATAATGATGAGTCAAATGGTCATCATAAAAAACATAAGCCAATAAAAGAGGATCTATCTGGATTGATTAATTATAAGTCAACAGAAAGATCTCCTTCAAGTCCTTCAATTTCCTCAGTGCCTTTGCAATTAGGTCGGTCTTCTTCATCAAGCACCAAACAAAGTCTCGATACAAGTTACATGTCAGCTTCTAGTTCAAATGATGAACACATTACTTTCACTCAAGAAATGATCGATGATTTAGACACATCTGAAATGCTTTTAGGTGGATCTCCAATCCACTGGGCTAAAACTCGCCGTCTTTTAGAGCATTTACTTGATTCAAATAGTTTTCCTTTGGAGTGCGTTAATTTTAGACGTGAGACTCCACTTCATGTGATGACTCGACGACGACGCTTAAAATGTGCTGTAATGCTGCTATCACGGGGTGTCGATGTATCAGTTCAAGATAGTCGGGGTAACACTCCGATTCATAGAGCCATTCAGAGAGAAGACATTTCAATGGTTCAAGGTTTGATTGCATTTGATGCGGATATAAATGGGTTGAATGCTAGAAAACAAACACCAAGACATATTGCGGCAACTAGAGGAACATCGATCTCAAAAATAATTGTTAATGTATTACACCGAGTCGGAGCCAAGAGATGTCCACCAAAAAGGAAAAAGTGCACTGAAGATTGTGCTTACGAATCAGAAGGTAAGCCGAGCAAAAAAAGTATAAAACATCTGGAATAATTAATAGTCAAAACATTTAGTTTATGAAATCTAACTTTATTGAAAAACTAGCATCAAAGATCGATAGTTAATAGCTTTTGTAATCATAAAATAGCCTAAATTATTTAGTTGAAGATAATCTATGAATAAGATGTTTATTTGTGGTGTAACAAGAATTCACACGAAACATTGAAGATAAATGAACTGTCATCAGCAAACAGTAAACACTTTACTCTTTGGTCACCAGTCATAGTTTATCTTTGGATGTGATTTTTCAGATTTAATTTGATCAATTTGACTGTCTCTTATAGGGATAGGAACACCATTTCCTAAATGGGCAGATTATGTAGATGAATCACCATATTCTGATTTCATGAGCTCAAGGGGAGATTCACCGGTTCAAGAGACTCAATCAAGAGCGATTGAAGGTGACTCTAAGTTAAAGGCTAAGGATTATTCACCAGCTCGGGTTATCTGTTTAGATGGTGGAGGAACACGAGGTTTATTTACATGTTGTGCCTTGATTGAAATAGAGCGTCGATTAAAAAAGCCACTTCGTGAATACTTTGAATGGTTTGCCGGAACATCATCTGGTGCCTTGATTGCTTCTCTTATCGTTCTAGGAACACCACTTCATCGGATCCGATCTGTATACTACCAATTCAAGGATAAAATATTCGTAGGTCAGCGGCCATATAATTCAGATTTATTGGAAAAATTGATTAAAGATCAGATGGGATCAACAACCAAAATGGGTGACATAAAAGATAATAAAAAGCTATTGATAACCGCTGTTTTAACGCATCAAAATCCAGCTCAACTCTATGTTTTCCGTAATATACCTTCAACAAGTGATATATTGGGTCGCAAAATACCGTCAGATCCAGAATATAAACCAAATTTTAATGAACAGATAATTTGGCAGGCGTGTAGAGCATCAGGTGCAGCACCTAGTTACTTCAAAGCTTTTGGACCTTTCATTGACGGTGGGATTCTAGCAAATAATCCAACTTTAGATGTGATTAGTGAATTTTTTCATTACAATAAGGCTTTAATCAATGTTGGCAAAGAGTCTGAAGTTGAAAAGCTTAGTTTAGTCTTGTCCATGGGCACCGGTAGAGCACCAATTGTTCCTGCTCGTTTGGTTGAATTAGGACCAATAATGTCGTCATCTTTCTTTACCCTTCCTGAAGCCATTAAAACGGCTCTTTCATTACAAGAATTGGTTCATATGATGATTTCAACAACACTCCAGACTGATGGACACGTTAATAAAAGGACTGAAGCCTGGTGCAGTTCACTTTCTATACCTTACTTTAGATTCAATCCGCCAATGTCTGAAGACTTGCAACTCAATGTAACAGATGATATTGAAGTTGTCAATGGTATGTGGGAAACAAAGGCTTACATGTACGCTCTTAGCCCTTACCTCGACAAACTTGTTAATTATTTGGAAGCGATTGAGAAGAAAAAATCAGAAAAAAATTAAATTTCATGTATTGATCAACTAAAATGATAAACTAAAATTCATATTCTCTAAACATAAATTGATTTTCATTTAAGCTATCATTGTTTATTTATTGCAAGCTAATTAGACAACATTAAATCAAATTTCAAAATTGATTAAACTGATTAATGCTTATGATTCAAGGAATGAGAAAATATGAGATTCTGAGAAAATCTCATCTCAAATGATAATTTTTATGCACCAACCCATTATGTGATCATTAAAAGAGATTGAATCCTTTGATATTGAAATTATTGTTTTTCTTTGTTAATAATTAATTACAATGTGGCTATCTAGTTATAATAAATGCTGATTGCAATTAATGTTATTAGGATCTTTTTTTTCGCGAATGAAATCGGAGAAAGCAATTAGATGAACAAAATTAAACAGAAGCATTTTAAGTGTTTAACCGGTTTAATGAAGGTGTTGTTTCGTTTTTGCGTTATGAAGGACAAATCAATTTTGTTTGTTGAATGAAGATCAGAAAAATAAATGTACTAAAATTTACTAAACATGAGATAAAAAATAAGAATTATTATTTCAAGTTTAAGATGTTGATGAACACAGGATGTTTTTTGTTGCTTGTGCATTTTGGTGTTTCAATGGATGGATATGAGTTGTTGATGACACAAAATTTTGGTACTTCAAGGTGAACAGCATTGGTTTCAATTGTGTTCCAGGTTAATTAGGAGAAGTTCATTGTATCTGTGCAGTTAGTTGAGTAACTAGAGAAGATGGTCTTCAAAAATGATGTTGGCTTGTAGTTTGGTTGAACGTTTAACAAAAAAGAAAATGATTGATGAAGAGAAAAAAATGAATTGAACTTGAAGAGATTCGAAAAGATAATCAAAATTAAACTAATTAACTTTGTCAATAATCAAATTAGAAATTTGAACAAGACTTTTACATCTAAAAAGAGGTAAAATTAAGGGCCTACTGAAAGGAGACTAATTTTAAACTAAGGTCAATAAGTTTACACAATAAACTATTGATTACTAAATTTAAATTAAACTTTTGCAACACCGGGATAATCATAACTATTTAAGCATTTAAGTGAGCTTATTTGTACATTGCTTGATTACGGCAAGTTTAGGTAAGGGATAAATAACAGATTGAATTATTGGATTGTTAGGATAAATTGTTGGTTAATAAGGAAGAGGATGATGAACGAACGATAAGGAAGAAAGGAAATTAAACAATAAACTAACATTGTATTAGATTTTAAAGAAAACACGCAAAACGCTGAAACAATCAACTATTCTAGCAATTATTCAGGTTTTATGACCATAGAGTTGGTTGGTTGGTTGCTAGAGTTTTAAAGTAAACTCAAAACATTTTCTCACGAATTGACTTTACTTTAAAACATTACCAGTCATACTTTACGATTTAATGTTAACCTGAAATTCAGCGTCATTACATGTATTCTTTGACGAAGCAGTGTAAGCAAAGTTTTCTGGGTGCATCTGTAATAGTTTGTAGTTCAAATTAAAGTATCAACTGTGATGTGTCAATTAAACCAAACTAATGGATTAAAGATTGTTTTGGCATCTTTAACATTGAATAAGATTTGGCCGGTCAACACCAATGTCTATAATATATCCATAGCCTTGAATAGATATAATTAATATATCACCCTCATAGGTAAATGAAGTTGTATTTATTGATTTCTTTGTGATTAGTCACTTAAATCAATTATATGCACGTCTTCGATTCCTTCCTCATCGGATTCGCTTCCACTCAGTTCTCTATAAAAAAGGATAAAATAAATTGTAACATTAGAATCGGTTTTAAAAAGATAATAAATAAACGATTAAAGCTTTAAGTCAAATGAATAATAACAATATATGCATGAAAGGGGAGAGCAAAAAAGCATTGAAATATCATTTGAATCGAAAAAAACAGCTAATTAATGGAAATTGGAACAATCATGACAAGTAAAAGCATAGTAAATCATTGTAAGTTTCTAGGCCATCAAATTTCGCCAAGGCTCAATGAATAAGATAATGAAGATTTTTGCAGATTTGAAAGCTTGATAATGACCAAAAAGTCAGAGTTGAAAATGAAATTAAGACTTTTCAGATTAATAGCGAATTTATCAAAATAAAGTTTCAACAGATTAAAGATTTTAAACTCTTCAGGCCTGATTTCGCAGTGTTTGTAGGGTAATGATGAAAGTAAAATGGTTCAATTCGTAATGATTATGCGAAGTGATTAAGTGCACTTTTTCAACACTTAAAATATTTGTCATTTATATTAGTTACTATTGGTTGATGAAATGACTCTATACAGTATCAGATTGACAAATAATTGAAAATTGAGATTCGTCAAACAAACCCAGACAAAAATATATTAATATGAGATGTGAGTTGAAATAAACAATCTGTGTGACTATTATCAATAACAAAACATTGATTTCTGTGAATTCTGAATAACAAATATTATTGATCAGATATAATTACGTTTTAGGACGAGCCTTTCTGAAAATATTTGATTTACAAAATTAAAAGCAAGTTGACTTGAACAACAGATTTCAAACAACATTTTGACAGCAAAACAACATAGAGTCAGATGTTCCCCAAACCATTTGAAGCTCACTGGATAATTATACAAAAGTGAATAATGAGAAGTGGAAGAAGCCTTGACTTAATTTCTAATAATAGACGCCTTCAAGGAATAAGATGTTGCTAAGAGGATAAACTTCTCACAATTACACAATTAAGTTAAATTCAACTGAGTTTAATGATTTTTGTTCAACCATAATTACAATTTATGATTTTAACATCGATAAAAAATAGATTGAAAACTGAAAGCAAACCAAGAAGCAACTATTCAACCAATAAATGAATCTGAATTAACGCATTTTTGTGAGACGTCACCTATTTGTGAAATTCAATTTCTATTAATTCTGGCATCAATATCACCATATCCTGCCGCTGAAAAAAATATTATCATGAATAGTAATGCATAACAACATCTAGTTCATGGTTAAAAACATTTAGTAAGGTTTTTGGTTGCCTGGCTTAAAATCAATTTTGATTATTGGTATTGAGAAAATCGTTTATGGCCTTCATCTAAATTGAATCTCAGGTTAGTAACAATTATTCATTTGACAGCATAATTGAACTTGAAATGAACATACCTGTAAGCCGTGCATGTGAAAAATACAATGCGTTTCAGTTTCTTATTGTGAAAAAAATAATTGAAAGACCAGAGACTTCCATCTTCAGCATAAGGATCTGAACTCAGGTCAGGATTGTAACTGTAAAAGGGAAAAGATCGAATTAGTTGTGAATAAAATTTGATTTAAGATGATCAATCAATCAGGACATTTGAAATGGAAGAATAGGCAAGACATGAATTGAAATAAACAAGGGAATCTTGACGAAAAATCTGTTAATAAAATAGCTACCATTTCGCTTAAAGTAATTACACTAATTATGATTGATGCTGTAATTACGATGCTCAATCAAATCTTAAAGACTCCCTTACATGTTGAAAAGATAACAACAAACAAGAGTTAAATAATCTTGAGTAGGTTCTATTATCAGTAGAAAAGAAAACTTAATTTTCTCAATCAATCTTATTTCAATAACAACATGACTATATTAACATTATGAGTAAAGCATACTTGCAGATAGGGAAAATTATGGCTAAAAAGGGTTGATGACCCATCAGATACTCAACAGATATTGTCTCGGCACAAGATTACTTTACTCATAAGTGATAAATGATAGTGACTCTATCAAGCAACCCTCATAAAATCGGTTATGACTTATGCGCCTTCAAGCTTCAAACCCTTGAAAACAATTCAGGTACGATTTGCCAATAGAAGTCCAGGTTTTTAATTGAACAAATTTTTCAGTTTTAAGTTCCCTTAATTTAATGACCATCGAACACTTTATTTACCTGTAAATTTCACAGTCGGAACAATTTATTTCCGCATCAATGGCAGACCAAAGTTGACTTCGGATTGCAGCGTAAGCTTGGTGAGCAGATGTTGAAAGAAAGTTTGAATCGACTGCGTTCATAACCCACTATTTGAAGGGAATAGAGTAGGGAAAAAAATCAATTAGAAACATTAATTAGCAGATAAAATTTTGCAAAAGCAGGGAAGAAAATTTTGCGCATTAAAATTGTTTGAAATATGAGTTGAAAATCTGCTGATAATTATTGACAGTTTTAGTTGCTAACGCATGTTTACAACTGAAAAATAGATTGACGTAACGAGAATGATAAAAAATAACTAATCAAATGAAATAGATAATTGATATTTAATAAAAAGAATAATTCTTATCATTTGAACATGATGATCTTATGAAGTTTGCTATCTCAAATATTCGATTCCTGTACTTGAACAATTGAAAATACTAACGCACCTTCAAAAGGTTTGCCTGTCAACAGATTTATCACTTTTCAATCTCTAGTTTGTTTTTGTTGCATTTTCCTACATGAGATAAATAAAACTAGACAAGCTAGAACAAGGTGAAAGAAAATAAACAAGTTGAACAAGATGTTATGATTAGAAGTTTAGATAATTTTTTACCTTCAAGGCAAGTAGAAATGAAAAAATATGGCTAAATAAAAAAAAGAGAACGAGATCTTTCCCGCCTCAATTGAACACTGAAGGAGATCGTACAGTCAAAATGGCGGTAATCAGGCGATGATAAATTATTGAAAAGGACAAATTGTACCCAGTAATCATCTGGATGACATAAAATTGTCTCTTTTCAATGAACTAGATCGATGATTAACGGAAATACCTCATTCTTTATCAATAGTGAATTTATAATTAGAGGGAAGGACTGTGCTTTTTGGTGTATAGTTTGGAAGAAGAAAGATCTAGAAACGATAAATATAAGCTGTTCCATTACTATATTAAAAGGATACATGTTATCGTTAGTCTATCTTGCTTTTTCTAAGAGTTTTCTTTGTTACAAGGAGAGTGAAAAGGGAAAGGAAGGGAGAGGTTAAATTTGCACGTAAATTCCCTGACAGATGGAGTGGGGCAAAGTTTGAAGGTAATCGATTATAATTTTAATTTACCCGTAAACTGGGTTCCTTGCTGAATTCATCACTTTTGGCATCACTGAAGTCATAATCTGGCTGGAAAGATGCATTAAGAGTTGAAATAAGAAAGAAGAGGGTTTTTCGCGAGATTGTGTCACACAGGTGCCCATTACTTTCAAGCCCGTCATCACTGTTACTGTAGCTAAAGCTTTTAGCTGGGCTGAAGGAGAAAGATTGTAGACTTTGTGGTGGAGATAGAGCATGTAAATCGTTTGGACTGGTTCCTGGTTCGGCATGCATTGTTTTATACAATCTTTTATCATTGCCAGCCATTTTACAGGAGTAACTCTCAACTCGCCCAACGATGGAACATTGTCCAGTGTGTATTCTCAGAGCCGAGTTTAGAGCTTCAAATTTGGTGCTTTCCAGTAGCTTCATTTTAACAAATTATTTTGTTGAACGGATAATAAATACCAGAAGATGCAACAATACCCAGTTTAACAGCGAACTGTTCTCACATTGGCTTCCATGATAGACAACACAAAATAAAGTCTTCTTCTAAATGGATTACTAGAGTTCACAAATATTGGATGGAAATATAAAGATGGAAGGAAAGAAAACATTTAACCAGCAGCAAGAAGAAAATTGAATTGAAGATTACCAGCTAAACTAGCTAGATAGATTCGATTAATTCCAATGAGAGAAACAATCAAAATAAAAACAAATGACAGAAGCTTGGTGACAGGAGATGTAAATAAGAACACAGAGAGAAAACAGTAATGGAAAGAACAGGAGCAGAAAAAGATTTGGTCGTTTTTTTGCAGATACAAAGTGAATAGGGTGTAGAAGGTTCCAAAGTTAATTAGCAAAAGATATTATTGTTGATTAAAGTCACTTGAAAATCACAAAATCCAAATTTTTAGATTCCACAAAATTAATTTAGGGTTGATCAAATTTGAATGAACATAAACTTGATTTGACTTTTAACTGGCAACTTACCGTTTATCTGTCATTTGACAAAAATAAAGTCTCCACCTATTTCACTTTCTAGAACCTTTCTTTTTCGCTGTCTATTCTTCTTTCTATTTCAGCTTTTATGTTTCTATCTGATGTAGATAGCGCTAGCTGTAGCTGTGATCAGCAACTAAATTAAGTTAAATTATTTTGGTCAATTTTTCATTTATATTTGCAAACAATCTTTAGAGTATTTTAATATGCAGTCTTCAAAATTACCTTTACCAAAATTTCCTTCACCCATTGAGAGCGATGAATCAAGCGACTACTCGACTATTCAACCAGATGGACGAATCCGCTCCTATCCTCATGTCCGTGGCCAATGGACAACTTTTGTATACAGTGAATTGCCTGATGACTCTTTAATTGATTTGAGTGATTGTATTAGCTCCTGTGGTTCTGATATTCAGCTGATTGAAAACATTCACGTTTCAATGGTACGAGGTCATTATGCTCTATCATTTCATCAGATAACACCTTTTGTTACAGGTTTAAGAGATAAACTGTCAATTTGTCAGGCCTTTGACATTTACTTGTCAGTATTCAAATTGTTTACCAATGAAGAGTCTACCAGATCTTTTATTTGCCTTTGTGAACCCAAATTAATGGTAGATTCAGTGAACACCAGGACTTCTCGTTATGTACTTGATTTAATCAAACAAACATTGGATGATTACAACGCCAAAGTCGAATCAACAATTGCTCCTTCGAACCAAAATCTTTGCCTTGATGACTTTACTTTTCATACAAGTATAGCTTGGTGTTTGCCTGGAGCAGATAAATCAGCTTCAAATTTAATTGCACAGCTAAACGAACTATTGGATGAACCGATCAAAGTTCACGTTGATACAATAAAGATTAATACTGGTAACATTTGTCACACGATAAGCCTTAAAGATAGGACATAGTCAAAAATTATCTCATTTGATAGTTATAACTGAACCCAAATTAAATTTAACCATTAAATGGTTCAGAAAATCACTAAATCACTGATAATTAATATGATTTTGGCATTTTGATCTTTTATATATTTTTGGCGTCAAAATTTTCAAAAAAAGTACAGTTTGATTTGACAAACATAGATGGCATTTCAGTCGTAATGAAATTAATTTTTTTATTTTTGCAATTTGGTGTTTTGATTGTAACTTTTAATGTGTCTGTAATAATTTAGTTTTCGTGTTCTTAAAGATACAGAAAAAAAACAAAAAATAAAAGGTACCTCTGTTAAACGATAGGTATTTGCTAGATTTCACTTTTGCCGCTTTGAAGGGCTATCTTTGACACCAGGTGTAATACTCAAGTTACCTAATCATAAAAATGACTTAACTTTGACGGTTGCGCTTTGGATAAACATTGATACATAATAACAAAATAAAATCATTGCTTTCCAATAGTTGGACTGTTGAGTTAATTAGATCTACGACTAGTTGGTGCATGATTCTTCCCTGAAGTCGTGTGGTGAACAATACAGATTGGATTTCATTCAGGTGAGTCGATTATTGCTTGTCAAAACTTTATTCCTATGTATCAAGTCAAAAGCCATCTTTGGCTGTAATTTTTCATGCATTTCGTTGCATTTTAAAGATTTTTCCGTCCAATTTCGGTGATTATGTTTCATTTTATAAAACAAATTGTTCAACATATTCATTTGATAAATATTCAGCTATGATTCACGCTCAAGCAATAGATTCAATCGATCTTTCATATTGTGTTGACTAAACTTACTTGACCTTGTCTGCAATTCCTACTCACAAACTTGTCAGAATAAAATGATTATTCAATTGATTTACTTATATTGTTATTGTGCTAGTTATTTGAAAAATTAACATACATTTAGACACCTTAGTTACTAAATTTCCATTATGTTTTATCATGTCAGATATAATAGTTATTTTATTCACCTCAGGTTATGAACAGCCATTGAACGATCACTCATCCAAATTCTTTTCCTTTTCCATTTCTAGGTTTTAACGATACTTTGGACCGGTTATGGCTAAGAAAGTTACTAAGGAAAAAGCTGGGTCTAAAAGACCAATTCCAAAAACAGCAAAATATCAAACAATCTTCAAACCAGTCATTTACTTGCTGGTTTTAATCGTAGCAATTTTATATGCGCCTTTTATGAAATCTTTGAATTTTAGATCTCGACAGTGAGTACTTTGAAATTTAATCATTTCTTTTACTGAAAAATAATGAGTTTTACTTTATACTTTAGTTTCTAATGTTTTTTTTCCAGATATACAGATTACCTGGCTGAATCTTTTGATGGTCCTTATGCTGAAAATGACATTCTATCTAAAGCCACCAAATTGTTTACTGATGAAGTTGAAGGTCCAGAAAGTTTAGCTCCGTTCGAAGGTAAGTTTATCCGTCAATCATTTTATCGTCTAATCTATTCAGTATAAGTAATTGCTAGTATTTAAGGGCAATTTCAGTTCAATTTCAAGTATCAAATTATGTAACTTTTATGTTGAGATGAAATATTATCTGATTCTTTGGTTTTCTGGTTAGATTTGCATCAATGCAGTCAATGATACCCTTTTTGTCATAATAATGCGTTTATTGAAATTATAATAATTACTAGCATGATATTTGTGAGAATAAATTTGCTATTGTTATCTCATTACAGGTAAAGTCTATGTAGGACTTCAGGATGGTCGAATCTTGCAAATTTCTGACGATAAATACACTACTTTTACTACTGTTGGAATATCTAATGGAACTTGTCCAGCCTGGCAAGAAAAACGTTGTGGGCGACCTTTGGGTAACAGAGTCACATCCAAAGGAGATTTGTATACTATTGATGCTTATCACGGCGTTTTAAAGACTTCGATCAAAGCGCCGTCTCCTAAACCGGAATTAGTTATGTCATCAGATCTTTTAATTGAGGGCAATTCAAGTAAATTTCTCGATGATTTGGTTATTGATGAAGGTGCTGGAACATCTGGTGGTAATGTCATCTACATGACAGATGCAAGCTCACACTTTGATCTCAGTGAAGTTGTACCAACAATGTTGGATCAAGACGATACAGGGCGAGTGATTCAATACGACGAAGTTGCCAAAAAGGCGACTGTTATAATGAAAGGTTTACTCTTCCCGAATGGAATTGAATTAACTGACGATAAAACATCTATTTTGGTATGTGAAATAACAAACAAACGAATTCTTCGCCATTATGTTAAAGGACCAAAAGCAGGAACAACCGAAGTTTTAATTGATCGTTTACCAGGTGAACCAGATAATATTAGACGATCAACTCGAAAAGATAAAGAAACTTATTGGGTGGCACTTGCTATCGCTCGGACTACCCAGAACCCAGACCTGATTGATTGGGGTGAAAATAAACCTTTTCTTCGGAATTTCGCCCTTCGAACAATTTACGCTGTCGGTAATTTAGTTCAATTTTTTGGTCAATTGATACAATCACCTGACTTGACATTGAAAGGATGGGAAATTAAAACCTTTAAATTATTCAATTTGTTCACATTCCGAGGAATGGCCTTAGAAATAGATGTTTCTGGTAAAATTGTCTCCTGCCTTCATTCACCCGATGGTTCAATAACACTATTATCAGAAGTTAGAGAAGTGATTGAAGGCAATTCTAGAGTTTTATATTTAGGCTCAGTTTACAACAAATACATTGGTAAGCTTGTTTTAAGCTAATCTTTTAAAGTTTGATCTCATAGATGAACAAAGTGGAATCCTCGCATGTAAAACTCATGGACCACTGAAAGCAAAATATGTGCAATTCACATTCCAGTTTTTAACCATAACCAAATTACAAATTATGAATGTTATCTCATAATAACTTCAGAACTCTAAACTATTACTATTTTCTAATGCTATTTTTTAACGAAAACGACTTGTTTGACCAATTATTTTATTGATCAAATGCTATGATCCACTTTGACTCAAGAATAACCGTATGAAATACTCATAAATAAAAAAAAATTCAAAAAATTCTATTGTTTATCACCAAATCACTAACATATCTAGTTTATGACAAGATCATTTTTCATTTGAATTTAAAATGGTTACAGTGAATCACTTTTTGTGTTAAATTGATTTAATATTTAAATGTACATTTTATACAGGCGGGAAGTTACAATAAATTGATTTCCTAGTCAATATAATTCGATTAATTTCCTGGAACAGTGCAATTCGATCAAATTATATCTTCTCTGTTAGTTGAAAATTATCAGGAAAAAATTAACAACATTAACAACCATAAAACAAATAATGAAAAAATAAATCTTCGCTGTCATTCAAAACTAAAAGTGTTGAGATGAACAGCGATTGCATTACTCTATAAATCTATTTAAATTAAAAGCATTTATACACATAGTATTTACAATTCTCGAGGACTTATAATCACCTCCAATGGACATGAAGGTCGTGTGATTAATTCAATATAATAAGTGACTTCCTCCATGGTTTTACAAGATTTAACCCGATAACGACGAAGAAATTGAGATAAGAAAATTTTAATTTCCATCATAGCATAACGGTAACCAATGCACATCCTTGGACCCAAACCAAAAGGAAGAAATGCATATTTGGGAATTGAATCAATATTTTCGGGAGCGAATCTATCGGGATTAAATGTAAATGGATCAGGATAAACAGTTGGGTCATGATGAGCACCTAAGATGAACAGCACTACAACTGAATCTTTGAGTAAAACCTTTGAACCAACTTGAACATCACTTTCAAGATGCCTTAAAACGACTGGAAGAGGAGGAACCAAACGAAGTGATTCTTTAATACACTGTTCCATATAAACGAGTTGTTTCAAGATTGACAAATCACTGAAATCATCCAAATCACCAATAACTTCATTTATCTCCTCAGCAATACGATCTTGGATTTCAGGATGGTTTCCTAGAGATATATGACATGAAAGAAACATGAATTAGTAATGATTATATTTTAACTTATTGTAAATATTATTACCTAATGTAAAAATTAGCCAACTTAGAGAATTGGCGATCGTTTCGTGTCCAGCAGCAACCATTGTGAGCATTTCTTCAATCATGCCGCTTCGGTCAATGTTACCCTTTCCGTTATTATGCTTAAACATCAGGTCGATCATGTCTCGACGTGTTTGATTGCCATCCAGTTGGAGATCATCAGTATTATTATTTGTCTGTAATCTTTTATTAATGATTTTGTTGAATTCAACGTCTCCATACTTTTGGACTTCGTTTAATTGTTTGCCCAGGTTAAACTGTTCGAAGATCCAATCGCTCCAATAAAGTGGATTACAAATACGCTCCATTAAACTGTCCTCGAATGCAGCAATTCCCTCTATTAGTACTTTTTTCTGCTGTTTATATGAATCCGGAGGTAATTTGAATGCAGCCTCAAAAATAGAGTTCATTGTCAGTTGGTGGATATAATCTGATAAATTGATGGGTTGATGACATTTACTTTCCATTGAGTTAACAATATCAACTGTGTTAGATCTTATGAAGGTGGTAAATTGTGACAGCTGTTTGGATGCGAACAGAGGTTCGAATATTTTACGTCTTGCTTTCCATTTTGATCCAGAAGATGAAACCAAACCATCTCTCATACCCAACCACCGATAAATGTGGTGTTTTCTGGTTTCTGGTTTAGTTATAATTGGCTGCAAGGATGAACCAAAATGTTAAGGTTAGATGAATCAAAAAAGTACAGAAAATTAATTTAATTGTTTGATAATCATCAGGTTGTTCGGATCACAGTAAGCCTTTTATGTTTGGACATTATTGAAAGATTATTCGATTAATCTCTCAAAGTTAGATCATCTATTGTACAATTTTAACTGGTCTTTCCAATGAGTGGGTATTTGTGGAAAATATATGCGAATGCGAGTCAAGCGAAAAGGAGAGCGTACTTTTATAACGCGATAAAAGCGAACACCTTATCTTCGCATATCAACTAGGAGAAAATACGTTTTGCTCAAAAATTGAGTTTTTCACTTTATTCTATGTATTATAATTTCGATTTCCACAAATGGTAACTTATCGAAAAGACCATTTAAAACTGCACAATAGATGACCAAAGTTATGTAGATGTTCAAGTGATGTTGGTGTCTTGGTTTCGATGGTATCCAAACAAAAAGTGATCACAGTGACCGGAACAACTTAATTGGTAAAAGTTGGGTTGAAGAGTTGGCAATGACACAAAATATGGTTTAAAGTTTATAATCACCTCTAAGGTTTTATGTGATGAACAAATAACAACAGGAATCCAACTCATCCACGCTATTAGAATATCGTTCCTTTTTTCAGTTTCGAAGTAATTACGATAAATAAACTTCCTTACGTTACCTTTTTAGAAGAAAACAAGAAAATATTTAGGTGGTTTATATGAAAAGAAGCCCATTGAAGGACATTTCTTCGATTGTTTTTTAATACAAGATTAAAAATGTCGGCTGATAAAATAATATCAAAAAAGATTACATACTTGCGATTTCTTCTCGATCCGTTTTTGGAAGTCTTGGAGCAATTTTAAGCAAATCACCAAAAAGCCAATGACTTTTTTCACATGGAAAGTCTTGATAATGAGCTGCAAGACGATAAGCTCTGATTGAAATTTCAAGCAATTTGTAAATTATCCAGATAATAGCAAGTTTACTTGCTGGATAAATGATATAATCCAATATTAACATGATCACAAACAATTTGAATTAACAAGGTCTCTACAATTTAAATGTAACAACAACTAACAACTGTAAGATCAACTTTTAAAATAAGAAAATGTAAGCACTTGTAAACAAATTAACATGGACCGCGAAATAGTCGATGAATGCTGGTCGTTTATTAACTGATGATTAAATGAGAAATTAACTGATAAACAAATTAGATTTCATGGGACGTGGAGGGAGAATGAAAAGGAGAAAGCAATAAATATGTTCAAGAACTCAAGTTTGATCAAAATCAGCATCTATCATCATCATCTTGGCTCCCTAAAGCAATCAGGGAAAGTCATGAATCAATCAGTTTAAAGAAAGGCTTGAAATCAACGGGTTTTTACCTGGGTGATGCGAAAAAGATGAGCCCATGTTGGGTCAATTGAAGTTTTTCTGGATTGCTACAAGAGAGTGTTGTCCTTTCACTTGTCCCTCTTAACCTGTTCAGATTATACAACTGGAGCAGTCAATGGGTTGAAATAATGGAGCCTAGAGTTGGGCAACACGCTTCTGTTCATTTTTTGTTGTGAAATGGCTTTTCCGATGGTTTCAAGAGATAGTTCAATGACGTTGATAATGTGGAGGAATTCACCAGAAAAGTTGTTTATTTACTGTCTGTAATGGTAATACTTAATGCTTTATTTAAGCAAGGTTTTGATCATAATTTTCCCCGAAGGCAAATCGGCTTGCAAACTGATTTCATTTAAAAGTCCAACTGATTAAACCTTGATACTTGTTTTTGAAATACTTTCACTATAACATGAAGTGCTGAAAAGTTGGGGAAAATTAAAACTCACAGAGATGGAACAATGTTTCTTATAAGATTTCCTATGTAACTAAATGAGATTTACAATTAAAATGATTGATCGAGCAAAATGCAATCTTGAAATTGAATCAAAAACATGTATTAGTGTGTTTATCTCTCACTAGATGGTCTCACTTCTAGCCGCCAATTTTTGGGTTAAATTTGGGTAACTCTTTTCAATTTGTAGTTTGATCTTTGTTTTAAAAATTGGATTATTTTATTGATCAATATAATTAATTGTTGGTTTGTTTAACCTTTTTACAAAGTTTATTTACATTCGAGACTATGATAAATTTGTGTTTCTTTCATTGGCTTTGTCATTATTTTCTGGGTATATATTATACAATACAAGATACATGACAATGGATTCGTCTCATCTGTAAAATTTGATTAATGTCTGTCCCCTGGTAAATTATATAACTATTGTTCGGTGAACGTCAACTTGGAACAAGTTAAACAAGTTAATATAAATCTAATTGGCCTGAATTACAATGTATCTACATTGTTTCATTTTGGTCTGTCTCCTTGGGCTGCATAAATGTTCACCAACAGCAGTATAGATAATTTGATTTCCATGAAAAACATTAACTTTACCATCACGTAATTTTCATCTTTCACAAATCGCCTTACTACCTTGCAAAGTTTCCGGTCACACAGAGATGACCATCAATAACAAAAAATGGTGAATCAAAAGTGAATTAATAATAAGAGTACAAACATAAATCTACATTGAAAGTAGCAACACACAAAAAGCTGAGAGTAAAATGTTGTTTTATTGTTAAGGAGCCAGTGAACCGTTTTGGTTTTCTGGTAACAAAAGAAAACCAGAAAATTAAAACCAGTTAAAAATGGTAAAAAACTATTATTACCTTTTAATTCAAGGTGCCATTCCTATTGTAATCATAATAATAATGTGGCAGCCATTGATTAAAATACCATTGATAGTTATTTATTAACTATTATTTGTGTCATTTTTTCCCAAGGAAATTTTTGGTCAAATGAAAAGTACTTCACCCAAAACCTGTAATCAAAAAGCATGATGCAAACGGACATCAGAAGAATAAACAAAAATCATTTAAAAATCGGAAAGACACCAAAAAAATACCCGTGAAAGCTGAATATAATAAAAAAGGTTGTTTCTTTGCTTGCTGGTAAACATTGCTAATCAGCCATTTTCAAGCACTAATACTAACCATAATGAGTTGCAGAATGCAAGTTAAATAGCCAACAATCAAGCCAGAAAATGAAGAAAATCAAATTGCCTACTATTAATAAACCTCAAGAAAAGCACCCAAAAAAACAACTAAATAATGCAATAATAGTATAATGTAATAGTGAATAATATTAATAGCTGTAATGGTTAATGGTAATGCTGCATGTAATAACTCTCATTGTAATAAGTTGATGCAAAGTTGCCTAAATCAGCCAATTGTGAATTAATCATGAATTAATTGAGTTCATTTGTTGAACCAACCAGAATGACATGAGAAAGTTTAAAAAGCAACTAATTTTGGGTTGGAAAACCGAGAAACCAGAAAAAAACCAAAACGGCTAAAGATGGTTTTTACAGAAAAAAGGTTTTCAACTTGTCTTAACTGGTTAGAGACTTTTTGTTGTTTTTTCCTAAATATTTCACAAAAAGTGTTGAATATTTCTAGTAAAATGGTCAACTAAACTAAATGGTAATTAGTTGAGATTACAATAACAGTGAAATGTGTAACTATGTTGATTAAATGGCAACAATTTCCAGGTTCAAAGTCAACAGTCCAATGCAAGAGATAACAAAAAGGTTCACAAGAAATGGTTTCCTCGTCTCGGTCACTTGCTTTTTGCTTTAACCAACACTTCAACCAAATGTCTCCTACAAAAGACTCCTTTCACCCACTCAATTGAAAACTACCTGGTTGAATCCCCTCGTGAATCCCCTCTCATCATCATCATCATCCAACTTCCTTTCTTTTCATCTTTTCTTTACCTTTCATCTGTGTTTCCATTAGGTTTGTGCCAAGATCAGGTTAGTCTATTTTCAACTTGCCAACTTACCTTTTATCCTCCCATATTACCCACTCTAGCTAACTCCCTTTCCCACCTTCTTTTACCTCTCTATTTTCATCATCAGCATCAGTATTAACATCCCCATCAACATCCCCATCATCATCATCTTCTGTTGTCTTTTTTTCACCATTTACTGACTGTCGTAACAACAAAAGCCTCTTACCAACAGTGGCAATAGCAACACAGCAACAAACCCGAAAAGACGGCGACAAAATAAACAATCATCATTATCATCATAAACTTTATTATAATTAACATCATTAATCGTCTCTCTTAGTCTCTCTCTGTCTTTCTCTTCCTTATGTTCATCATCAACAACCGTTAATAATCATCTTGCAGTTAATTTTGTAAATTGTGTACTTTTATGTAGCAACAGAAACTTTTTGGTTTTACTTTTTTCATCATATGTTGAACCAACATTGGATTTTGTGATATTTGTCCTGGTTCTTGTCGTGTCTCTATTTTGTGTCCCTTTTTAATTGTTAATTTTTAATTTAATCAACAATAAATTGAATAATGACAAACGGATAATAAAGTGATTACCAATCTGATTAATAATATGTCTAACAACATTGAAAAGGATAAATATCATCGAGCTGCTCGCGATGGTTTCCAAGACATTTTAAAGGAAGCAACCAGAAAAGACTGTAACAATCCAGATGAAGATGGGTTAACACCGACTCTTTGGGCAGCTTATTATGGTCACTTGGACGTATTGAGGTTACTCATTGGTCGAGGGTAAGTTGACCAGTAAGGTTGTCATTCAAATTAGTCAATCAATGTAAACCTAAATTGAACATATTGGTTACCCAAATACCCAAATGTGTGTTGTTTCGTTTGTTTCAGTTTCGAGTTTTATTATTACTTGATTAACAATCTTGAGACTTTTAATCACAATTGTAAGCACAATGAATACCAGTTAATTAAACCCGAAATAGATTGGCAGCATTAATTATTAATTGTACCCATTTTTGTTAAACCAACAATCAGCTTTATTGTGAGACCAGAAAACAAAAAATTGGGTATCAAAATGATTAACGGAAGATAAAGCAGATTAAAAATGGATTTCATTTTAATTAATATTGAGCATAATATTGAATTGGTTAATCTTGATTATTTGGGAAAGTTATTTCTTGCTATTTATATTAACATTAATATCCATCCTGTTGGTTAAACAATTTAAATTGATCCAATAAATTGTGATAACAATAGCTAACCATTGATTTGGTGCAATAGAAGCAACATCTTAATTAAAATTTTGACCTGTAAGGCATTTCTTATTGAACTAATCTTAACCTATTCAAGTGAAAGTTGATCAAGATGTAAATCTTTAATCAATTGTTTCTTTTATGAGTTTCACTCAATTTATTCGGTATTATTGGCTGAATCTCCTGTTGAACCTCAATATATTCAAATAATAGTTGACATAATCTGATAGCAATAAAAAAAGATTGAATCGGGTGAATGAATATCTTGCAAAACAAACCAGACTTACACATTACTGGTTACTAAAGTGAAATGTTTATCGTCAAATCAACTTAATGGTGAATCAATTAATTTACAATTCCACATGAAATAATCAAACAAACTCGATCAAGAAACAGTGTAACCAAAATGTCTGAAACAGTTAGAATCAAGTAAATTTATTGAATGTAAATGAAGATCAAGATTGTACTGACTTGAAGAGAAACCAGAATCCTAATTACTCCATGGATTTGATTGAGCTGACCATCCATCCGAAGGTGGTGGTGAAGGTGCAGGAGCAGGCATTGGTGCTGGTGCTGGAGCAGGAACATGGGTCAATAAAGGAATCGTAATTGGAATGATTGTCTGTTTAGTTTGTTGACTTGGAGCTGGAGGCATCATCATCTGTGGCGGAGCTGGAGCTGGAACTTTAATTATCTTTGGTATCTGGTTGAAGATGGAAAACAGAATTGAAATGATTGTTACCTTAAACTCAAATTAAATCAAGTAGACCTTCAATTTACCTCGATAGCAACATATTTCACTGGTCTTGGAGCACATTGGCAGGTTGGTGGATTGTTTGTTGGCGGTTGACTCCAGCTTGATGCACTTGCCAGTAAATCCGAATCGGCTCTAACAACATTCAACAGTTTACTGTTTATCGTTAAATTTGAAATTAACAGAGCAATTAACAAACAACTTGAAACGAAGAAGCTGCTATAACAGGTTGACCAGCAAGAAGGTAGCATTTGTAATCGTTTGGAAACCAAATTAAAGTGTTTATTCCCAATTTAAATAGAAAACAAAATTTAGCTTTAAAATGATTTGCGCTCAACGAGAGTTTTCACTTTAATGATTGATATCTAACTTAAAGTTTAACATCTTATAAGCGACAAATTGATTAATATCATGGATGACAATTTAGTTTCATTTTTAAATAAATTTAGACAATCATCCATTTTATGATTTCATTGTTTTATTTCAACTTTTCAAATTTAAATTTTGCTCATTTCTCCATGACTTTAGCTATTAAGTTAAGGCTTTATGTTTTGCAGATTTGGTGAACAAAAAATTGCAACTTGGATGGATTACAATAAAAGAAATCATTTGATTATGAATTTGGGATAAAATGGCTAAACAAAGAGTCTATTGATTACTTTCTTGCTACTGACTTCATTTGCAAGAAAAGTGTTGGATGTTATTTTGATAACAGAAGACGATTAAAAATGGAATTATAAAAATAAGCGAAAAATTCGTTGAATAAACTTATTTCCGTGTTCCCTTACCATTGAGATCGAGCCATTCAACAAGTACACTTGTCGAAGGACAAACCTATTAAAATACCCAATCAAGACCCAAGAAACATTAGCTTCAACCATCATTGGAATCAAATAATATCAAATACATTTTGAATTGACTAAGACGACAATTTAAATAGTCAATACTCATGACTTAAAAACATCCATTTGATGAAAATTGAAGCATCAGAGCAACAGCCGTGAAATTATGGGAAATTTGGTTGAAATCATTGAATTCAATCTGAGAAATGCTAATCAATCCATAATGAAGATTCAGAGAACTTGAAATTAAATGAAAATCTGAATAGTTGAACTGATCAATATGCTTAATACATTCTAACCTTTATGAAAAATTGAATCAAAACATTGATGTAAATTAGTTATAAAATAATGTTGTTTTTCATGTAATGAGTTGATGAAACCAAGCATTAGAGCCAAGTCTTTGAGTGTGAAAAACGGACTTTCAATTGAAATGGACTACATTCAGAGTCTATAAAATTGTTTAATTGTCACCAGTTTATTGTCATAACACAGCTCAAAATAACAAGATAATATCAGTTGAATGTAGAGTCTGTAAAACACTCGACAGTTATTAAATTGCAATCAATTTTAGTCATCAAAATTATCACCTTTTCAGCTCAACTGTTGAACCCGTTCAATCTGGAGTAACACACAGATGGAAATGTTTGGTCAAATTGAAAATAAAAAGTAAATTAAATAACAGGCATTAATAATGATGATGGTGCAGTACAGAATCTGTCTATCAAACAATGTTAATGGCAAATAGGAAATGAATAGTAATCATTATTCAATCAAATTGTTACCAATTTTTCCATATTGAAAGCTCGATCAATGACTTGATCAACAAATTGTTGCCACTTTAATATCATTAACGTATCAACCGTACAAGTTGATATGAATAAAGTGAAATGTTTAATGAAGAATCGAGAGGAAAAAAATGAAATGTAAAAACACTTTTAGGTTTCAATTTTTGCCTATCATTGAATGTTTAAAGAAAAATATTGAAGAGTGAAAACACTTATCAATAAATTAACCCAAAAATAAGTGAAATTAATGAAATGAGACGCAAAAAAATTACAATTAATTTATTTCCTCATTTAAAGTCAATATTTAATCATTTGTCCACCAACTATTTACAAAGATTTACAATCATTTAGCGTTTCTTGGCAATAAAAAAAGGCTCAACTGGTAACCTTTAACGGTTAATTGACTGTTAACCATGTTAACCATTTGGAAAGTCATTGACATGATCAATTGAATACAATCATTGGGTGAGGTTTCATCTCGGGTTGATTTGTCAATCAATCAAGGTAAGGTGAGGTGGAAACCTCACCTGAAAGCTGTTCATCACAATTTTGGAGAATAGGAAATGGAAGAAGAATTAAAATTTGACGAGATTAACCCAATTATTGGTAAATTATTTCATTTGCTTCTCTCGCAATTAAGAGTCAACTTTCATTTGAACATCAAACCATTAAAGAAGGTTAAATTTACTAGATTAGCTGTTGAGTCTAATTACATTAACTTTTTGATTATTTCATTTATTTGCATTGGAAACTTTCTCTTGATCAAATATTTACTTCAATCATAAAGTGGTTCAAACAATCAAACCCAATCTCAAGGTTAACAATCGTAATTATCTCGAGTGTTCAACTGTTTCAATTTGATTAACATTTTTAATTAACAATGAGAAGTTGCGGAGAAATGAAAAGTAAATAAATAATTGCAATCTGTTTCCGTTGAATAATTTGGTTGACAATTTTAAGGTGCAATCAATTTTCTTGTTTGCATGATTTACCAAATTTACAACTTTCACTTGATTTACTTGAGCAAATGAAATCAAAGTTTACCGAGTAAATCAATTGTAATCAACAATTTAGCTGTTCAATTGTCTAGTCTATTGTTACAATCAGTAATTTACTGTTCTAAACCATCTAAATCAATTTCAATTTATTCTCGACTCTTTTTTATGTTTCTCATTGCATTGCCATGATTGAACCCATTTTAACCCAAAATTTAATCAGTGACAATGAATACAATGTTGGTTCTGGCTGTTAGTTTAATTATAACTTTACCAGGTTAACCTTTTTCTTTCCAATTAACGCGTAAAGTCCATTTTTTAATTGTAAATGGTTAAAGAGTACAATTGGATGAGTAAATGATCAATGAATGAATTGATACTTGAACATGATTATAATAATGAAGCATAAAAAGCTAACGACTTATCATCATCACCATCAACTTGAACAATCAAATTGTTTAACTGTAATTGTAAAGTCAATTGTTGACTCTGTAAATGGTCGCCATTTCAACCTTTGTGTAGCTTTAAACACTTTTAATGGTAATTTATCGGGTCAACTGTAAATTGTCAAAAAAATTGTCCACTCAATTTAAATGTTCAACTGTTAGTAATTTAAATTGTTGAATTGAAACATTTTTCCCTTTTGAAACATAACAATTGTTTCCCTTAAGGTTAGCAGAAAAGTGAAAAGCCAAAAACCATTTCAAACGGCTAACAATTACACTTTAATTTGTGTAAATTAATTGATCATTTCATTGATTCTAATCAATTGTTTACACGATTAAAGGTTAACAGTTATGATGAGTCGAGATAAAGATGATTTAATGTGTTGATCAACACACTTGACATTAACTTTTTTTGTTCAATTTTGTGTTCACTGTGATCATGATTAGATATCAACTTTCACCTTTTTTGCTTGTTTCACTTGAACAAAAATGAAACCGCTTTTTACTGTTAATTGTAATGGGATAGTTGAGCAAAGTTTTTCAAATCGTGATTCAAATGATCAAAATTGCGTGAAAATAAAATAAAATAGCCAAAGCATCACATTAACAGCAATTTTGAGCAGCTAACAAATCATAAGAAATCAGCAAAAATTATATTTAATCAACAAACAAAAAGGTCAATGTTCGGTTTGCTTGTTGATTGTTTTCAGGCTCATCTTTACTTTCTCTAGTTTTCATTACAAATGAAATGATGATGGTAATGTGCTTCTCCGGAAGGGCGACTGTGAAAATTAGCTCCGGGCGTTAGCCTTTTTTTCATATTACTTTGACTTTTGATGGCTTATTATTATCATTATTATTACAACCATTATCTGCCCACTTAGCTCAGCAATTTGTCTTTTCAGCGTTCAAACATCTCTCATCAACTCTAATGTGAGTTGAGCAACTACCTGTGCATAACGATTTATGCATGTATTACGTTGAATACGTTGGAGTCGGTGATGATCACAATTTTCATTCTTAGGTCCATTTGCATAGTTTAAGGAGTCCTCGTCTCGTTCCTGAGATGATATCATCGAGTTGTTTTCCATTTTGTATAATTGTAACAAGAAACAAATGACCATCTTATGACTGTAATTGAATTGAGATACTAAGATACATTGTAATTTTGCCATATTGGTTCGGTTTGAGCTCAGATTATACTCAGGTCCAAATGTCCATCAAAAGATATTATGATTGGTTTCAACACTTGATTCCATTTGGCTGTTATGGTCATCATTGTACCTTGAATCAAAGATGAAATTGGTTGTGTATTAGTTATCATTTATATTGGTTAAAATTGAACAATGTTGATTAGTGTGTTAACATTTCAACAATTGATAACATTGACTGTTACTTTGCCATTCAGCTATTAACAGTTTTTTTTCATCCATTTTCACTCTCTCTTCACGTCTTCTTTATAAGTTGGTTACCATTTTTCAAGATGAACAATGCTTTTCACTTGGACTCAGTCAATTGTTTTCACATCTTTTGACTTACCTGGTTTAATTGAATACTCATTTTACTATCTATTATTGTCTTGATACATATTACCAATTACCTTAATAGTTTTCTTTTTGTGGTTAATCTTTATCAAATCAACGGTTCATTTGTGCATGTCAATCATGATTAAAGGCAACTAATAAAAAAATGAAGAAGAATAAGAAGAAGATCAAAGTTTTACTAAAATGAGAAAAGAAATAAAAAAAATGAAGAAAGCAAAAATGAAAGGAAACGAAGACAATTCAATAGCTAAATGAAATGAATTATATCGTTGCAAGATTACCTTAAAATACTGATGATTAGTAAGTTGATGAGCAAGATGATAATCTTTCTGGAATCCGTCAGAATCGTGATTGTTTAACCTAAATATGCGTATTTCTTTACCCATTAATATTAGTATTACCGTCAGTTAACATCCAAAAAAATAGGAAAGGTTCAAATATACATTTCAATTGAATTATTTTAGTCCGTAAAAAGCAGGCAGAATACAGTTTATTCATTGAGTTAACAGGTAATGAAATCCATTTGGAAACAATTGGAATCAATCAATTAGATTCACATTGAAAAGCCAAAAAAATATGCTCAACCCAAGTGATCCAGTTGAACCCTGTAGAGGTAAAAGGAAAGGATTTAGAAGTACTTTTGATTGATACTGTACATACTTGTAATTAATTAGACAATTAACATCGTGACTTACCTGTTTACTGTAGGTTATAATATTAATCAAAATTATATTTGCTTAATTTACTGTAATTTTTGTTGCCTCAAAAAGACAACTTTCACTTGTAATTGAAGTCACTCAAAAAAGTCTCGTTTCCAGCTGACCAAGAAAGCATTTTATGCTTTTCTGTTCTCAATCTTAATAGCTGATCGGCTCAACGGCTTATTATTTTTGTGACTGTTAAAAATATAATCATTTACATAATAGTGATAATCAATTTTGCTCAGTTCACTAATCAAACACGACAAAAAGGTATTTTTTTCTCTGATTAAGAACACTTGTTCATCGATTGTACTTTATGCTTTATGCTTGTATGCTTTTTTTGCCATATGACATTGGTTTGCTTTTTCCCTCTTAATTGTTTTTCAATTTTTTAGTTGCTAGCGCTTTCATGTATCTATAATGACAAAAATACTGTGATTTATTGATTTAGTATTAACATTGATTGATTAATCTGTTTGTTCACTTGCTCATTGTTGCTCTTTTCTAATTTAACCTGTTTTCTTTGTTTCAGAGGTGATCCAGATAAATGTGATTTCACTGGTAACACTGCGTTACATTGGTCATCATCAAATGGTCATATCAATTGTGTCTCCTTTCTAGTCAATTTTGGGGCTAACTTGTGGTCGTTGAATAATGACTTTCATACAGCCAAGGATTGCGCTGCTGTTCATCAAAAATCAGAGATTCTTGATTTTCTTGATACAACGATGGCCAAGCAAAGCGCACTCAACCCCAAACTGGTTCAAAAACAGAAGGAAAAAGCTATAACTGAAGCTGAAAAAAGGATTAAAGCATTCGACAAGATTGCTAAAAAAGCTCATAAGAAAGCAGAAAAGGAAGAAAAGTCGATGGAAAAATTTCGCAAAAAACTTTTAGAACCAATCTCATCTCTACCTTGTTCCCTGAGAAGAGATACAAATACAGGTGATTAGATTTACAAATTTGAGTTCAAGTTAACATGATATTGTTAGACTTGTGATGGCAAATGAAAGATTAATCTAATTTTATTCATTTTCTTTTCAATAGCTAATACCGGGTCAACATATACTTCCCATGTAACACCAACTGGTGTTGCTGTTGTTAATGGATCATTGAGTTCAGCTCCAAAATTTTCAGATATAGTCAACAATGGGACCATGACAAATAAAAGTCGTGGTTTTGGTGGAGTATCTCGCAAGGTATTACTCCGTAAACAACAATCTGATTCAATTTCAACTGCATGCAGTGGTGATTACAAATCTCGTAGTGGAAGTGAACCTGGTTTAAAAGAGTTACTTTTGGCTAATGGTAAAAAATCAATTCGATCGTTAACTGGGTTAAGAAGAGGCGATGATGTACTTTATGTACGTAAATACGACGTGATTAACAATAAGATTAATTCTGAACGATCAAACAGCTCTCATCATATTTATGCCTCTATCCCGTGTAAAGAATCAGATTCATTGTCATTGTCAAATGGGTATTTGGATTCGGGTAAATGCAGTGAAATGAGTAATAACAGTATTAACAAAACTAATTTCACTAACAATAACAATCACATTAACCATCATTACCATCAAAACAATCACAATCATCTTTATCAATCTAATGGTGAACGTTTATATGCACGACCAGCCTTAAGAGATTTATTTGGATCATCGTGTGACGATTCATCAACTTATTGCCATCCTCGGACAAGTGATAGATCCTTTTCATCGTCAACAGGATTCCTTGGTTTCAAGAATAACCTGCATCGAACTGTGTCTGAGCCCGATTTTTTGAGCCACATGGCAGATTCAGGTTTAGGAGATGAAATGATTTCATGTAATACCATTCAAGAGTCATCAATATTTGAAAGACCAGGGTTTGGTTCAGTCTCATTTAGACATTCCCTTTTATCGGCTTCCAGTTTATTAACGCCTTATACCGATACAAAGAAATCGTCATCAATTAATAGAGAGGACCAGGAAACTGCTGATTCAACGGACAATTCAGCAAAACATTACCACAGTTTGGAAGCTTTGAGGGCAGCTCAGAGTAACGGTGAGGATAAACCAGCTAATGGAAGTAATATTACTGCAAATGGAACTGGATCAGATTCAATTGGAAGTGCTGGATCATTGGCCCAGAGAAATGCAACTTTGTCAGTCATGTCAGGAACCACTGGTGGGTGGGATGAAGATGGTAATACTTTGATTGGTGATTCAGCTTCTTCAGCATCGATTAACAATAAACAGCGAGGAGGAGGCAAAGGAGGTCCGACAATTGAAAACGGCTCTAAAAGTGTTGGTGATAATGCTGATGATCCATCTTTGTTGACTCCAACAACACCGCCGGTTGTATTGTTTCTTGCTGCTCAAGGAATGCTTGAGTATACTGAAGTTTTTCAAAAGGAAAAGATTGATCTTGAAGCTTTGGCTTTACTCAATGAAAATGATCTCAAATCACTTGGTCTACCTTTGGGTCCAAGGCGTAAACTAATGTTGGCTATTGAAAGACGTAAAACAACATTGAAAGAACCTGGTTTAATTACTGACACTATTTTATGATCATCAATCAATTTGAAATGGCCTCACTGTCCAAGTGCCAATTTCTTCTAACTAGCTTCCATCATAACCATCATCATCTTCATCAGCCATCTTCATTAGTTGTCTATCACTTGTTTATAATTTGTATCCTTCATTCACATTTTCTTTTAATTGTATTCTTATTTCTTTCATTACTACCATCAAAATTTATTTTGAACCCATCAACGACTTTTATCTCATAACAATTTATTACCGAATTCGCTGTAATCACACCAACACACTGTTTATTTGAGCCATGCTTCTAATATAAGATCCAAGAATCGTAAAGAATCTCTTATAGCTCTATTTTTCATGTCAGATCGATTCATATCATCAACGACTCATTATTTCTTCGCTCTTCCATACACTTATGATATTTTAGGCGATTGACTTTCGATAAAGCGATAGTTCATAGTACGGTTGAAAACAAACTTGCGGAGCTACAATAAAAATGAAAATAATGTTTTAATAGATGAAAACCTGAGTGTGAAATTAACCTCGACTTAAACTAATGAATCGTACATTGAATTGTATTTGTGAAGAGTCAACCAATAGAAAAGACCCAGAAAATAAAATACGGTAGATTTTAACGGAATCCATACAAAGATCTAGCGACAATTATTTCATAATTAAGAAGCAGACAAAGCTGTTATCAGGTTAATCGGTTGGAAATTAAAAAATGGCAGAATCAATGTGTGTTTAAATCGAGAGTCCAGAATTCTACCAGTCGAGAGTAATTAATTGAATAGCATTAATAATAACTGATGATCTAATTTCCAACGTAAATTATAACAGATTCAAAGTACAATTGTCCTCAAATTGATAAGTTTTCACTAAAATAACATTTGAAATAAAGCTGATCCACCATTTTAATTCAAACAAATGTAGGTGAAAGGTAAAAAAATAAAACATTACCAGCTGTTAATAGACTTGAAATCAAAAAGCAAGGTAAGGTAGAGTAACTCTTTCCTTACTCTTTCATAAACAAATGAAACAACTCACCTGGTTCATCTAAAATATAATTCAAGTGAAATAAGAAGACAAAAAAAGACTAATAATAATGTTGAATCGAAAAAACTCGGGAAAATTAAACTAAACAAATTAAAACCATGAAACAAGTGGTAAACACTTGCAGCAAAATTGACTCTCTCTTTACTGCCATCTCTATTATTACGTAAGAGTTATTTTTTCTAGAGGGCGTTTTTATCAGAATCAGAATCAGATGAAAACTCTAACAGAGCAAAATTCAATTCTGTTCATCAGTATCATCACATTTTTACTTATTTTAAACAAGTTACACATACAAGTATATTTACTAACATACATATTGAGCCATATTTTTTGTTATTTGTGATCATCCAATTTACTATGAAACTTGACAATTAACTGTAATTACATTTCATGATTTCATTTTCTATTGTTATTCACCTTGTTACCATTCCGACCAACTTAACTTCTGATATATTTGTTTTTCTTGCTGGCAATTCTGGTTAACAGATTTTCTCTTCTTTTTCCCTGTGTCTTTACTTTCTCATTTGTCTATCCATTTGCATTTTCTCCTTCTTTTTTCACGCCATATTTTACATTCTACACTTATTTTTTCTTGTTACATAATTTTGCTTCTCATTTGTTGTTTTTAATCATTCTTTCGATTTCTCTCTGTCTCTCTACTCCTTTTCACTTTATATTCCTCTGCTTTTTGCTCCTTCTCTTGTTCTTTCCTTTCTTTCTCTCTTTCTAAAACTCATTCTGTTTTCCAATTGCCTCTCTGTCTTTCTGGGCAAACATACACCTTTACTTTTAGTTTTGTTTAGTGTCTGTGTTTACCCAAAGAATTAAAAAAACCTTCGACCCTAATTTACTTCAATTTTATTCTCTGGTTACATCGATCAATCTCCTTGACTATTCCAAGTGATTTAATTGCAATTTTGTGTTCATTCATTGTATCGTAACTGTAAAGGGAAAAGACATTCGAAAGACTATCATCATAATAATTTCCATAGGAAAATCCGACAACAAGTAATCACCAGCAACACTTTCGACGTGGTATCTTTTCTCGATTGATGTTTGTACTCTAGTGAATTGAACATCAGTGATTCTCAGTTACTGTGCAAATTATTGTTCCATGAAGACAATTGTTTTTTATTGTTACAATTTTTTCCTCGAACGGTGTAATATTACAATTCTGTGATTGGTGAAGGTGCTTAGAGGTGTATTTCTTTTCAAACACTAATGTTAACCATTATTTGCGGTATCAGAATGGTTTATCAACCAAATTGGAATTGAATAGAGAAATAAAGGAATAGACAGACAAGACAAGGAATACATGATAAAGAAGAAAATAAATGATTTGAAATATGGAAAAAAAGATGAGATTGGAGTATAAACAAGTCGTTTTTGTTGTGCCGATTTAGTTTTACTTGATATCACCATCAATTCATCATTTATCCCTTTACATCCACTTTTTTCACAATTTATTTCATCTATTGTTTATATTGTAGTGTTTGTGCTGTATTTTCTAGTGTCGTTCTTTTGTGATTGTTTCCTTACTGCCGGATTTTATAACGTTTCAAGGATAATTTGGTGACAGTGAAACGCTAGAAGAAAGCCTTTAATTTGGGCTTTCTTTTTTTAGCGAACCAAAAGGTAGAAGATAAACAACGAAAGATGGATAAAATGAAGAGAGGTGGATTCTTTCGTGGTATGCTTGATAATTGGAGGTATTCGTCTTCATCTATGGGCTCTCAATCAGGTTCAGCTCATCATTCATCTCGTGATGACTCAAAATCAACCTCCAAATCCGATTCTCCATTAGCTGATTTTGAAGATAATCTTAGATCTGAACATTTTCTTCTTAGTGAGGTGAGTCAATCCATTAAAACATGGATCGATCATTTTGTTTCCTTAGGTCTATATTTACATTGACAAGTGAGAATCTCAAATGTTAAATAAATTGGATTAATATAATTATATGTTCCAAAAATTGTCAAAGGCGAGAAAATTAGTGTTATTTGGTCAGCAAATGAAGACTTTGATTGTCATTCAACTCTTTCCTCTAAGATATAATTAAGTTGATTTTACTCATTATTATACAATGTAATATCAACTTAAATTTCTCCATCGTCATTCCAACTTCGCCAACATATATTTTTACTGTCAATTAATTCTCTTTTTTTCTTACACTTTATTTTCCATTGTTCATTTAGATTGTTCGACATGGTTTTCCGCATAACCCTACTTGCGTGGCCTTTGATCCGATTCAACGTTTAATTGCAATTGGCACTAGAAACGGTTGTTTAAGAATAATAGGTCGACCTGGAGTGGACATTAATGTTCAACATGTCGGACAATTTGCTGTTATCCAGATAATTTTTATAGTCAATGAGGGTAACTTGATTACTTTGTGTGCCGATGATTCAATTCATCTCTGGTCTATCAAGACTAAAACCCCATCAATAGTTCACATTCTTAAATTTCAACGTGAAAGAATCACCTTTGCCCATCTTCCATACTCATCTAAATGGTTGTACGTTGGAACGGAAAGAGGAAACGTTCATGTAGTTAATATAGAAACTTTTCAATTATCTGGTTATGTGATTAATTGGAACAAAACAATCGAATTATCTCGTAAAACTCACCCAGGATCCGTGATACACCTTTCAGACTGCCCAATAGATCCAAGCAAATTATTAATTGGTTATGAATCGGGAACAATTGTTCTCTGGGATTTACGTTCCAAAACCGCTGATACTCGAGTAAATTACAACGAACCCTTGAGAAGTATTTCATGGCATCACGAGGGAAGACAATATCTATGTAGCCATACCGATGGATCGATAACCACTTGGAATGTAAAGGCTCCTCGACCTGTCTCAGTGACACTGCCCCATGCCAAACAAATAACCAAAGATCTGAAACCAGAGCCATGTCGTCCCATTTACAAGGTTGAATGGAAAACAGTTAGAGACAGTGATTCATTCATCATTTTCTCCGGAGGATTACCTTACAGTTCCTCTGAAACTAAATCTTCTTCCATCTCATCATCATCTGGAACAGTAACATCAACACCAGCCAGCGCATCAACATCAACCAGCAATAGAGACAATACTCTAGTTTCAGCATCTTCAGGTTCAACCTCAAGTGATTCAGGATCCGAGTCAAAGGCTAAAGTTGAATCAAGCAAATCCGATTCCATTGCCAGTGGTACTCAAAGTCTTACAGTTATCCACGGAAAGACAACCACGGTTCTCGAAATGGAGCATAATATCATTGACTTTATCACACTTTCAACGGGAACCTGTCCTGCCGAACCCAGTGATCCATACGCTATTCTTGTTCTCCTTTCCAGTGATCTGGTTGTCGTTGATCTTACCAGCACTGGTTACCCATGTTTCCGTAATCCTTACACAATGGATCTTCACGAATCACCAATAACTTTTTGCGCCTACTTTGCCGATTGTCCAACGGACCTTATACCTGCCTTTTACTCGGTTGGGTTCAAAACAAATCCCAAAAGACCCGGTATCTCTGAAAAAGAGTGGCCAGTTAATGGAGGTGAATGGGGAACTGCTACACCAAGTTATCCAGAAATCATAATCACTGGGTATGTTGCTACATGTCCTATTAAACTTCTAGATTACCTTGCATGACTCATTTTTCATTTCTCATCATTTTGTTCATCCTTCTGGATAAACCTACCAACTCATTTGGAAACTAACAATAAACTGTCACCAAAATTGACATTATTGTAATCACTTGGTAAAGATTTACAAGTTTATTTATACATTGGTTGAAATGTTGAATGAAAACACGGATAACACTAATTACATTTTGATAGACACAGTGAAAAGAAGGGAGAATCAAATTATTCATAAATTTATCACAATTTGCTCCTTTCAACACAATCAATAACATATCACCACAACAGTTATTTTTAACATGTAAAACATGAGTATCATTTTCTTATTGAATCTTGAAATTAATTCTCGTTTGCATAATGTAATTGAGGCCAATCATTATCACAGTTATTTTTCATAACCAATCGTTTTTTCTCCCCCTTCTTCTCATCTTGATCTTCCATTTTTGTGAATGTTCCACTTACCGTTATCCATGTCATCCTTTACTCCGGAATAAGAATAATCCAGAGAATCGGAAATTGAATTATAGATCCTATTATTTCCCCTTTCTTGCTCCTATTATTCTTATTCACATTCTTATTTTTATTCTACTTTTTCCTTCTCTTCATCCCCTTCCCTGGTATTAATCAGGGAATTGTTAGAGGAAAAAGCTAGCATAAGAATAACAACTGGAACAAGAAGATGGTGTATCAAAAGAAAAATAAAAAGATGATGAGGTGAAAAAAAGAAGAGTAAAAAAAGAGACAAAGAAGAAGATAAAGAAGCTCGAGAAAAGAGCAAAAAGATGTTGATAATGATGATGAAGAGATGATAAAAACTTACCAAAAAGAGAGAAATAAGATGAGTATCTCAAGAAAAATACTTTGTTCATGTTATCATAACTAAATTCGTATTCCTTCATGATCTGTGATTTGTATCCCTTTACATCATTAGTTTGTATCGACCATTGACTCAGTGTATTTTTAAACTAAACCCTGATTATCCAGTGTCTTCACATACAATTGACCTTTAGGTAAAAAAAGAGATACATAAACTGACCTAATGAAATGGCCATTAAACTGTAGCATAAAAATGCTTCAATATTAAAATACAAAATAAAATCGATGACATTTTATTACAATCCATTTAAAATTACAAGCTTTACTTATGGAGAGACTCAATTTAAATTGAAATACATTTTAAAAAAATCAGAAAAAAAACAATAAATATTATCTCTGTGAATTCCTTTAGTATTCATTATAATTATCATGACTTTTCTCATTCTGTATTATGCTTCAGACTTGAAAAGCTTTACGAATTTCAATTTGCATATTTTTGCACATATTTTGGTAAAAGCAACATCGTTAGTAATCAACAATTTAATCTACTGATGAATTTAGTCTTCATTTTTTGTGCAATTTTCGAGCAAATTATTGTTCGTTGTTAAAGTGTGCTCGAAATGTACTGTTGCTACGCAATTTTCAAGTCTCTTGCTTCGATCACAACATTTGGTTTCATTTTTCATTTGATAATTTACTTCTCTTTGCCCATAAAACCATTTTTACAAAATAATGACTCAAACAACAATGTTCACTTTGATCTCTTTTCAACATTAAAATTTCGCAGTGTTACTGAAAACGTTTACATGATAATGTGTAGATTAAAGCGAAACATAATATCTCAAACCCTTGATGACTAAAAGGCACATTTAGATTACACATTTTCGCACAATTTAACCAAACAATTTTTTCCCTTTTATATCTAAAAATTTTACTCAAAAATGCTGAAAATTATCACATATTCACAATGTTTTCTTCTTTTCTTTTCTCCTCAATCATCCATTATCATCCCTGACACTCTGCTAACCCATTAAAACAGACATGCTGATGGTACAGTGAAATTTTGGGACACATCTTCAGGTGAGCAAATTTTCATTTCTTTTTTTCACATTTCAACAAAAAAAAGACTAAACCCAAAAACCTCAAGTTCAAATAAATCAAGATACAATATTTAATACAGCTCGAGTTTTGATGGTGCAAAATGAAAAAAATAACGATAATCCATAAAAAAGAAAAAAAAATTCCCAATTTTCTTGCTTCAACCAACACTATTCAAACTATTCATCAAAATATTATTGAAAGAGGAGAAAGCAGTAAAAAAAAATAACTCCAACACTGAAAGTTGATGATGAAATTGAAGTAAATGGGAAGCAAAAGATTGCTCTTGATATTATTTAGTAGCCAAGGAAACGAACAACTTTTTTCTTGCAATATTTCGTTGAGCTACATTAGCTGATAACTTTTATTCATTTACTAGCACCAGAGTCACGTTAACGTCAAAATAGATCACAACTTGATGAAGTTTTACCTCTTTTTTCACTCCTTTTTTTCCCTTCAATTTTTCTTTCCTTTCTTCCTCTTTCCTTTCATGCTTTGATTTCCCTTTCATCTTCATTCCTCTCATAGCCAACATTGTTTTTTCATCCCTCAATAAACAGTCAAACAATTGTGTGTCTACCTTGTTTACCTTTACACTCTTGAAAAGATTTGTTGATTGCAATAAACACATTTTTATCATTTCCCCAATTTTCCAACCTTTGCATCTTCATCTTGATTATTCCGTTTCGATGGTTAGACTATCGATCGTGTATCTTGGCATTTCTCTAAAGTTCCTTAATTTTTCTAATTAACTTTTTTTTTCTATCACTTCAGTTAATTTGCACATTCTTTATAAAATGAAGACTTCCAAATTGTTTCAAAAACCTCGAAGTCGACCAAACGATCCTGGAGGCGAGTCGGCAGAGTCAACTGAAGATCCTTTTGCAATCGATCAGATTGCCTTTTGTCCTGAAAGTCGTCTTCTTTGTGTGGCTGGAGCCAGTTCCCATGTTATGGTCTTTAAATTCAGCAAACACGAATCACACTCAGATACACCGGTAAGAACTTGCGATTCATTTCCCTTCCATTTCAATACTTTCACATTCATGCCTCAATCCCAATGTTCATTAATGATTATAATGTAATTTTTTTGCTTCTTACCTTTTATGCAATTTTTAAGGTTCAATTGCTCAAACCTTTTCGTTCATCACGTTTACCTATTTATTTACCAATGAATTGTTGATCAGATTTAGTTGACTTCTGGGCATGTTTCGAGTTGAAAATTTGTATATCTTTTGTTGCTGTTTAAAGGTGCACAAGAGCAAATTTAATGGTTCAATGAATATTGACACTTTTGTTCACTCAAATTTTTTAGTCTTTTTGTTGAATATTGACAATTGGTTTTATACAACAGTTTAAACATAGGGTAATATAAAGGTAACTTTTTCTTATGGACCAATCAATTGACCATGGATAACCATTTCTAAACTCACCCAATATTATGTGCAATGAATTTCATCAGATTATCAAAGATGAACTTGTCAAGTAGATTGCTACCAACATTATTATCTTTTGCTTATCAACACCAATATATTATCACCCATGAACACACATGACAGCAGTACAATATGAAACAAAAGAAGACAGAAATTGCAGATTAATTCCTTTACAGGTGATTCGTTCTTAATCTCGTTCAAACCATTAGCCATTCAAGTTGGCCATGAAAAAAAGGGAATCCCAAGCAACCAAATTAACACAATTGACGAAAGATTAAAACTCATCAACCTACGTAATTTAGTTAATGATGAATATTATTTAAAGCTTAGCCATTAATTTGACTGAAAGAAGCAAAAGGAACCAATAATTGATTGAAAAACTTGTAATTACATGGAAACAGTTTTCACCATTTAACCCTTTAAACGTTTCTTATCCTTTAAAAGATCAATTGATTGGTACAGTTGAAAAAAGATACAATTTTAAAACCAAATAACAATAGAAAGTTGAAAAATGTTTCTCTTCTTTGATCTTCAATGAACATTTTTCCTCTTCACCTTCAATGCTTAATAGCACTTTTGAATTCATCTTCATCATCATCATTTTTCTTAACTGCCTCACGACAACAATTTAAATTGATTGTTCACTTTTTTCACCCAAAAAACTGTCTTAATAGCGCAAATTAGTTAATAGTTTTCATTGATTCAATCTTATGCTCTTTTGTGCTTCTACGTCAACTTTTACCTCTAATAGATGTTGATTGTTATTTTTAAATTGTTGCCCATTATTCATTATTACAATTGTTTACAATTTAATTCTTTCATTTTCTCACCTTAATCATCATTAATAATTCGATGACGAAAATACGCTTAGTTCACTCATCAATATAATGATATAAATATATTGTCAGGCTTTTGTCGCAAAACGAAGAGTAGTTTTAGGTGTTCTGTGGGTTGAGTTATTGAACATCTTCGAAGAATCCCGTTTTTCGAGAAATCAGTTTTGGCGATTTTTTTTGAAAACCATTTTATCACCATTCGATTGTTTATGCTTACATGTTCCTACAAAAATAAATTGCTCAAAATCTGGAAAATTAAACACGCTAGAGAAGATCAGATCTAAGCGATCACTTTTTTGGAATCGGCATACAAACTTGCATTCGAAAATTAGTTGGAACATATTCTGAGAGAAGAACATTTTGCCTATTCTTTCTGACTTCGTCCAACCTTTTCACAATCATGTTAATTTTAATTCATTTCATCACAATTGTCAGCGGCTGGATTGATTCTCATATTTAACTGAATTTCCATTTGAATTAATGAAATGTTTCACCATTTGCTAAACAAAATAATGTGTTACAATAGGATGTGTAAAACAAGCTCATCTCTTCCCATGTATTTTGTTTTAATACAAAGAGATATTATTCAAGTCTTTTCATGATTATTATTGAAACTCTCTTAGTTGTCTTTTATTCATCCACTCATTGTCTTTATCAATTCAATTATTCCATCCTTGTTCATTTCCATGGACACTTTTCCCCCTCTTCTTTACTTACCAACGCAATCTTTTCACTCCCATTTTATCATCAACTTGCATCTTTGACATTCTTATTTGCATAATATTTTTATTCCTGCATTTTGCCATTGTTTTGCATTTCCTTTCTTCTTTTATGCCATTTTTTTGGTATAATCTTGAGATAATTTTCTTACCTTTACTCTTTTATTTTTACTTGCAAATGAAGGTTATCGAAGTGATAATGAATTATGAATCTTCAACTAGTCATGATGATGAATCTGGTGATCCAGAAGTGACTACTCAAGGAATTGGTGGCTTACTTCGACCTCAAAGCTCCAATGAAGACGGAAACTCATCACGCAACACTTTTTACCCTTTACTGGTTCGTTCAGGTCAGCACAAAAGAGCTCCTGGATTTCAACCTGAACTGGTGTGCCTTACTCCCTGGATTGATGATAACACTCCTCCTTACAAAATAAACTCGCTTGCTGTTAACTCTTCCTACTCTCTGTAAGTGATTAATATGATAAACAAACTCATTCCATGTGGGTTGTTCAGTAAATAGTCTAGTTATGAAGGTATACAAATCCAAACATTTAATACAGAAATACATCTGAAAACTGTTTTGAACAGATTTCCTCGACCTTTGACTGGTTAAGTAAATGCTTTGAACATTAATGTAGAGAAAACAAAAAATACTTTTAAATCTTTGGGTAACTTTTAGGTCTGCTTTTAGGTATGGAAATGATGAGTGAATTCGAGACAGAAATAATCAATAAGAAATGTCAAAATTATCTCAAAATAAGAAAAATCATTCACTCAACTCAATCAATCTAAGTTTCATTATTCATTTGAAAATTACATGATATTTCTATTGACCGATACTCTCCACAATGAAGTCAACATGGTCACATTGAAAGCAACAACATTGACTGATAGATCTACGTAATGATTTGTTATTTCCTGGCGCTTCTCAAAAGGTCAAAGTTAGTTTCTAAATTTAAAATGCTTTCTGATTTAGATCTGGTTTTATTTTGTTTGATGTCGAAATTTCGATCGAGAACCAGACTTGTTGATTTATCGCTCGATTTGTTCATTACAAGAAAATTCTGTTTCTCATTTAATCTCTGAAAACTGCCAACATTTGAATCTAGATAAACCTACAGAAGCAGTATGTAATGCATCAGATCTTACAATCAATAACAAAAACTGTTAGGTCTCTAATTTTGTACAAACATTCGTCTCGAAAAAAGCCTTTAAAATTCAACCCTTCCTCAAACATCAATCATTTTAATCATTTCTCATGTGTTAATTTTTATTCTATCCCCAGAGTCGCTTACGGTAGTGAAAATGGTTTAATTATTGTTGATTTAATTCAAAAATCTTTGGTTCTCAATATTGCAACTGTAGACCTTTATGGTAAGTTTATTTTTGTCAAAATTTTCAACTCGTTTAAAAATTTTGTGTCCAAAGTTGACTTTGAATCGTCAAAAAAATTCCTGTTTCTGTCCAATTTTAACGATAAATTGAAAGATGAAATTCAAATAATCCATTTTGTTGCCTCAAATGTCATTTACAATCCTGATTAAATCAATGATTTCCATTCATTGATTTCAACTTGAAAAAGCCTTTCAACTAAACTCTTCATTGAAGCAACAATGATAATCAACTGATTATGAGTTGAACGGCAAAGTAATTTGTTTACTGTATTTGAAACATCAGCTTTTTTGTTGCATCAACAGTTGAACTTGGAATCCAAGTTAACAATAATGACAATAAGAGTAATAAATAGTAACAATAACAATAAATTTGATGATGATAATAAAAATAAGTTACAATGAAAATGTATCACCATTTTACCATAAACATTATGAATCTCAATAATGTTAACGTCTAGTCTATTTATGAATATACTGTAACTCCACAGCATTTGCATAAGATTGATACTTCTTGTTTTTTACCTCTTATTTTCACCATCAATTATACCACCACCAGAATTTTGCCCAACTTTCATTTCACCATTATTCGCCATTCCTCTGTCTCTCACTTTGGCCCTTTTCATTATCTCACACTGCATACATTTGTATTTATGTATCATCTTTATATTGAAAAAGTTAGGTAAATGAAACTACATTTTCCATCTGCAACCATTATTCAGTTTCTCTTATTACTTTTTACTCCCTGTTAATTTTTATTTTGTTTTTACTTGTTCATATTATGGCTCCATATCTGGTCTACTATATTAATATAAACATGAATCTCATCATTGCCTGATGCTTGATTCACCATGAAAACCAACAGCAAAACCCATTTACACAAACGGTAATTGATTCATTTTGATATTATGAGGTTTCCTTCATTCCCTCCTAAAAGATACTCGAATAGTTGAGTGAACCTAATTTTTATTATCTTATTACTGGTTTAACTTATTTATACTATTAATCAACAATTAATCTCTTATTAATTTCATTAAAACGAGATTTATTAGTAGCTCAATGTTTGTCTCAAATTGAGTCTCGCTCTAGAAAAAAAATTTATTTCTTTGATCAACTGCACTGTAGTTATGCGATAAAGGTTTGTGCAAACAGAAATCGAATCATCGAATTATCAAATCAGGAACATCTGATTTTTTAGGTCATTAAAATTGTTATCAAGATCAGAGACATTGCTTAAAACAGAACTTTTTCGATAGATTAGAGCAGGAGCTGTTGTGGTCAGCAAGTTGAATTTCACGAATTTAGAGTTTAATTGCAAGTGGGTTTGATTTGTTACTCTGATATCATGTATTTGATTGTTTAAGTTTCTGAAATTTTTTAGAGCGATTAACTTTAGTAAAATTAAATTTTCACGAGGTTTCGTTATATCTGGCGAGGTGAAAATCACAAAATTTCAGTTCATTTTAATGGAAAATCTTCTCCGTCTTATAAAAAATCGACAATAATTATGAAACGATGAATTGCATGAATTGAATTGCACGATAAATTAAATATAAATTTATTCAATCATTGTAATACATTTGGAGCGTTGAGACATTTTGAAAGAGTAGTAGACTTTAATCTTTAACTGATATCATACAAGCAGCGACGACTCTCTTTTATTCTAATCTTTGCATTCGGTAAATTATTCAGCTTTATTTAATCATTTGGCCTGAATTGGCATTCATGTTAGTGAATCATCAAATCGTCCTCGAATGGCGCTTTGAAATATATATTCAGAACAAATTTATTTAAAGACGTCTATAAAATTTACATGTAACAATAGCTTCAACATCACTATGGATTGACTATCTTATTTTTTGTTGTAAACTTCGATCTGACGAATGTAAATTCAGGTGCTCACAGTAAACGAGTCATTCACTGCACAAATATTCAACGACTCCATGATTCATGCTATGTCAACTTGAAATTTGCAGTTTTTAAAATAGAAAATATATTCCTTCGAATAAAATTTACATGCAAACACAAACATTGACTCCATGACATTTCAAGCATTATATTCACAATAGTTCGTCAGCAATCAGTTCAGCTGTTCAGTAGACCTAATTATGCTGAATACTGAACACTATTCTGTCATGAGATGATTTGATGAATAATCGAATGTTGACTCTTTGTTGATTCTCATCACTATCCGTATCTTTTCCGATCGCCAGCATTCATCTACAGCAATATTTGAAATAGAAATCTTTGCCCCAGAAAATGAGTCCATTTGAATTTGAATAATTCCCAAATTCATCTGAGCCATTCTTATTAAAATTGTTTTTCTGTTTGATCTAAACATCTTGATCGATAGATCTCAGTTGCAGTCTTTCTGCTCCTCATAATTATCTTCATCATTTTCATCTTCCATGATTATTCCTTTGTTTCCTTCTGGTAAATTTGAAATTATTTTTTGTAATTGGATCTGGCAAACCATTAATGACAAGCAAAAACAAAATGCTCAAAAGAAAAGAGAGTTTATCAATGATGCTAATGATAATGACAATAATATGATGATGCTGACAAAGATGATGAAGATAAAGGTAGAGATGAAAAGTGTAAGAAAACTGTGATGATAAAGTTAATGAAAAAATAGAAAAGGGTTGGAGAAAATTGAACAATCAAGTTTAATTTTGGTGTAAAATAGTTGAACGAAAGTGAGGGTTTCATCTGAAAACCACACACCATGGATTCCAACAAAGCATAAGTCTCTCTCTCTCTCTATTTTCTGGTTTTCTGGATGAACAGTAAAATCCAATCACTTTCCAGGTTACCATGGTCATCACAATTCTCATCCTTCCATCCATTTTCATCTCAATGGTTATCAATTGTTCACTGTTCAATTATGCCCAACTTGATCCCCAAAACTGATTACCATTGACCCTCTAGGGAATCTTTTCATCGATTCCAAACTCACAGTAGACAAAAAACTTAGTGTGTCTTTCAGTTACTTTTTACCTTCTCCTTGACCAACAGACAAGGACAAGCAAAAAGACGCAATAAGAATGCATCTCGATGTTTTCATTACCTTGGGCATCATCACCCCATCATCATTATCATCATCAATTGACTATTTATTTCATTTTTACTCTTTGGTTTACCTCAGAAAACATTTTGCTTAGCTGGCAAGAAAAAAAAGAGTGTCCAACGTAAACAATCATGTTTGCTGTCCAAGAAAAAATCTTGACTCACCAATTGCCTGACCAGTCAACCAGAAAATATTTTTTCATTGCAACATTTAACATTAGGATAACATCTAAATCGGATTATCTTGATTATCAAATTCTGATGACAATTCATTTAATTGTCGAGTAAACTTTTCTGATTACAAACGCGAATCTTTTCTCGAGTTTTTTTCCTTCACCATTCACCTCAAACACCCAACCAGATTGAACCAACATTGAACTTTGTCCATTTTCATCAGTTTCATCCATTTGATCACATCGACAATTTACATCTAATTGGTCAACTTTGTCAATATTTACTTGAATTCATGTTTACCTAATTTCATCATTTCTTGAAAACTTCAATAAAAGATGAAATTTTACATCTTGATACACTTATTTCAAGTGATGTTATTTTGATCATTATCATCATCTTATTTACTTGCAATTTCACAAATATTTGCTTTAAATTTTGCATAAAGTTAATATCATATAAATTGATATGAGAAATTTTATTGCCTTTTTTATGTCCAAAATCAGAATTTTTTTCCTCAACAAAAATATTATTTAATGGGAGTGAAAAAAACTAACCGCTTATGTTGTTGAAACTTTCGCCTTTAACCTCACGTTGTATCATGAAATGATTATAATGATGGTAATAATAATTATAATAATGATAATCGTTAACTGAAGCACAATCTTTTCTTCATCATATTCTTTCATTTACCCTCCTCAGGGTGATTTTTTAAAACATTTCATCAACTATTATCATTGTTATCACTTTAATGTTTTCCCAATTTTATTGTATCTTGAAATTTAATGAACTCACTGAAACAAAATTTGAGATTTATTTCAAAATATCATTGAATAGTTTCCGTCAACTAATAAACTTCACCTTTTTTCACCGTCAAAATACAACTTCCGTTTCACCCTTTCATCCCAATACCCAAAGAGTTGTTTCCTTTCCATTGAAACTACTTTTATTGTAATAACTTACTATTGCGTTTTTATTACAATTATTAACGATTTCACTCAAAATTTCTATTCTCATTTCATGATACTTAAATTGCAATTTAAAGAAGGGTTTAATAAGTTATCAATCTATTCAATTTTACTGGAGTTTATTTGATATTTGAAATTGAACCTATCATTCCAAGCAATTGTAAATCCAAGGAAAATTTCCATCTTTGATTTGGTTGGAATTTTCTATTCTTCATTGAAATTCCAAAAAATTAACATTTTTGATTTTGATTAATAAAATGATATCAATCAATTTCGGTGGTGAAAAGTGACTCCAGAGTATTTGCTTACAAAATAAATCAATTTTAATGAGACTGAGAAATTGCACAGCTTTAGTAAATCAACAAAAATTTTCTTGAAAAATTCTGGTTAGTTTATCGTCATAATTTTCATAAAATCTGTTCAATTGCGATTTCCCTCAAATTGATTCCAGTCAAATATCCATATATTAATCTGATTCAAGTGGTTTGTAAATTGAAATCAAATTATTGAATTCTTGAACCGATTTAAAAATTTAGTCAATTTAAAACCCTCCACTCAATATACAGAATAAAGTTTGAATAAAAATCTAAAATATTGAATTTCTATTTGTTTCAAATAGTTTGCATGATTTGGACAAACGACTAAATCGTACAAAATAGTTTCGATGAGATCACAATCAATCTAATTATTTCAGTTACATTGAAACTTCATTTTTTTAGCTTTTAGTATTCATAAGTCTCATAATTATAAAGTAAAATTATGGGTCAAACATGATTAC